AAATTTAAATTGAATATTTCCTATTTATGTCTTATTTACTTGGCCATGACTACTACTTTCTCTTCTTGGGATATGGGTTTTTCAGCTGCTTCTACATCTCCTCACTTCCTAGACAGAGACTGTAAAGATAAACTCTTAAAGCATTTGCAGAGCCTTTTACTTTTGTCTGAGCTTCAGCTCTAAGTATCTGCAGATGGCATCATCATATCAAATCTCTTGAAGCCACGGCTACTTGGCACTTGATGGAACTCACAGGCAAATTGACTCCCTCTGCTGGAGAAAAGGGAAATATTCTGCAGTTAGGAGTTCAATGAGTAGTCTTGTTCCTAACCAGAAATCCGGGTGATCAATGATCTGCTGTTGTTTTATGGTAGCAGTCCTTCCTCACTGTTTAATTGTGCATAATATATATTCTAATGATTGGGTAGCCCACTTCTCCAGATAAAGATTTCTTGACTCTCAGATTCTGAAGGACCTCATACACCTCATCTAATACCCAAGGACACCTGATATCTATCTATCTATCTATCTATCTATCTATCTATCTATCTATCTATCTATCTATCTATCCTTCCATCCATTCACCTATCATCTTTAAAATGTCTGCACATATACATGATCAATTTATACAATTTATAAAGTCATTGAAATCTTGATATAGATTACAATCTCTTCTACTAAAAATCTCTGATTAGTGGCAACTTTAACTGATTCTTCTTGGATATTGCAGACTCAAAAATAGAAAGTTAGAGTAACAGAGATGAGCCCACAAATCCTCACTGATCATAAAATGTATTGCTTTGCTATAAAAGCATTCAATTTATGGTAGTCCACTCTGAAATTGTCTTTTATTTAAATCCAATTCCCAAATAGTTCTATTTATGATTAGATTGAAACTGCTTCCGAAAGAAGCTGCATGAACTGTGCTCTGACTTGGTAGGAGTTACTGAAATCAGTGATAATTAGTAAATAAATAAATAAGTCAGTTTAATAATAACTAGTACATAACTAATAACTAGTAAATAATTAAATAAGTCAGTTTGAAACCTAAGAAAATAGTTCCTGGAGAAAAGGGTTAGGTCCTAATTTTTGCAATGGTAACAAAAAAAAATAGGTGAGACTCCAGGAGTCAATGCCTGATGTATTATAGGGGACCGTGTTTTCAGTAGGACTGGGGAACATATATTGTATCCCCTGGTACAGCATGACTGTTATAATGTAAATAAAATTTATTTACTGTGATACAAATGTTATGCAGGGAACTGGTGAAAGCAGCTTAGCCACATGAACACTTTTACTGACACACCTTCCCCTTCTCACATACCCAACAAGTGTCTCAGCTAGCTGTGCTTTCCAATACTCCAACAGAAGTGAAAACCTTTTCAACTTTCCATTCTTAGTGACATCTGTAGAATCTTTCCTTCTATAAGTGAGAAATGTTAGACTTTATTATCCCAAAGACATGAACACTGACAACAAGGGTGGAATAAGACTACATATCACTTATAATTCTTACTGAAATATTTCACATTGCAAAGTAACAGGACAAAACACATTAGCATGGAGCCAGATTTCTAAAATGAACACCAATTCTGGATCACTGTATACAGTTCTCTTCTGTTTCCTCTGTGTCCTCTCAAATCTTACAAGCAAGAATTGTTCATATCTTATTGGCATTATTTGCTGCTGTCAGGTTACAGCAAGGAAATCAAGAGCAAGAAAAATTCAGGCTTATGTTTCCTCAAAGACAAATTTCCTTACCCTGGGAAATTGGGCTCTAACTTTAAAGTAATGCATAAAAACATTTGTTGCTTCCTATTCCATAGAAGTTTCATATTTCATATGGACCTGGAGTTTAGTGAAATTCTACCTACCGGCTTCTTCAGAAACAGTCCTTTAACTAGGATTTCCCAGGAGCTAACTAAAAGGCTGAGGCTTACCATAAGGGAACACTGAATTAAAATCAAAACTTTTCTCTACTGCCAGGAGAGGGACAGGTATTCAGTCACTCACTGTCACAAGCTGTCTCTGTGGTGGATGGTATAGAGAATCACTCCAGACATCTCATTCTGGAACATGCTTTGCAAGCTCCCCCTATCCAGGTATATACGTCAATTTCATTTGGGCTTTGATTATGTGTAGGGGAAAATAAGAATTTCCTTATTTTGGAAGAGAGTAGTTAACATTAAAACAGTACAGCAAAAGTATCATTTCACTGTTTCTGTAAAGGTCTCACTTTCACAGCATGGCAGAAACTACAGGCCCTATGATCATTCATTCATTCATTCATTCATTCATTCAATCAATCATTCATTCATTCATATCCTGCTCCTTTATCATCTCTTGGAGATTTTATCACATCTTTAAAATTTATCTTCTAGCAGAATTGTCCAAATCTGAAATAGTCCAAATAATAGCAACAATTGTACCAAGAATGCAGTTTTTATAATTTTAAAATAAATGTTTAACAATTTTTAAAAAATAAGATGGTATGCACTATTGCTTCTTGAGAACATAACTGACATGTATGTTTGTATTTCTGCTTAGGTTGAATAACATAATTTTCAAATATTGAGCAGAGTAATATAATTCTTTGTCATGCATTTCCATCAAAATCAGTGCTAGGATCAACTTGACCTGGCAGTTTGATAGTTATTGCAGTGATGGGTGGTGATGCTAAGTGCATCATAGTAATGTATAAGAAGCTTGAGGACAGGATAAATTAGAAAATACTGATTTTTTTTGTTTGACAAAAATAGGATGACATAGGTTTTTTTCTGTTTGACTGGACTTTAATTTTGCTTTGCTGGCCATAAGAGTGGAAGGCCATTTGTACACAGTAATTGCTGTAAGCAGACTACGAATGTTCAAACATTCCAGAGAAGTGGCTACTGCATATAGGCAAAGCAGCTCAACAGTACACTCACAAGAAGTCTAAACAGAGAATTTAGAGTACATTGATGTTATTTGTAATACTCAGCATGTACTGTGGAAATGGACCCTGAAATTTAATGTGGACAAGATGCATCAAGCTGACAACAAGCCATGTACAAAGTGCTTATTCATGCATTCTGCCTGGCAATTCTCCGGTAAAGCACGGCATAACAATGGTTCCTATTGAGATTGTAATCTAGGTTTATAGCTCTGAAAATAAAAATTTTATTGACTAGTATGACAGTATTGTGAAGTGCATTCTCATAATACTTCAGGGTTTTGGTTTTTTTTTTGAATACTCAAAAATTCACCTAAATTTACTCCAAAACTGAAAATCTCAGCCCAGAATTTTTTTCCTTGGTGCATTTAGGGTATTGTTACATGAACTTATGCTTGAAAGGAATAAAAAATGTTTTATAAATGTATAGACTTTTATGTTTTTCAAACAAACTCCACCAAACACATGGTGAAACATCTACTATTGAATGCTTTACAAGTGCTCCATTAATGCTGGCAGCCCTGGACACACCAAGAATTAAATGAAGCTTGAATGTTGTGATTCACCTTTCCCCATCACTGACAGAAAAATTAACTTTTGTGAGCAACTATAAAGCAGGCACAGCCTTGGAACAGCAAGTTTCTGAGCAATGTGCTGAAAAGATTTGACTGCCATCTACAGACATAAGTTGTGCACTGGTAGCAGTTTAAAAAGAATCTTAAAACTACAAACCTAATAAACACCTAGTGGAGATATTAGATGAAAACTAATTATTTATGTATGTATAAAACAGTGGAGCTACCACAGAAATCTTCCCAGTTGGGTTTTTTTGGGGGGTGAGGGCATTGTTGTTTTAATTTTGGGGTTTTTTTCCCTCATAAAAATATAAACACAGTGAAACACCAGCTTCTTTCATTCTCTAGAGTGGCCTGAGAGATAATAGTTACAAATCCAGTGTCTTGTAGTGCCTAAAACTTAGTAGATAGGAATGGACAATATTATTTTCCTTGTATTTAAACTATGAAGTGCTGATTTTCATGTAGTAAGTTCTCAGTTAAAACTGTCTTAAATAGTTTCTCTAATACAGAGTCATGGGTTAGCAAACTCATGAAATTTTCAATTACATTGTGAATTTCTTATCATATGTATAGTGACCAAATGCTTGTATGAGGGTACAGCTGTACATATGTCCGACTGCAGGGAACCCGAGATGCATGCATAGTCTACATAGAGTTTTCTGATAAATTTTGGCTACCTAATCAGGATAGTTCACAACAGGCCAACATATCACAACATAGCTAACTGTACAAAGATTTTCTTTCAGCTGTTCAGAACAGCTAGTACAGTTCAGTTTTTATTTGTCAAACAGTGTCTTTTCACTCTTGACTTAAAACCACTTTCCTTTATCTGACAGCTGCTGCCAAACTGTCTTTACTTCGTCTTCAAACTAGCTCACTAGCTAAGCAGTTACTCTGCTAAAATCCTCTTTCAAAAATCTTGTTTTAAACTTTCAAAATCATTGCATGGCATAGAAAAAGAGATCAGGAGAATGATGTATTTCAAAGATTGATGATGGATGACAAAATTACTTAGAACCATACAAATTGTACTTCTGTAATTAAAATTATTATGTTTACACACCACATGGAAATGTTTTCAAGAATTATTCTTCAGAGATCAGAAACACATATAAAAGTTAATATGTAGCGTATTTCAACAAAAAACAGGTCACAGATGGAAAAGCCTATGGGCCGAAACAGACAATAACTTTCAAAATCCTTCCGAAGTTAGAACTGAGCACAGCATTCCATACGTGGAATGTCTTCTCACATTGCTATATCATCCATCAGTTTTCTTTAAATATTCTCAAACAGTGTGTAATTTCACTTGAATTCCCAACACAGGATATAAATATTGCACTAATTTTAAGTGTCATATGTTGAAACTTTACATTTTTCAAAAACATTTACACTGAAGAAAGTCTGTTCAGACACAGCCGTGAAAGCAAAGAAAAGGAAAGCAAACATGTAAGTACTCTACATTTTGAGCTTTCAGCCTTTTTTCTTACCTGAGTACCCAAACAAGCAGCCATCATATGAGTGAGAAGTTTAGCTGCAAACATGGCACATCTGGTGCAGAAGAGGTGGGAGATGATAGCCAAAGTGAAACCTACACAGAAATGATAATAAAAAAAAGTAAAAAAAAAAAAGACATATTTAAGTTTAAACTAGTAAACTGTTCTATATTATCCAGCAGATGTTTCTTGAAGGTGCAGATTACCTAAAAAACCCAACCAAACAAACCTTATAGGGAGAGTATGATCATTTTGACTCACACTGGGATCACTCATTAGTTTATTTCAAGTACTAAAATGTATTTAATGTTCCCATATATTGCCACATTCTCTTCATAGAGAAAAGCAAGGCACAATTCTTCCCAAGAATATTTCTGAGATTCACATTCTCTGAACCTCAGAGAAATGGAAAACACAATTCTTATCTTACTTTCTGTGCCAAAGTACAATGCAATATGCAGTCTGTTTATCCAAAGTGAGGATGTTTTGTTCCCTTGGCCTTTCAGGGTCAGGAGATGAGTGCAGTTCTGTGCAGTTGTGTGCAGAGTGCATGGGAGATTCAGTCTAGATGAAATGTATATAGTATAGTATAATAAAGTAATTAATTAGCCTTCTAATAAGATGGAGTCAGATGCATCATTCTCTCCCCTTCATTGGGAGTGGCCTTCGCTTCGATACCCATAGGTTTGGGAGCCAAAATAATTTCATAATTTCATAATGTAAAGCAATTTTTGAAAAGCCTTTCTTTGGTGTCCCTTTCTGCGTGATATGGGTGATTATAATAATAGTTATATACAAAGCAAAGGTAACAGTTCAGCGCTCATATTAGTACTTTCAAAAAATGTTTTTAGAAACAGTTACATAAAACAGGCCTCTGTTGGGTAGCACTATTATAATAGATAGCTATAACCTTCTAAATGCCAGTCTCCCATTTCATCTGTGTTGAGCATAGAAATTTGTTATAGCAGTAGTCAGGAGGAATGACACCACTTTTCACTTCACTAATTAATTGTAAATATGAATACAACAAAGGCCCTCTTCCTACCAGTAAGTAGCTCCTGGGAAAAGGTCTCTAGGAAAGTTAAGCCACCAAGATAAACACTGCTAAATCTCAGAATTAAATGGAGTTAATTGTGCACTTTCACACTTCAGTCAGGGCAGGAATTTGGCTAATTAATGCAGTTCTTTTATGTCCGTCTTGAGATTGACTATTTGTTCAGCTAGCAGTATTTGTAAGAGGTAAGTAAAACAAATAATTGCTAAAAGTATTATTTCTAAGTATTTCAAAATTACTTAGGGATATTTATACAACCATCTACATGGTCTCTCTCTTTTTTTTTAATATTCTTCTTTTTTTCAATATTCTATTTCATTCTTATTCTTTTTTTTAATATTCTACTCACACCCAGATGGAGATGTCAAGACATACAAAAAATATCATTATCACTCCTAAGCAATTTGTTACTTAAAATATTCATTTAAATCTAGTAATCTCTATCATCACACAAGTAAATATCTTCAACCAGCAAAAAAACTGAAAGGTATTGGAAAGCATTCACCTCAAGTTTGAAATAAACCCTTAACCAAGCTAAACTACGTTTATTTTTAAAACACATTTTTATGACATATAGTAAGTGACTAGTTCTGAACAATGATCTGCATCTTATTGATCCCAATTCAGCAAAAAGTTTTCTAAGCTTTTGCATAATTTTTTTCTTTAGTTTCTATAGAATTTTGCATTTTACAGCATTTTGTTTCATCAACTTGTTTTTTCTCTGTAATTCAGCAACTGCATTTTAAAATCTGCTTATTTTTATGTGCTAAAATCTCCTTTTTTATTGTCAAATATAACCATCAATTTTTGTGGAGCCGGTAAAAAACTGAGAGGTTTTTCCTCTTTCTTTGTCTTCATTTTCTTAGGCTGACATTTTAAAAACATTAAGGAGCCTAGATTTAATCTGTTAGGGCAGTTTGCTCAGGAGGGATAAGTAAGTGATTTAGCTGCTTGCATGATTTTTGTTACTCATACAATGATGATCTAACATAGAAGTCACAAACCTCACAAGAAGCACACCCAGACCCCCATTTAAGAGTTAGTCGAGAATTCCATTTAGCATGTTTTCTTAGTAAGCCCATTACTCTTAGTGCCTACAAATGCAAGAATTCATTTCCAACCTAAATAATTCTGTGGTTCTAAGAAAATTTACTTTAATTTGTGATTGCTGCAACATAATAGTAAACCAGCTGCAATCTGAAAGGCTCCTTCAGAAGTTGAGTTCTGAACTTAGATCCCCTGCTTCCTGCCTTGCATTCTGTGATTTATGCTGTTGAAGCTGCTAAAGAAGAGTCATGTTACTTATAGGTTAAACTCTTAGGGTTTTTTCCCAAAATCTTGGGTAGCAGTAAAGCAGCAGAGTGTAATGGATCTCCCCTGAGTTATCATTTCTGAGTGTAAATTCCAGCTAAAATTGTCAAAGAAATTTGACAAAGAGGATTACAGTACTCCTGCTAGCAACACAGACAAATTTAGGAATTTTAAATTTCTTTCCCCAGAAGAATGATATATTATCTCTTTTCAATAAACTGTCCCAAGGAAACAGCCAATCAGGCAAGCAAGGGGTACACCAGGACCATGTGTAGGAGATTTAAATTGCTCTAGGGAGCGTGTTGAGCCAGATGGGGCAAACAGGGGCATGGCACAGCAGTGAGGACATTGTACAGCAGTTTGCACAGGAGGGATGCAGCTGCTCTCCTGGCTCCTGGTGGTGGGTTGTGTTAGATGGCTGTGTTTTGGTCAGGGGTTTTTCGGGCTTCTTCCACCAACTTGACTAGATCCAGAAAGGGTTTATAAATGGTCAAAAGCTTGTTGCTGCTGCTGCCAGCAAAAGTGTGCTAAGCCCAAACCTGCCAAGAAGGACACAGCTGTCCAGGTCCTTGGCTGCAGGGAGTGTCTGAGCCTGGGGGCAGTACCAGAGGACAGTGCAAAAGGCACCTGCACATGGTGTGAGCCAGTGAATGATCTACTCAGAGAGGTAGCAAAATTCCCCCATCACTTTCCCAGAATAGGTACAAGGCCCTGGGTCCAGAGACTCAGGCAGATGATGGTAAACAAAAAGTCTGGAGAGTCTTCCAGGTGCCCTTTGTCTGTCAGATGGATCACCTCAAGAAATTAAGAACAAAAGAAGGGTAGTTGTAGTAAGTTCACCTTCTGAGGGGAACTGAGGGCCCTGTGTGTCACCCAGACCCATTCCACAGGGAAGTCTGCTGCATTCCTGGGGCCCAGGTATAGGATATCGGCAGGAGATTCCCTGAACTAAGTCACCACTCTGATTATTACCCACTGCTGCTTGTCCAGGTTGGCAGTGACAAGATTGACAAGAAGGATACCAGGTCATTTGAAAGGACATCAGGGCCCTGGACTGATTAGTTGGTGGAGCAGGAGCACAGGTGTGGTTCTGCTCAGTTCCTTCAGGAGCAGCGATGAATGATAAAAGGAATAGGAAAACCCACATTATTACCGAATGGCTTAAGGGCTGGTGCCATCAGAGGAATTTTGATTTTTCTTCCATGGGCAATTTTTACAGCACCAGGCCTATTTGAGTCAGATGGGCTCCATCTGTCCAACAAGGGCAAAAGGATTCTAGCCCATGCATTGGCAGGGCTGATTGAGAATGCTTTAAACTGGGTATGTAGGGGGAAGGGGATAAAACCAGGCACTCCAGAGATAAGCCCAAGGGTGGTAAGCCAGAGTCAGGGGTGAAATCAGCAGCACAGCTGAAGTGCATGTACACTGATGCATGCAGTGTGGGTAACAAACAAGGGGCTGGAAGCCATGGTACAGCAGGAAACCGATGACATAGTCACCATGACAGAAATGTGGCAGGATGACTTGCAGGACTGGAGCACTGCAATGGATAGCTACAAGCTCTTCACAAGAGACAGGAGAGGGAGAAGAGGTGGAGGGGTGGCTCTGTGTTAGGGAGGCTCTGGACACCATGGAACTTGAGATTAATAACAATAAGATCAAGTGCCATGGGTAAGAATCAGAGAAAAGCCAACAAGGCTGACATACTGGTGGGAGTCTCCTACAGACCACCCAACCAGGATGAAGAGATGGATGAATTGTTGTATAAGCAGCTGGAGGATGTTTCAAGATTGCCAGCGCTTGTTCTTGTAGGAGATTTAACCTGCCAGGCATCTGCTGGGAACTCAACACAGCGGAAAAGAGGCAGTCTAGGGGTTCTTGGAGTGTACAGAGGAGAGCTTCTTGTCCCAGATGGTGAGCAAGCCTGCCAGGGGTGGGTTCTGCTAGACCTGCTGTTTGCAAACAGAGAGGAGCTGGTGGGAGATGTGGTGGTCAGAGCCCATCTGGGGAACAGTAACCATGAAATAATAGAGTTCTCAATATTCAGTGAAACAAGGATATTGAAACTTCAGTAAAACTTCTACACAAGACTTCCAGAGGGTGGAATTCAGAATGCTGTTTTGGAGAGTACCTTGGGAAACAGTCCTCAAAAGCAAAGGGATCCAGGAAAGTGGACATACTTCAAGAAAAATATCTTGAAGGCACAGGAGCAGGCTGCCTCTATGTGCCAAATTATGACACAACAGGGATGGGAATGGGCTGCCCAGGGAGGTGGTGAAATCACCACCCTTGGATGTGTTTACAAAAAGACTGGATGCGGCAGCCAGTGCCATCGTCTAGCTGGCAAGGTGGTGTTAGGTCATAGGTTGAACTCGATGACCTCAAAAATCTTTTCGAACCTAGTTGATTCTGTGATATTTCTATGCTTGACATTTTTTTCCAATGGCAAAATTTGTCAGTGTGCAAATACCAGAGAAGATGGCACCTTTAATAATATGAAGTTAGTTAACATTCATTCAATATTCCACTAAATAAAAAGATTGTCATCAGCTACCAAAAATGTTAATAATCAGTCAACCAGTTTTACTGGTCATCAGTTGTTATTAGTAAGAAAACTGTCTTAAATGAACTGACCTGAAATACAGATGAATCCAGAAGAAAAAAAAGCCTCGTTGTATGAAGACAAGTTATCTGTTTGGGCATAAACTGTATAAATGGACATATGAGAACAGGAGCATTCCACATAACCTGATGTGCCATCAACCACTTTGCAGAACCCGCTATCGGACAGCCAGCTGCAAAACAAGTTCCACAAAGTTGAAAATGACCTTGCGTAACTCACATTATAAGCAGGCTAAAAAATTTTTGTTGTATTCCTGGAATACCAACATCGCTAAACTATTGCAGAGGTGTTTTCTGTAATTTTCTGTGTGCACTGCTCAGAATACCACATTTACATGAGATTAAAATGTTGTTTATAGTTTTTCATGTTCTTTTTTTAATTTTTGTAAATGTATTGAAACTAAGTTTTCTTCACTAGAGAATTTTTGTGGCCATGTTTTTAAAATTTCTGCTAGATTTCTAGGTCTGTCTGACTTTTCAGATAGTTACTTTCTTTGCTCAACACCTTATCCTGTTATGGAGAACATTTTATACTGCTCTTTTTTGGTTTGAAACTAAAATTCAGCAGTTTTTTGTTCTTGGGTTTTTGTTTTGGTTTTTTTTTTTTTTTCAGTATTGCTGAAGTGGTTTGGAAAAAGGATAAGGATAATACACAGGTGATAATAATAAGGAAAAAGGATAATACACAGGTGATATCCTAAGCCATTTCTACTGGAATTTGTGCATAGATAAAAGGAGAGCATACAGGTAGATTGTGGTGCATCTCCTCCTGAAAACAAATAGTTTGTATCAATAGCGGGCTGGTCCTATCATCCAGTTGGTCTAATGAAATTGAATCATCAAGGAGACTTTGACGGGATGTAGAACATCCTTACCTCCAAGTCATTAACACATTCAATGATGCAATTCTGTCACTGCAACCTAATGCATCATTATACAATCTAAACAGTATTTTGAAGAAAAAAGGGCAGAAGTCTGAGAACTATCTGAGCTAGACTAACTACTCATTTTATTATAAGAAAAGATTTATGTACTGGTAAAATGGCCAGAAAAATTAAGGAAAAAAGACATGAAATGGATCAATTTTATATTTGAAAATTATTTAATTTGCATTATCACATTTTACATAAATACATGGATTCATGGTAGAAAATGCAAAACTAAACACAATAATAAAATAACCTTTCATCAGCTTGATTCCAGAGGAGACACAGAGATTTCTGGGGATCAATCCGACTTCCTTCAGCATAAATACGATAAATTACTTCACTGTTATCTTTCAAAGGTTGTGAACTCTGGCCCTTCAAGCTCATTGAGAAAACCTGAAACAACATGTACAATGTAAAGATATGTTTAATACTAAGATCCACATAGTGCTCATTTTAATCAGTGCTCATTTTAATCAGAGACAACCATAAAACACTTGTGTTTTGAGCAATATCTAGATTAAAACAAATTCTTGGGAAAAAAATTGCATTTCTTCAAACCTTGTTCTTCAGAGCAACTTCTTTATCTCTAGTAAGGAACCACTGCTGACTGCTGTATTCTGTGAACTGTACGGATTCACATTTCTCTTCTTGGGGAGATGATAATACTACAGAGACCTCTAGCAGATGTTCAGGTACTTGAATAGAATCTCCATCTTTTCCATTAAATCTATGTCCATTGATTTGCTGAGGAAACCAGTTGTGAGCCATTATTGCAATATACGGGCAGCTGTCAAGGACATTTTTGCCTCTGTGGAAATGGAAAAGCAATAGGGCTGGTAAGTGGGACCCAGCTTCACTATTCATCATGTAACGACTCTAAAAGGTGTTTGTGATTTGTTAGCACATTATTAATTCATCATTTTTAGGCCTGTGATATTTAATTGGCTGTTTCAGTTTCTGTGGGAAAAAAAAAAAAAAAAGCCTGAATTTTTTGCATATTTCAGCATCTCCATTTCCTCTCTGGTATTTGCTCCTTATGACCTGCAACTAAAACCTGTCCATAGTGAATTAGGCTATCAAAACACTCATCTTTACAACCTGATGTAGAACTGAGTCTAAAAACCAGGAGAGACATTAAAATGGATAATGTTGCTTTATTTTTTTTACCACAACAGATGATGCAAAACATTTGGAATAAAGAATTTTAATTTTCAAGTTCTAAACACTGAACACACATTCCATCACCAGCTGTTTAGTAGATCCTCAATGACAGTGTTTAAAATCATCTGTGTCATAAAAAAGAATAATCTCTTTCTCAGTCACCTATTTCTTCTGCCCATTAGCTTGATGAGGCTATTATGCTCTTGGAGACAAAACTAGCAATTTGAACCTACGAGTAGCTTTAAATATTTTAAAACAATGTTCAAGTGATCAAAACCAAGAACATACAAATTACAAAATGCCAGTAGAAATTTTGGGTTGCTGACTTTCATCTAAGGCTTAGAACACATCTCTGCATCATACAAACACATATTATTTTCTTAGCAAGAATAATGAATTCTTTTTCAGGCAATATCTGAGCTAGAGGTGGGTCAATATATACCAGATCTCCTGACTCATATTCCCACATCTACCCCACACCAAAGTAACAGTTATGTTTTGCACCCAATCTTACAAAGCACTATATATACTGGCAATATGACACAGTGCTTTGTAAGATCATGACACTGTAAGGACACATTCACATATGGGTAACATACTGGATAGGAGATAAGTCCCTTTTCTGAAAATGTAATTTAGATTTTCTGTATTGGTAAACTGTCATGTATTTACAAAACATATTATGAATTCAAGCTTACTAACCTTTCTCCTGGTGATCCACACTTTATCCCAGTCAATAGAGAAAAAGCAAACTTCTCAGTCACCTCAGCAAGCAGGCTATATCCTTTTGTGTCCTTGCGTTTTGGGCTAGCCAGAGCACAGAGTATCTCATAGAAAAGACTTCTACTTTTATCACTGAGTAACAGTTTTTCACCTACACCTGTAACCTAATGAGAGGAGAAAAAATAGAACATTTTACACAAAGGAATCTGCTTGTAACATTTCATCATGTTCAATGGTTTAGTGACATCTTCTCTATGATTCCAACATTCATTCTAAAAGTTCTTAGTATTTTTCCCAACTCCTGATCACATAGGGGTTTCCATAAGACACAATCTGTCAAAATTCATAAAGATAGGCTTATTAGGGGATTTGATTATTAAAGAAAGGATGTGGCATCTTTCATTCTTTCACAAATCAAATATTTTTGAGTTCTGAGAAGTTTTTAAATTATTTTCTCTGTTTTCTGTGTGGCAACAATCAAAAATGAATGGATATTGTTATTATGCTTTGTATCTAGATATATAGAAATTTTCCAGCTTCTATCCATTACTCCAAGAGTCCAGAAGAGACAGAATGCCATAAAACTAACCCATAATTTTCACAGAAATTAGAGTAATGCTTAAGCATTCAGCTACCCTGAGAACCAATTTCCTAAGCTACTGGAGGAAAAAAGACTGATGCTTGGTTATGAATACAGTGGACTCCAGCTGGCCCCAGTAGGATTTGCTTGTGTGTTGATGGCAGTCTGCTGTAAAGGTATGAGCAGGGGTTGTGCCAGGCCTCAAAGAAACAAAGGTGTGACCCAAGAGTAAAGAAAACGTAATAAGCTCTATGAAGCTGCAGCACCAAAAGGAGAATTGCACAGAAGAAAATCTAGAGCTACAAGTATGTATGCAAAACTAATACTAGTTGCTCATTTCAACCTATTTGTGATTACTTGCCACCTCCTAAATAGTGGCAGACAAACTCCTTCCTCGTGAGACTTCACAATTTCCACTTTTGCAGTCTGTGCTTCTGAATCACTGCTGTGGATGTGATCTGCCTTGCTTTATATATATATGTGTGTGTTTGCGTATGCACCTTGTTGTGTTATTATACTCTAATTTATGTCATTAGTCATTTAAGAACAAAGTGTTCTTAAATGTTTACCTCATCTCAAGTGTTTACCTCATCTATTATATGCACCACAGCAGTAAGTTGCTCTTCTGTAGTTTCTGTAGCCACTTTGACATTCAGATTCTGAAGGATTCTGTGTAAAATGGTGTCATCCAGAGGCTGATGCAGTTGATCAATCAGTCCCCAAATTGGCAAGGAGTCCAAATCTGAGACAATGGTAATGTTAGAAATACCATACACATTATCTATCCTGGCACCGCCTGTGGGATTAGAAAGTACAACCTGGAAACGTTTAGGAAATGGGTTTAAAGATCCTGTCTTTGGAGTCAGGGTCACATCCAGGAATGCATTTCTCTGTCCATGTGCAAAAGTCAATAAACCTTCAGATCTGACAAAATCTTGTCCTGCCACAGCTGGAGATATGAAGGTCCGTCCAATAGGTTCAGGTTTTTGTAGTTCCTTAAAACAAACCAAAAGAGTTTTAGGTAACATTATGATAGATGTAATTGTTCAAAACCACCTGCTGTAGAACATACTTAAAGTGGGTAACAAAAGAAAAATGCGTAAAAAAGAAGTCCTCTTTCAAAAATCAGTTATGAGTGATGAAAATATTACATTAAAATAATTATCTCCCTGAATTAGTAATCAATCAAACCTAGGAGAAGAATTATATATTATCAAGAGTAAAAAGGGTGTCTTTCTTTTCCAGAACAAAATCCACAAAACTTTTCTGTGTGAATAGATACTACAGAAATGTTAGCACATGTGTGAATTCCAGAAGGGTTGATATAAGACTATGACTGCAACACAAAGTCCTTCACTTTAGGGTAGGGAAAAGCATTACAAATACATAGAAAACTGAATAAAAGCAGAGCAAAAGTTTTGGAAATCTGTGTCCAAATTAATATCAATTCATTATATTTTCGGTCCCAGAATACATACTTAAAAGGTGAATAATCCATTTAATACAAAGGCAAAGCAAATGCTATAGAATACACATGCAAGGAGGATAGATAAATTTATCCAGTAATGCTACATGGCCTTATTTCCTTGTGAAGCAACACTGTTTTTACCTTCCATGAGGTTTGCAGTTACTGTTTCATTCTTCAAAGTCTTGTTCTTTTTGTCACTTGCCACAGCCTTGACATTATATCTGGTAATATAATAAACTTTCCTTAAGAGGAAACTAACTTCCTGAGCTATCATTGAACTGTATTGTTTTTTCAAAAGTATATAATAATTTAATAAGGGCAGCTTGTATAATGACTTCTAAGTAAAGGTCTCCTATTGAGTAAAATGGGGATTTTTATTTGTGAAATACTAGACCCCCTTTGAAAATATTTAGCTTTCATTAGTAGAGCTTATTTATGGAATGAATCAGACATGTTCTGAGTTCATTGGAGAACCTGGTAACCCAGTGCAGCCTGTAACTGTTCAAAATTGCACTGGACATGATCCCATCACCTGTGGAAATTCCAGGGGGAAGTTTCCTTTTGTTTATCCCTTCCCACTGAGAATTAGGAAATGGAAATAAGCAGAAATGAAAGCACTAGTGACAAGAACAAAGTCTAAGAAACCTTTGTAGGTTGAGATAAATATCAGTTTCCAGTTATTGCCCTTCTGTCTGTTGTGGCCTCTTATTTTAAAGATACTAATAATACCAATTCTTTAGTATTTGGCCATGCACGCTCAAAATGTAAACATGTCCAAAGAGGGTTGGTTATAAAAATTACAAATAGATAAGAGATTGCCCACTATATTTTAGCTTAAATATACACTGGACAGTAGAAATTTCTTTTCCATTTAACAGCTAAATTATATTGAATTCTTAGGTTGAATAAATGTGAAAATTTGTTACCACACAATATAATTGAAACATTGGCCAATTACTATATAATACATGGATGAAAATACAATGTAAACCTATATGCTTAAAACAGATATGCATTCAGTATAACAATAGAATGCAAAACCTTTTATTATAAGGGGGAAGTATATAATAACTCATCCTCAAAACAATTATTTAAGGCATAAAATCACAAATATCAAAGTTGATCAGGCTAAATACTTCTGATGATGGTAAGCTTGAAAGAATATCTCTTGTAGCCTGTGCTTGGATGCTGGATTCACACATACTAAGGAAGTGGCTAGAATCATATTTTTGCAGATCTGCTAAAGGAGAAACTTCATCAGCTGCAATAATAATGAGTGAGGCATGCATTTAAGAGAAAAAAGTGTCAACAGCTAGAAGAGTCTTGTGCTACAGAGGTAAACATCTCCAAAATTGTTGGATTATGTTTTTTTTTTTACACAAAGGGCATAATCCGACAAAAAATTAATGGGGATGATAAAATTTACTTTAGTGCATGCTATTTTTGATAAGAAGAAAAATTTTTTTGTTTAGTATTCCAAGAACATTTAATAAAATTTGAATAATTTCTCTTTTCCTATGTATGTTCTGGTACTAATAATAAATTTGTTGCCTAACAGAGCAAGTGTCCTGCTGTCTGGATGTTGTACACATAACCATCAGGATAAAAACTTAATTTCAGATGAAAAAGCCTCAAAACCTGAAGGCTCGCAAGAGCCTTAGAATGAAGAAAGAAATATATTAGATGTTTGGCTGACCATAATCTTTGAGGCCACTGAAAGATACTGCTAAAAAAAAATATTCTGGACAATGCAATAAGAAAAAGTTATTTTAATAACGGAAAACCAAAGAAGCTAGGCTCAGCAAATGTTTGACTCTTTCCTGAAAAAAAATGCTAATCACAGTTATAGTTACTTTAAAGAATGATCAACTATTTAATAATATTTAATTAATTTCAATTATAAAATGAATCATAAAATCCATTATTTTACTAATGGTTTGGGTTGAAAAGGATCTTAAAGACCATCTAGTTCCAAAGCCACTGCAGCAGACAGGGACAACTTTCACCAGAGCACGTTGCTCAGAGCTCCATTGAACCTGACCTTGAACACCTACATGCCTGTGGATGTGACACTAAGTTGATCAAGCAGGACTTGCCCCTGGTGAAGCTGTGCTGGCTCCCTCCAAGCTCCTCCCTGTCCTCCACATGCCTTAGCAGAGCTCCTGGGAGGATCTGCTCCATGATCTTCCCACAGGCACGAGGGGGAGGTCAACAGGTTGGTAGTTCCCAGGGTCTTCCTTTTTACTCTTCCCTTTTTAAAGTTGGATATAGTAATACCCCTTTTACAGTCACCAGGAATTTAACCTGATTGTCAAGACTTCAAGTAACAAGGGAGACTGTATGGTCAACAACATCAACCAATTCTCTCAAGACTCTGGGATGCATCTCTTTGGGTCCCATAGAGCTGAGAACATTCAGTTTCCTCACATAGTCACGAACCTGATTTTCCCATACAGTGGGAGCGACTTGCTCCCCCATGACCCATCCTGCTCTCCACCCACTTCAGAGGTGGAGGAAAAAGGCTGCCAGTGAAGACTGGCAAAAAAAGTCTTGAGTCCTTTAGTCTTTTGTTAATCTGTTGCTACCAGTTTCCCAGCATTGTTTATGAGGGGGAAACACCTTTTTTGACCTTCCCTTTCTGGTTAACATATCTTTCTGGTTAACAAGCCCTTCCTGTTATTTTTTGTATCCCTTGCCAGGCTCACTTTCAGCTTCACTTTGGCCTTCTTTACACATTCACATTCTGTCTCTGCTCTCTTTCCAGCTCACCTGTCCTTGCTTCAACTGCTTGTGCATTTGTTTCTTTCTCTTTAGTTTGACCAACAGGTTCTGACTCAGCAATGCCAGCCTCCTGCCATTATTGCCTGATTTCTTGCTCCTGGGGATTGCTAGCTTCTGTGTTCTATGGAAGACTTTATTAAAGATCTGTCAGCTCTGTTCCACTCCCTTGTCCCTGAGGGCAGTATCCCACAGGAACCCCCTTACTGTCTCCCTGAAGAGGTGGAAGTCTGTGCTTTCCTAAAGGTCAGAAAAAGATATAAAAATAAATAAAATAATAATAAGTCTTACCTGCGTACTGTAGGTAACCATTGTGGTTACTGATGTACTAGAATCTCTAAGAACTTGCAGACTGATTAAAGCTGTATTCTTATAAGCAACAGCAAATCGAGATCCCACAGCAAAATGCACTAAACCATGAGGAGCATCACTTTCCAGGACAGTTATAAAAGCAAATCTGGCACTGTTGTTCAAAGCAGCTCCTGTGCTTACAGCATACAGCTCAACAAAAATATAAGTTTCAAATTCTGGTACCTGTAAGTGAGTGATGATTTTCATATCATTATAAAATCTACTAATAACTTTCAGCTTTAAATAAATGTTTATATATTACTTTGTATGCATAGTGGATCACTTTAATAACACTTTACACAAGCATGCTTCCTAAAATGTGCAATAAGTACAATAAAATATATCATAAAACAATACTGCAATGGATATCACTCTGTCAGGCACAATCATTAAATCCCAGATTTTCACGCAGAACTTGCTGCATTAAAGTAGCTATTTAAATAGTGCAGGCATTGTGGCTGTAAATTTGACACAAATGACAATCAACCCTCCAAGAGTGCCATATTCCAGATTATAGATTTACATAGATATACAGCTTTTGAAGAATTTGCTCTTTCATTTTCTTTTTACCCTACAAAATGGCATATACCTACCTACTCACTTTTGGAAATACTGCACAGAAGTAAGTGCGCAATTTTGAAAATGCAAATAATTTGCATAATAACTCTCCTGTATTCAAGTACTGGACTCAAAGGTCTGAAAAACATTTTACATGCAACTTAAGCATTTAGACACTAGTATGTCCATGCATGTTTTTACAAGAAATTAAAAACTCAGTAGATTTGCACACTTAACTGAATTTATTTAAAATCTCAGAGCTTAGACAACACTATTTGATAGACTTTTGTGATGTGTCACATATAGAGAAATACTTCACTCTGAAAATACAGGCTGTGGAACCTTGTTTCTTTATTGAAAATAAGGTAGCAGTGTTAAATTTACAATATGACATTCTGCCTCATCTTTTATTTTACCTACAACACAAATGTAACATTTAAAAATAGACATCCAAATTTTAAAATTCCAAAAATTCCATTCTAAAATTCCAAAAATAATTGGAAAGGTGTTACTTGTACCTACTACATGCACTTGTCAAGTAGCAAACTTGAAAAAAAAAAGATTTTTAAAAAGTATTTTTTTACAGGAAAATAGTATTATGAACAAATGGCAATCACTGAAGTTGGTTTGGGGTTTTTTTACTGTTTTTTAAATTGAATTTGTATAGCCAGGTTTTGGTAGTGGTGGAACTACAGGGGTGGCTTCTGTGAGAATTTACCAGAAGTTCTCCCCAGCTGCAAGAGATTCTGTCTGGCAGAGCCAATGCCAGACAGCTCCAAGATGGGCCTGTCACTGGCCCATCGAAATAACCCTATGACAACATATTTAAGAAATAAGAAACCTGTCCTTATGCAGATGTAATTGCGGCCAGAGTAAAGCAGGGTGACACACATGAAACACATAAGAGGAACAACTCTGCAGACACTAAGGTCTGTGGAGAAGGAGGGGGAGAAAGTGCTTCAGGTAGGATTTCTCTGTAGTCCATGGTAAAGCAGCTGTGCTCCTGCAGCCCATGGACATACATGAGCAATGCATAGGTCCATCTGCAGCCCATGGTGGAGCCCCATACTGGAGCACAGGAATGCCTGAGGGGAAGTTATGACCTCATGGGTGGCCCACACTTGAGCAGGTTCCTGGCAGGGACCTGCAGACCCATGGAGAAAGGAGCCCACACTTGAGCAGGCTTCCTGGTAGGACTAATAGGTGTGTGGGGGATCCACACTGGAGCAGCCTGCCCTTGCAAGACTGAACCCAATGGAAAGATGACCATGCTGCAGCAGCTTATGGAGAACTGCTGCCTGTGGTATGGACTCACGTTGAAGAAGCCTCCCATTGGAGCAACCCCGTGGTGGAGCAGGGGAAAGACTCCTCTTTCTGAGCAACAGCAGGAACAACATGTGATGAAATGAGTATAATCCCCATTTCCCAATTCCATTTGCTGCTGGAGGGGAAAAGGTAGAGCTGGAAGGAGGGACGGTAGGGCGGAAGGTGTTTTCAGGTCTCAGTTTACTTCTGATTATCCTGCTCTGTTTTGTTAGCAAAAAATTCATTTAATATCTCTAATTTGAGCCTGTTTTGCCTATGATGGTGTTTGGTGAGTGATCTCTCCTGGTCCTTGTCTCAACTCATTGTCATGGTTTGAGGCTGGCACAATGCCAGCGCCCCCATGAAAATATACTTTCTCCCGGAAACAATTGAAACCTCTTGTGTTTCCATGTCGCTCGTGGCACTGCCCAGAGAACATTTGCCCTCGTGACTTCTTCCCTCCATGTCCAGTGCTCTCACCACTCCACCTGGACCAGAACTGCTTTTAGGGTTCTCCATTTAAGGATGCCCCACCCAGTTACAAAAAAGCAGCAGTCTCTCAGCTTTGGGACACCAGTCCCCCCTAAATTTACCCCCTGGGGCCAAGGGGCCTCGTTCTTCTTAACTTACAACACTCATGAACACATTGTTATATTTTCTCTCCCCTGCCCAGCTGCAGAGGGGAGTGACAGAGAGGATTTGGTGGGTGCCTGGCATCCCGCCAGGGCCAACCCACTACACAAAAAAGCTTTGTGTTTCAACCCTGAATTTTTTGAAATCTTACTTTAAATCTGGGATTTTTAGCTAATAAATTTAGTACTGCTGAGGAAGTAAAACTTATGAAAGCTAGAATGTATCCTACAATAATGTAAAGTACACAGTTAATGTATTTGTAAATTTATAATTTTTAATACATTTACTACTAACTTACAAGCTAACTTATGAAATAAAAACTTTAAGAAGAATTAGGAAATATATGGAGCAATAAATAGTATGTGTTTTCAGTTAAATAGTTAAGTGGTTCTCTAAATTAAATGTTCTTTACTAATGACAGGTACAATTAAAACTGGAATGAATGGGGAGCTTTAGACTTTCACTAGCACTTGCTGGAATGGCACAGGCTTTATGTGGCACAACTGCATGTCTCTGGAGCTTGTGCACTGCTGTCATTAAATACTGATACCACTTCTTTGGTATAAAGGGATTCATAATCTCAGTTTACTCAGCAGGGCAGCCTGTGCCCTATACACCTATTCACTGGCTCTGTGATGTAAAGATAACAATCTGAAGATGGAGAAAGAAAATGGCTGTCTTAGTGAACTAAGAGAATGCATACCATTTCCTAAATAGGAAATCCCTGTTTCCCATATATAGCATGTTGCAATATTTTCTAGAACTGAGTCAGATAAAAACATGGAAATCTTCCCATCTAGTGATTTTCCACTGCCCAGACCTCAGCTTTGCCACCCGCCTGGGTGCTGGGAAGGATGAAAGTTTGGGAAGAGACAAGAAAGTCTCAGACACTTGGGAAGAGACAGGAAAGTCTCAGAGATATGTATGCTTGGCAGAAAGATATTTGAATGTAGAATCTGAAGAAGGAATGGAAATGAAAGCAAGTTTTGATACAGAAGAAAAGAAATGCTGAACCAGTCTTACTGGATAATTAAGAAGGCAAAGGGTATGTTAGTTAGAAGGGGGTTTTATAGCTTAGAGCAAAGGATAAACCCACCTCAAACAAGAGGGTGTTTTTACCAAGCAGAAAGATAGCACAGGCAAACAAGTCAGCAAATGTTGCAAGTAGAAAAAAGGTCTCAGAATTTTCCACTGCAAGAAAACTAAAAAACAATTTCTCGCTTAAACTGTAATGTACTAACTTTTAGTGATTGGAGAATAGTAACATGAATATGGTAATTATAGTAGTTATGTTAGGCTATAGGCAAAAATTAAGGTATAGATTGGTTCTTCTGCATTAAGATGCTTAGCAAAGTATTTAATGTATATAAAGTATATATTTTTATATATAAATATATAATGTATATTAAAGTATACAATTGTAACAAAACTAAAGGGTGTTCAGGTTTGTCTGCAGCTGGAGCTGACAGCTGTAGGCACAGGCTCTGTCACCCACGACCCTGGACTGCTGTAACGTATTGGATGTAATAAACTGCATTTGGAAGAGCTGCCTGGAGTCCCTTGTTACGGCACTTACATCGGGGTGCTGGGATAATTTCTTAGAAAAATTTGAAACTCTCCAACTTTAAAATAATGGCAAACATTAATCTTTCCTTTCTTAAGGGCTTACTCTAACCCCTAGGTATTCACACTAAAATATTTTTTTCCTTTTCTTTTCAATAAAAATGACTGAATACTGTGTTTTGTGTTAATACAATCATGTCTGTATATTAGAGTGCCAGCTGAGTCTCACAAGGTTGTTAGACTTAGACAAATGCAATTTAGTGGATGATGGCTCCTAAATTGAACTTCACTACTCACAAGGCAGATATGAACAGAGACAGATTTTTAGACACTCAGAGATTTTTAGGCAGTTTTTATGAGTTTTCAGAGATGACTGTGCTAGATTTAGGAATATAAAATTACACAAAAGTTAGACTCGAAGGTTTTTTTAATGCAATGAGCTATTATTTACAGAATGTTTTCCATCAACCACCTTAAAAATGCTTTGGTAGATGGATATTTTACTGTGTAAAGGATGAGAGCATAGGATCAAACATTTCATTGAAAAAACTCCATTCTTTTTCCTTACTGTTATATAAAGACCTAAGATCTGTAATTTACTCTTTGAACTAAATACTTACCTCCTTCCCAAATTTCTACCAGTCACAATGGAGTCAGTAGAAGACTATAAATAAACATGTCCCAGAGAAGTCAGATATCAAGTCACTATCTTCATAAATATTAGTACATCTGGCTAAGAGGAGTATTTTCATTTTAACAAATTGCAATTCAATGCTGTACATAAAGAGCAATAATTACTCACATGATCAGGTTTTATTTCAATAGAGATGTTGCACATTGTTTGACCTGCCACACAGGTCGTGGCTCCCAGCACAGATACAAGTTCATTCTCCAAGTTCACACCATCCTTCAGAAGGACAACAGCTGTTTTATTAAAGGTCACACGCCAGAAGATTGTCACATCTTCAAAAGCCCTATAAGCAAAAGAGAAGAGTACGCATGTACTGAAGGAGAGCACAACAGATTTAGGAAACAAACCACAGACATAACGTACATTTTGTTATTATTCAAAACATATCATTATGAAATCAGCTGCTTTACAATGAAAAAAATAGCTCTTTTTATTTAAATTTCTGCCTCTAATATCTATTAACATTGTAAAAAAAGTAACAGAAGAAGAAAATAAAGCAATTATGGGAACCCAGATTTTTCTTAATTTTTGTTTCAGATAACATGCAATTATCTGAATAAGAGACACTTGGAAAGCAGGGATGTGCCCAAGTATTTTCATTAATACTATAGTAACCATTGGCCTGGAAAGCCAGGTAGACTTGGTCTTTCCTGTAAGTATAAAGAACTTATCATACTTGTGCATATTTATTTAAAGTACACATAAATGTAATATATATATATATATATATATATATATATAAATGTGCTAATTAGGAAAAAAGTAAAGACGTAAGCATACTGACACTTACATAACTTCTTAATTTCTCCTTGTAGTATTCATAGGTATTTACATTGTACAGAGAGGCGAGAATTGGAGTTACACCTTTAGCAGTGCAAATACTTTACCTTAAGCAAAACCTTCACACTTGCCAACTTACATTATAAAATGGTAAACATTTGAGTTTTTTCCTGTTTCTGCTTTATATCAATAAAGTGACAGACCTAACTATATTCACAACTTAAATGCCCCATTGCCAAAACCTGTGAAGCTATTAAAGGAGCTGAAAGGAAACATTTATTACAAAACTCTGTGATGAAAACCTCTTCCACTAACAGTAGCTCCTGTGATTCAAGACAACATATTACAGAGTGTGGGAAGAGCACTGGAATCCACTATAGCCTGCACCTGTTTGGTTGCCGTGCAACAGTCAGCAACACCTCTCTGTTTTCTGAGTCTTCATCAAGTATCAGGCCACTTTGTACTTCTGGAATGAATCCCAAAATGCCATTCTGGAGATCGCTTCCTGTGTAAGAAATAGTCCATGAAAGTAAAAAGCCAGAAAGTTAAGCTGAGAGTAAATTATACTTTTAATATGCACAACTGCTAAAACATCAAACAGCCAGTATCAAAGGCATGTTGTAAAGTACTATTTCAGGACACCTCAATTCTCTTAATATTTCTATTCTTAATTTACATTAGATTTTCAAATTTAAAATGTTTAATTTTATTTTAATCACTAGAATAATAACAACTAATTTTGGAAGCAAATTCCTTATGAGTCCTGGCACCAATTCTGCATGTAAGCTTGTATTTTCAGCAGCATTCAACAAACTGACTGAATTCTGTGTCCCTTGACTTCAAGAGACTGTTACAGAAATCTCCAGAACAATCTCAAAAGCCTTGCTTATAATGCCCTTATGAGATACGCACTCCAGCTATGTTTATCATACATCTTAAAACATTCTGTTTGAACAGAAATGGGCCTCAACATACAAAGTACGTAATGTGATAGACTTCCAGTGTTGTAACTTAAGATTTCTTATTCGTCCTATCCATGATGTGGTTGAACCCATCAATTTTCTTAGATTATCACAGCAGCTTTTCTCTTGCATCTTCATTCTATATGTCGAACTAGTGAGCTGCAAAACACCACATTTTTCTTAGGGGAATGCAAGTAACTTCAAAAAAACAGCAGTAGAAGATAAAAATTCCCAGTGTTAATGAGGGGAAACTAACGTCTTTACAGTGCTCAATCAAATCTTGCTTCTAAAGGATTTCTCCTGGCAGGTAGTGATGGCTTTACTCTAGAATTGAAAAGGCAATCTACTTCCACCCCAGTACTTACTAGAAGTCAATATATACAATGAGATGAACAGAAACTGTGTGTTTGCTTATGTGCATGCACAAATATTTAACCCTTCTCCTTACTGTGTTGTCTCATGTTCCAACTTTATGGAACTTTGTACTGTAGGTATAACCCTAGAGCATATTAATACACTTCTGTAGTATTCAATACAAGCTCCAATTACAACATGTGTCTATACACATACTTTTGCAGTTAATTGTGGGGGTCCACTGGCCTGGGCTGGCCGGCGAGCCAGCCACAGCCAGGATCAGCCCGAGGCCATGGAAAGCAACACCCTAAGTTCAGGGACATTGTTCAAGTTAGGGAGAGTTAAAGTTTGTTCCAACAGGATCATGAGATTTACCATGCTAATATGGGTTACACTGCCGGTTATTATTAGTTATTATGTTGCTAGAATGTTCCATGCTCATGTATATAAATAGGGATCGCCCCTCATTTGAGATCTTAAGTGTCTGGCCATATTTGGGATCACTCCTGTTACTGAGGCAGAAGAATAAAGGACCCTCGGATTTTCCACCTAAGACCTGTCACCCACTTTTCTTCCCTGCTGACCTGTTGCAATCATTGCCTGTCCTCGCAGGCATGGGTGGAGCAACGTGACAGTCAACATGCATACCCAGGGAACCGGTTACTTCCATGGTAAATTCTACATATAGTGCACATGAAGAGAACGTGTTTCGTATGATCTGGTGTTCTACATGATCTTGGTTGCTTCCTACACTGATTCAGCAGCACAGTTTAATCCTCGTTCTCAATACCCACAATGATTTCTTAAGATTATCTAAATACACAAAACTCCCAGTAACGCTGGACCTTACTTTCTTGATTAGAAAGTTAGTTAGACTAACTTAGTTAGTCTAGACTTAGTTAGACTAAACTCAGTTAACCTAAAATTTGTTCCAGTGCCCAACTTCTTTCTAAAACTTTATCTATTTTGCAGAATAGATTGGTGTATATACTGTTGGTAAGCCTGACAGGATATTTAAAAGAGGGGAAATTGCGAGTTCTGACATGACTTTCTCATAGTAGGACAGTGACTGAATGAAAAACTCTTCCTTGTTGACTGAGTATGCTAATTCCTGTCCTCCATTCCCAGAATCAGAGGATGACTACACTGCAGGTATGAACTGTAGTAGCAAAGAATGAAAACAGAAACTTTGTACAAACTCCATCCATTGTAAAAGAGAAGGACTTAAATTAAAAATACGAAGTATGTGAAATATATCTAACAGAATGCCAATATAATTCAGGTTAAAAGGGCCCTTTAAGTCTCTAGTCCAACACCCTTCTCAAAGTTTAATTATTTGTGAAACCAGACCAGATGTCTCAGAGGTTTGAGACTTGAAAAAATTCCAGAGATGGAGAGAGACCATGCAACCTCTCCAGGCAACCTGTGCCACTGGCTTTCTGTACACAATAGAAAAAAATGTCCAGGCTCAAATGAAATCTCATTTCAACTTATAATCACTGTTTCCCAACAAGCACTGCTGCCATAATGCATTATTTAAATAATGGGTTCAGTAAATTTTTATGTCTCTCCTCTTTTAGGTAATCTTATGGTGTTAGTAGGAACTATGTCTTCCTGTATTCAAATGTCCCATGACATTTTCTTTTTCAAAATCATGTTTCATAGATAAGTTAGGAAAAAGAAAAAAAAAAAAAAAAAACAGGTAAAAGTAAAAGAAGCTTAAAATATTCTGGATCCTGAGAAAGCAAAGTACCTTGTTGCGGTGTGTTGTCGTGGTGTGCCTCAGTTTCGCTAGCCCCTCCCCTGAAGACTCCTTCCCCAGGTGGGGTTTCAATCACCTCTCCTTTCCCCACCCTTGACCCCTGCTGGGCATTGTCTATCAACCCAGAAATTCCAAGGGGAGCGCCGAGTGATTGGCAGGTTCAAAGGATGCTCTCCAACTCCTGGGGAGCCACTGGCCCACCCAGGTCTCCCTCTCATCTGAGACCCCATCCCCTCATACCTGGTTGGTGCTCCCTGTGTTCCCTCCCCTGCCCCTCTCCCCAGGTAAAAGGGCAAGGACAACACGTGGTTGGGAGTTCTGTTGGGAGTTGTTGCAGGATTCAGAGGCCATGCAGCCCAGAATAAAAAAATCTGGATTAACAACTCTCCATCAGGACCCACTCCTTTCTTCACCTCACCTTAAAGGTTTCTCTAGCTCAGGAAGGCCTGAGAAGTGACCCCCTCAACAGCAAGCTCCAGCCCGTAAGCACTGGAGCTCGGGACATGCCCGGACTTGTCCCCACGTGCTCAGCTGTGACCACAGGGACTGAGAAGCGTCTCTGTGGAGAAAACACCACAGGTGCCGCTGTTTGGTTCAGCAGCTGAGGCCAGACAGACCAAAGCAGTCCAGTTCAGTAATATTGGTAAATTCCAATAGTACCTGAAGTGGCAAAATACAAATCATGTGGTCTTTAGAAACAAACCAAGCAAAAAAAGGCAGTGATCTTTTTGTGCCATAAACTGTCAAGTAGTGGTCAGTATTTACAGTTATAGAAAATATTTTAGTCTGAATGCAGCACTAGAGTACTGTGAGAAATCATTTGCACAATACTGTGAACAAACAATGGATGCCCAGAAGTTCTATAACAGGTTCCTCTTGGACACTTTCATTTTCACACCATAAGCTGACTTCTCATAGTCACCGGTCTGTAACATAAGGTATCCCACTTATTCTTTGAATTTGGAAGCCATGGATCTACTGAGATGGGAATCTCACATCCCATGAGGAAGTGTTGGAACAAGGAAAATGGCAAAAAACCAAATGAGCCTGCAATGATACTCCATCTTTAATGAAACCAGTTATGCTCAGTCGTCACAGTACATCACAGTACAAGCTGGCTTGTACTGGGCAATTAATTCAGATATAAATAAGAAACCCAGCTGGTTCCATAAACTGGCCTCTGGGTTGACAGACAGGAACCTCGGCCAATTACGTTCCATCCTAAGTTGCAGACATCTCACTTGTTCGGGAGCTGGACCATGTTAAAAGATCAGACTAATGAGCTATCCAGTCAAACCCACTTTATAAAGAGGAGTTGAGCCATCATTAAATGCTCTCTGTTGCCACATGAACATCGGGTGTGTGGTCATCTCTGTCTCTGACTCACCACACATATGTTTCACTCAGCGTTCTCTCTTCATAAAGGACAAGAACAGAGATAAGCAGCACCTATAGAAGCATTTTGAGTTACACTGCTAAGAGGTGCTCAGTGCTTTGTGCATTAGATGCTTACTCTCATCTGGAAAGCACTAGATTTGGAAATAAAATACCCTGCTTATTGTCATACAGAATTCCAATTTTACATTAAAATTGCTATGAGAACATATAGTTATTTGCTGTTATTTAATTCAAATATATTTACTCATTTCCTGGAGGAAAAACTATTACCTGCAATAATTACTATTGCAAAAGCAGCAAATCCATATTCATCCTTTCCTTCTACAATCTGAGCTCCATATTCAGGATTTGAGAGGAAAACATAAAATGATTCCTGTCCTTCAGGCTCATCATCATCAAAAATTTTTATGGACACCTGGCTTTCAAATTCTCCATCCAGCAAAGTCAAAGAGATTGTCTGTTCTTCAAAATCTTCTCCTTCCATTGCCCATGTGAAGTTTGATTTTCCATAAACTTCTCCAAAAGGATACAAATCTACTCCTCTTTGTGCACTCGCTCCCCCAAAGGTTTTAACAGTAATTTTAATATCACCAGTAAATCCCTTGGTCCTTCTGATCTGAAGCACTGCTGTGTTGGAGGTATTGTTATTTGTATCTTCTTCAACATAAATAAACTCTGGCCCCAAACTTAGTATTCCATGATGAATATCATTAGCCAGGATATTAACTGTTGCAAGACTGAAAGTTGGATTCAAACGGGGACTCCAGTCAAGGTTTGCTGGTTGAACATCCAGAATTTCCACAGAAGTCAAATTTACAAAAAAAAATTCTTGTATTTCAGACACAGTGTCATCAATTATTGATATTTCTATCACTGCATTTGTCTGAAAATGTAAAAACATAAGCTCTCCATTGTAGATGGGTATAAAGTCTTCTAGTGGTTTGGCACTTCCTGGAATGGTCTGAAATGTCAGCTTAGTGCGATTACTTTGAAAACCAAACAATCTTTGGACATGTAGTCTGACTACCTGGATATCTTCTTCAACTGAAACTGATCTTGAGTTAAGATCAAACTGGAAGATCCCCATTGGCTCAATTTTAGCTATTGTAAATCCTGATCTGAAACAGAAACAATATCACATTGAGAGAGAAATACAAATAAGAAAAAGATGAACAATCAAGCATAATAATTTTCAGTGAGCAAGCAATGATGGCTGTAGGAATGTGGATTAAAAAAATGGTAACAGTAGAGGGAAAAAATAGAAATCATACAAAGCAAGACATAAAGAGGCTCCCTAAAAAATGCTTTTGTAACGTTTGAGCAGCCCTCCACAGGCTTAATGCATCCTGTCAGGACAGGATACTGAGCAAATGATACATAAAATATGGTCTTCCTGACAAAATGGAGAGGTAAAGGAAAATAGATCTTCCTACTCTGGACATAATACAGGAATATAATATAGCCACTACAAGTAATACCAGTTTTAAACAGTGAACAAACCTCCTGCACCAAGGGAAAGCTGTGAAGTAGATGCTAGCAGATCTACAGTTTTAGCCAGGAAGATAGAGAAGGTCAGGAAGTTATTTTAAAGTACACAACAAGGCTTTGAATTTACAATATTACCCAAAATACTTTTTTTTTTCAGATCTGAGTTGTGTTATCAATATCAATTTAAGCTTTACTTTGTTCATACTAAATATATTCCCTTCTTATTACAAAAGAATATATTACAAAATTATTAGACTGACTCTGCTAAGTTTTGTGTCATCCCCTTCTCTCCAGAACTTAACCATTATTCAATGCCAGAGGCTACCAATGGCACAATTATAGTGAGCAGATTTGGCTAACAGATGAGACTCTTCTACCTAGGAAGCCAAAAAACCTTCAAGTAATTGTGAGCTTTACGTCTTTTGGGATGCAATCTTAAATTTTCTGGGAAAGGTTATTCTCATACATTCACGGTATTTGACTTACACAGTAAATATGTGCTTAAGGACCCAAGTCCATAGGATGGACAAACCTAGGAGAAAGGGTCAGTTTGAGGAATCTAGGCATCTGATTCACTTCTAACTTCCTTCAGATTTGCCACTTCAATTTAAACAGGGTGAAGCCAATATCCTTCTCCCTACAGTGTCACTCTATGCCCATTTTTAATACATTTTCATCTTCAATAAGGAAGAGTGAAAATAGTTTGAAGAACAGAGAACAATTTAAGTAAGACAAAAAACTACATTGAATGTAATGCTTTTATTTTTCAGAATAAAAAGGAGGTTTAATATAAATTAGTAATTTTTAGAGCATTTTTTATTTCATTTGATTTTTTGAAATAATGGTTGTCATCTAAGATCTTCTAAATATAGATATTTAGGGACACTGAAAATTGACAGTTTATTTTATTCTTCAGATTCCTGGTTAAAATTGTTGATCTTGGTTCTTCAGCCTGTCTTTCCTAACTGTCTCCATCATTCTAGACACATTCTAGGTACCTCAGATCCCAATGCCAGGAAACAGAGTGGAATTGAAGAAAACCCTCACTTTCAGACAGATCAGATCTGCAGTACTGACATTTGTTTCCATGTGAGACAAGACACAGAAATTATCATAAAAGGAACTCCAATTTGCTAGCTACCTACAATGTAATAGGGATTTGTATGAGGTATATGCCCCTATACATGTCATAATTCTTACAGCACCACTGCAACTCGAAAGTATAAATAATATCTTTACCTCAGGCGAGCCCCACCAGACACATTGCTGTGCACTGCTGTTAGAGTGATGGCAAATGTCTCAGATTTATTTAGGTTTGGAGTAGCCTGAAATGAAATCACTTTACTTTCCTCCCCAAAGGAAAATACAACCGTACCTGAAAGGAGAATGATTGAAACAGTCAAAATCACTAAACAGGAATTCTATTTTTACCTGGAAATACATTGACATAGGAACTTTAGTCACAATTCCACTCCACTGAGGTGAAGAAATCTTCATAATAAGGGTCTTTCCTCTAGAAAATTGTCCTTCAGGGGCGTAGCGTTGTGTCTATGAAGAAAAGGGTTTTTTTTCTCATAAAGTAAATATGTCCCTTACAGATAAAAATTGGATCATACGATTTCATTCTAATGACTCTTCATTAATAATGGAAACATGCCGAGGTACAAATAACTAAAAGGTGGTATCATCACTTAGGCAACAGCCATAGCTGTTGTCCTTGTAGCTGTACATAACTTGTTGCAGCAATTACTCACCAAATGGAGGAGTAATATTGCCTAGTTTAACAGAGTCAGTGACTAGGTCTGGTGGGCATCCTGAAATCCAGCTAACTATTACAGAGCCATAAACTCCTTTCCTGGTTATGACAGAATGGCCTGTCCCTGCTACAATGTTTGTAAGCCGCAATATCACAGATTCAAAGCCAACCTGTGGAAACATTTTTTTATCAGAAAATGGAATAAAAATGGACAATAACACACATGAAAGTGTAGTACCTCTTGTAAAATGGGCATCTTACAATAAGGATGCATGCATTTAGATAAATATATGTGCATGTATCTATGGACATATAAATATGCTCTCTTGAAAGAGTTCATATGAGCTCTTTAATAATTTTAGATTTCTGGCAATTAGATTGCAGGGAAAAGGAACAAGTATGAGTGACATTTCAGTACTGAAAACAGTGAATACCATCTGTGTCTCTTGTTTAGAAGAAAAATAAATCAAGCCTGCCCTCAGTGCTCTCAGGCAATAACTGTACTACTCTCTCTACATATATAGATATATAGATACATACATATAATTAGGTCTAAAATAAGTTATTAATTATGTATCCAGTGAAAAGTAAGTTGTTAACGCATGACACTGTACACAAAATTATTTTTGCTACTGTGATCTACTTTACTTTTTCTCTGAGCAGCAAATAGGAGTGAAGATAATTTGCATATTCTAAAACCAATGATAAATGGATATATGGTAGTATATGGTATACAACAGTCTTTCTGTAAACAGTGTATTCAGAAAGACTATTTGACTTAAGTTTCATTGTAAATTAAAAATTACAACAATGCTTAAAGATAATTAAAATCATTAAATATAAACTTCAATAAACTTTAAGACCTCATGACCTTTAAAACCTCATGTCTTTGCCTGACATAAAAAAAAAGGAATGGTAGCACAGTAGGAAAATTATCTTTTCTCACTCTCATACAAAATAGACAAAGGGAAAATGTATCACTCAATGATTACCAAATTTATTGACATCTGTACTAACACCCAACATATACTCCATCTCTTTTTGCACATAATATTGAATTCATGCTATTTTCTGCTTTGGGGTTGCCGTACTTATAGAAACATTGTCCAGATTTACTTATTTTCCTTTAAATCTTAGAACTCCCCTTTCATGTAAATATTTACACTACTTACATTTTATATATAAAGAGGCCTTTTCCAATTGTATTAAAATGCTTCTATAAGAATTTTTATCAGAGGAATGAGTAACATACAGTGCAAGTAGTAACAGGAATGATCTCTTCCATCATATTAATTACAAAGAAACTTCACTGAGTTCTTATAACAGGTGTCTTCTGCAGCGAAGTGTACCGCTCTTCTGTGGTAGGAACACAACATCGCAACCAGGCTACTGACCTGTGAATTGGCAGCTTCCTCAGGAATAAGCAGCACAGCAGACTTTGCTATTCCTAATATTTTAGGCACATCCTTGGCACTTCCCCTAACCAGGCTTACATTAGTAAGTTCCACAGTAAAATTCAAGCCTAGTAAAATAAATGCCTTTGAGAGAGAGAATTTAATTAAAAAGATAGAAATTTAATTCCACTAAAAAGGTATTATCCAACAGTGCAAATAATTGTCAAAACAACCTGCAGATTCCTGTTTGCTTACATACAAAGCAGCATTTTCAAGACAAGTGTTTAGTTGATTATGTTTCTCAAAGAACTACAGTTAAGCCATCAATATTGTGAAAGCTATCTGCCAGCAGTTTGCTGGAATATGAATTTGTAAAGCAACTATTGCCATTTTAAAAAGCTGCATCTGACACACTGGGCCTTGGTTTGACTTTAATCCTTATGATTAAAAATATTTAAGATGGTTGTAAGAGTATGTAACAGTGGATGTAAGACTGTGATAATAATCACAAAAAAAAGGAAACACAGAAGACTGCAGGTACATTTATCTTCTTCTTCATTGGTCACAAATGAGAGATCACTATTTACAATCCAAAGAATCTTAAGAAACTATTTGCATTCATATAATAATAAGATATTGAATTCACAGTAACACAAAACAACAATGTAAAAAAACATAAAATATTTGAACAGATGCATAATAGTGATTTTGCAATTACTATCAGAAAATTTTATTTTCAAATCCAGTTCTATTCCATAAAGAGGAAATTTGTAACACCGAAACTCTCTTTTTCTGCTTCTTCACAGTTGATATTAGTGAAAGTTTTTTATCTTATTTGTATTGTGATGAAACAAATGGAAACAACAGATAACATAGGAACTAAAAGAGTAATACACACCTGGTTGCTTATTGGCACTCTTTTTACTCCAAAGCTGGCACCATCCTTTATTATGAGGAATCCCACCTCATTCTTGGGTTCAATTAGTGCTTCGTCGTGAAGGGATATGACACGGTACTCAACCATCACTTCTCCAAATGCCCCAGCATGCCGAGTCACATTAATCTGAACATATCGATCCAGGGTTTTTTCTACCAATACTGACTGCTGATCAGAGTACAGGGCAAACACTCCATAAGGATCATCATTTGCAAACACTGTGATCTTTGAAATTCCTCTCTCATGGTCTAAATCTGCTCCACCTTCCACTGAAATCAGCTGTACCTCATAGCTTTCATCCAGTTCTGGAACATCATCAGGTAACAGGTAGATAATTATTTCAGCTGTACTCTGCTGGTCAGCAATGATAACAAATCCCTCTGTCTCAAGAAAGTCACCTGTGATGTCAGATTCACTACGTATTTCCCAGTAAACCTGAAATTAGTATAGAAAATGCAAAACATAAAAGAAAGAAAAATTACCTCCAAAATCAGAAACTTGCAAATTCAGGATTCATTATAGACAGAATATGGAACTGCTTTTAAATGGGTAAAATAACAATTGTTTTGGGTATGCACAGGAAGAATATCCTATCATACAGACTATCTTTCCAAAGAGTGTGTTATTTAATTAACAGTGTTAAAAATATAAATATTTCCTTTGTTTAGTTTCAGAAGATTTATGTAAAACTATGCTGAATATATGAACATTTTCCAAAAAGTATCTCTTTTCTCACCAAAACACCCTTGCTGTTTTTTCTGTTTTCAGTATTTCTCACATAATAAAGGAATGAACTCTCATTAAACACAGCAGATGTTTCTATTAATTGATCAATTTATTTTAAATTAAATGAGTTCCTGTTAAAATGCTGACTTCTAAACAACTTCAGGTAAAAACCAATGTTTTTACATTGATGGTTCAGAAAAGTCTGAGGAAGTCTGATTTTGTCTAAAAAAGTAAAATGTGATGATGTCAAAGACAACTCACTATGAAAGTATTGTCTCTTCGTTCTCCCATCAAAAGCAAACTGGGAGAGAAAGTGAGAGCAGCACAGCAGTATTGCTTTTCTTTTATTTCCCTTGACCAGGGAAGACTGAATTTTACTGTCCAAACTACAAGTACTAGGGCTAAGCTCTTCCTAAGTTCAGTCTAAAAGGCAACATTAAAAAAACATAAATAATTTGAGAAGGAAGCAATTGAAAGGCATAGAATAAGATATTTTTCCATACGTCAACACCAAGGATAATTTCAGATTACATTGTCTATTAGGAAAAGAGTGAGAATACCGTTATGTTCCCCAGAACGCCTTGAATTCGTTTGACAAACAGTGTAATATTTTGTGGCCCTTCATCTCCTGAGGGTTCTGCATAGTTACTCTCAGTTAATGATTCAAGAGCAAACTGTACAATTCCATGTGGATCACCAAACTTCTCTATCTGTAAAATGGCAAAGAAACATTTAAAAAACTAGAAATGTAGTGTAAGTTGTATTCTTGTTCAAACTACTGAGATTTTCACTGCTAGATGCTACCGGGGCACATATCTGTTAGTCCCAAAAACAGCAGAGAAACTTTTGAATGCCCCTTTTTCAGCTTTCAGTTACCCTGTCTAAGAAGGAAAAGAGCAGAGTTTTATTTCAAATGCTACATCTGAATATTTTGATTGTAAAGCAGGAAATGCTCAGGCATATTGAGCTAGTATACAGAAATTCTTCTAACACTATCAGTTTGCAAACTCAGAACTATGGGAAAGAGAGCTCATCCGCATCCATGAACCCTTAGCTGCAAAAAGAATTTAGGGTAACACAACTTCCTGAACGGGACTGTGGAACTAAGAGCTAATTCCATCAACACCTTACAGACCAAATAATAAAATAAAAATACATTTCTAGGAGAGATACTTTTGAGGGCTTCTTACAGCAGCTTTATAAGTATTTCCTGAGTTGCAGTATCCCTAGAGCACTGATTTGTCTGTAATAACTCTCAAAAACATCTGCATTTCTCTTGTACTATAAGAAGTTAGATTTTCTCCCTTCCTCTGAAGAAATGCCAAGAGTGACAATGTCCTGCTTGCAGCTGCTGAGGCGTCAGAGCGTGGTGCTGTGTGGGCATGTGGAGATCGCTACTACCTACCACACACACATAATAGCTGGTGCAGGCCAAATGGTCCAGCCTGGAGAGTTTGTCCATCGTTTTTCCCTGTCTCAAGGTTTAAGGACAAGTGTGTGTGTGGATGATTGGTTCATCATTGTTTTTCATTTGCTCAGGGGAAAAAGACATTTTGTCTTTGTCTCAGTGGAGCTTTGATGGTGAGCATCTTTTTGTGTGTAAATCACCCTCTCTATTGTATAGCTTTGTTATTATTGTTGCTGTTACTGTTTTCAAGTAAATTTTTCTTATCTTGACTCAGAAACACTGTTTTTTGTCTCCCTCTCACAAGAGAGGGTAGGGGAACGGAAGCAGTTGAGTGCAGTTTAATTTACAGCTGGGTTTAAACCACAACAGATGACAAACATATTGACACATAGAAATGTGGGCTCAATCCATGCTCTCTCCAAAGAGAGCAGCAAATAGGAGAGCCAGCCCACTGCTTTTATTCCAGTTTTTACAGATAGATTCTCTGCCCTTTTTCTTTCAGAATTGAACATAATATACCAAAATAGTTCAAAGGTGAAAAAATTACTAAGTAATCATTGTGATTAATTTTTTAAAGCTTTGCATGAATCAATACCAATATCTGCAGAATGAGAAGCGATAATAACTTACTATTAATGTAATGCTGTTTGCCTTAGAATCGATTTCTGTTTCACCTTTCATAAGGCTCAGTCGAATAATGAAGGTTTCCTGAACTTCAACTTCTTCATGTGGATAGATTTGTAGATTAATTGTTCTCAGACCTCCTTCTCCTTCTTCAAAATAGAATGTTCCATTCACAGGGTCACCAATGTCACTATTCAGAGGAGACAAAATTTCTTCTGAATTGGGTCCCAAAATGTCCCAGTTAATCTGTGGAAGAGATCAGTTTCAGATTTAGAGGGGTGATACATTATAACAGCATCCCAAGGGGAGAAGTGACAGAGTACCAAAAGTACTTAGCTATGTTTAAATATATGCTATTAATACAGGATACAAAATAGTAATAATTAATTATTACTATTAATTAACTATTAATTATTACTACGGGACAAAATATAGAAGCCTTTGAAAAAGTAAACATGTCAATTTACAAATGGGAATTTTAAAGTGTTAGTCACAATGCCAGTTTATTAAATTCTAGATGTTAGTAATAGAAAAGAAACTAAGATTTCTTTAGCATATAGCAAGAATCACAAAGGTCAGTGTCTATTTCTCGTCTCTTTCATGACTTGTTTTGCAAAACTTCCCACATCAGTGCTCATGATCAAAACCATTTCCCCTTGAAGTGTGATGTCAAGTCTAAAAATGACAAATATTTTCTGTCATAAAAGTTTTTAACCCTTCATATTACAAAGAAAATTATGAATCCTTCATATTTCTTCAGCCTGATTAAAAGCCACAGCATTTTCAGTGATTCCCACATATTAGATTGCTTTTAAGGAGGCTATATTCAGGACTTTATTATTTTGTTAATTTCAGTGTTTTCTGCTTTTCTCCAATGACTTCTAGAAAAAGTCAAAGATTGAGGCAATTTTTATATGTGGAGAAGAAGAGTTCATGGCGTATATTGCAAATTTTCCAATTATTTGACAAGACTGTGAAAGGCCCACCATGTTTTTTATTTATATCTTCACTTTATAAGTGGCCTCTATAGAGTAGAAAAATACTCTACGAAACTCAGAGTAAGAAATTTCCTGAATTAAATTAAAGTAGTAGTAGTACATGAAGTTAACTACAATTTTCATGGGATTAGGAGCTACTTCAAAACAATGCACACAATACCATAATAAAAGAAGGGAAGCAGGAGAAGAAAGAGGATTTTAAAAGGGTAACAACACTTTCTGTTATACTGCAGCTATATGCAATTCATGTTTAATAAAAAGTTGTAATTATACAATTAGAAATCAGTCACTAATAAATCTCTCAAAGTAAAATGAAGAAGGTTTTTGACGTAGTCACTGGAAAACTTTCAGTCTTTTACAGGCAAGACCCACTTGTGCCTCCACCAACTGCCCAGTCCTTTCCACCACCAGGGACACCGTTGTGGTTGCATCAGGGTTGGGAAGAATAATTTGGCTTTGGTTGAGAAATCGGACCATGCCCTGGGGAGAATCACTTTTCGCAATAGTGACCTGGCTCACCAGGTGGAGCCCCAGGATGGCTCCACCAGTGGCTCCTGTCAACTGGATTTCAAATAGCTCTGCAAATTCACTGCACAGAAAAACAAACAAACAAACAAACAAACAAACAAACAAACAAACATAACAAAAAAACAAAAACAAGACATTTTGAGATATGAGAAAAGAAAAAAATTAAAACTGTATTTAGTAATTCAATCATGCATCCAACTGAACATATTTAAAAGAATAAAGAAATCATCTCCATAGGTGCAGTGCAGAAGATTCCTTCTAGTTGCATAGAATGGTGATATCTGAAATAAAAATATTTCATATATCATCATTCTGAAACTCTATCATTATTCTATTTTCTACTAGCGTTAAGTTAAACAAAAATATGGAAAAATATTTTATACTTCATAGCAGTACTGTTGACACCAACATTTCTTATAATGTAATTAAAAATCATATTTCATTGCAAGCATGATTGCATACTATTTAACAGAACTATGACACTGTAATGTAACATCTTATTTTTTCCCCTGTAGGTGGTTTTCTCCCTTAGGTAATTTTTTAGCTCTGCAGAAATTTTTCAATTCCAGCTCTATACACACATATGTGTAGATTTTTTAGCACATGCTAAAAAAGACGTAATCACAAGTAAATTGGTGAACAAATATCTGAAAATGTAATTACCTTTCTTCATCATTTATAATAGATATGTAAATAAAAGACTGGTTCTGTTCATGATAAAAAATTACAGTATTATTATGAATGACATAGTCAACACCATGAATTGCAGAAATACTTCGAGAAAGAAAATCAGCCGTGACATTGCCATAAGTTCCACACTTTCGCAAAAGAGGAATCATGATTAATCCAGCATCCTCTTCCACTATAAAAATAATTGAGAAAAAATTATGTAATTTCAAAATTCATGCCAAAGCCTTATCTTCTAAAATGTTGTGAAAACTTATGGTAAACTTACCCTGTAGAAGGACATGCTGCGGATCAAATTCTATGATACCTTCAGCATTGTCATTTTTTGCAATAGTGACCCATACTGTGGAGATATTTCCTATTATTGGAGGTTGATCCACCTGCAGACCATTCTCTCTTACAGTAAAATCAAATCCACTTGCAAGAACATAAAAAAACCCAAAACATAAAAATACATTTTAAACTTCTTGTGAAAGTATAAACATGTGTGTGTGACGATTTTTGAATTACTGCAAACAAATTTATTTTCTGACAGTTACTACTGAAGACTTTTTTGTCATACTTCTTCATATTATTATGTTTGCAAGAATTATTACTAGAAATGTGTATATTTCATTTGTTCCTTCTCATTTCATATTTTTAATGAAATTTCTTGCAACTTGGCAATTTGTATCTAATGTATGGATTTTAAGTTTTATTAAATCTTAATCACCAACATCTCATACTAATGTTAAAATAATTGGGTTTACCATACACACATTTTATATTATGATTACAATTACAGCTGTCTTACAAAATTTTATAGTAAAACAGATGAAATGTCTAGCAGTGATTGTATTCAGGTAGATCAGAATCCAAATACAGTTTGTTTTTCTAGTTTGTTTTCTGCTTTTAACAAACCAAATGGAAATTTTAACTTTACCTTCCTTGGAGTTCCACTTCACTAATCATCAATGAAAAGTTTTCAGGACCTTCAGGAAAGTCATCATCATGAATTTCAATCAAAATAATTTTACTTTCCTCCTCTGGTTCAAATACCATTTCCTTTACTGTGGGAGTAAAATCCATTCCTTCCTCTGCAGTCCCATTTATTATCTGAAAGCGAAGAAGCACTCTGCCATAGGATCCCTTGGAACGCACAACAGTGATGTTTACCTGAGGGAAAGAGAATATTTTCTTTTAAAATGGCTTTGCTTTCTGTTACAGTTATCTTTAAGATGTTCTAAAGTCATATTTTCAATGGTTCTGTCAGGTAACAACAATATGATTTACCAAGTACAGAGTACATGTAATTTAGCAGATAGCCACAGTCACTTTAGAGACTGATTTCTTTTCTTTCTAAAGTTGAACATAATTCTAGCAACAACGTTGATATCTAGCAGTAATATTGTATAAAAAAAGAATTTTAATCTAATACCCATTTTTCATCTTCTGTTGTTTGCAATAGTTCACGGGAGAATGTAAACTCTCCATACGGATAATCACTGGCAGCCATGGTAATATTTGCTGTGCTGCTAGATTCATTTATGTGTCCTCCATCACTGATTCTGGTTAGTTGAAATTGGTAGTAATGCTTTTCCTCAGGACAGCTGTCATCTACAGCCTACAGGAAAGAATCAACAACAGCTATAAGGATTTAAACCATTTCCAGAGAGAGAGAGAGAAATAATTTTTAGCCAAGATCCTAAGAAAATAAAATAAAGTACTTGAAATAGCTACTGGTATCAGATGTCTCATATACCTGTATTAGAACAACTGCTGCAGACTGCCTATCTCGCATGGTCAAGGTTCCCGATACCTCGATAAATTCTGTCTGATGAGGAGGTGTTATATTCCAATATATTATGATCTCCCCAAAAATCCCTGGGCCACGTACCAGGCTGTAGGTAAGGACACAAACACAGATTTCATTTTTACCTTTATTATTTAATATCCAGTACAGAGATAGTATATCATACTGTTGTGCATGGAAGAAATGTTATCAGCACTATGAAAACTTGAGTTTTAATGTACTTAATCACTGTTAAGAACATGAGAATTCTCTTCTCAGGCATTTTCAGAACAGCTCTGAAGTTCTCTTTTAATTCTCTGTGTTTGGAGGCATCTCCAGCTGTATTTTTACCAAGAGGTCTTTCAAGTTTCTTTCCATGTATAGCCCAAAGATGGGACTGGAAAACTGCTTTATTTTTCTATTTCTAAATGTTCTATTCTTTTCCAGAGATAGATATGCAAAATAGAGGGAAATTGGATGCCAGGGTAATGCCAGGGGCAATTTGATCTATAAGGCAGATGTAGGATACATCTGCCTTGAGATTTTCTGTGATATGTTCTGTCTGCTATTTGTCTAAAATCCTACTAATAACATAATGCTTGGATAAGTCACAATAAAGATTTGTCTGCTCATTCTACACATAACACAATCTTAAACTACTTCTTGCACAAAGCATTGTTTTGTCTCTTGGGCTTCTTGTGCCTGTACAAGAAGGTGCTCAGCTGCTTTATATTTGCTGGAAGTGTCATAATGTTTTATTCCAATGGTCTTAGAAGATTCTTCTAAGAATCTACAACTCTTCATTCTGTTTTCAGTTGACTGAATAAAACAATTGCAACTGTTTTTTATTTCCACCAAAACACCCATTCCCATACTGTTCATGATAGAATATAACAATTTGCTGAAATACTATTCAGGCACAAATCCTGAATCAAATTCTAGAAAGCACACAGCACCTTCATATGTCACATTTTCTTACCCCTTTCCTTTGATTAAGGTCCTCTTTCCTTTGGTGCATCAATGTTGTAAATAACTTGAAGACCAAGAGGAATATTTGGACCTCCCCATTAATACTGAAAGGATACACACATGATATATTCTACCCTTCCTTAAAACCAATCACTAGTTTTTAAAATAGCACTGATTATAGAAATTATGATAAAATATAGTACTCAATAAATTGCCAAATGTGGGGTCTCATAGCTTTTGAATCTGGGCTATTGTTCCTTCTCTGAAAAAATGAGAGACACACTCACCTAATAAGAGCAGTTCCATTATAACTTCCAGAAGGTTCTCCAACCAAAACATGCTTGGATGAATGGGCTATCCCAACCACCCCAGAAGCTCCTTCATCTCCCATAATAGTGATGGTTGCAACACCTATGAAGAGAAAAATTATTCTCATGGTAAGTGAAAACTAAGCAAATTACCTTTGGTAAATTTTGTGACATGAGTGGTTAAACATTAACTTCACAGAGGGCCTGTGGAACGCTCTTTGACTTCTTCAGGTAAGGAACTTAGGGAAAAAGACTGACATTGAAAATTGTGACCAACTAGATGCCCACAAAATACTTCAGCACTGCAGACTAAAATAATATTAATAGACTTCTAATAGTCTCATATCGAATATCTAAAACCAGAAGATACTGAATTAACTCTTTACCATTTACAGGGGATATCTCTGCATCACCAGTAGAGACTAGCTGAATGGTAAATGTTTCATTCCCCTCCAGCAGACCATCTTGTATTGCATGTAAAACAATCAGTTTCTGGGACTCAGTCTGCATCATGTAAAGACCAGAAAGACATGGATATATATTAAATTAAATAAACAAAATACGGTATTAATATTTTTTTTTTTACATATCAAGTGTTAAGAATGCTTGACATATTCTTCAGTATTTTAAAACATCAGATATCTGATCTGGCTGAAATTTCTTCTCACAGATTAATAACCAGAAAAAATTGTTTCTCAAACATTGCCGGCCATCCTAAAAATACCCTCACTATTTTCAATTAAAGAAAGATTGAAATTCCTTTGAAATTGCACTCACATAGATGTTTTTTAACTTAGAGGAAACTTTCTATAGAGAAACTGCATATTCAATAGTACACACATGTTCTAAGGATTAACACATTATTAAGATTAGATATATTAGTCAAATTTCTGCCTAATCCACATTTTTGTCAGGGGGAAGTGGCAAACACATGGTATAAATTTAGTATACCATGCATACACAGTTTATGCTTATACTCAAGCATAGATAAATGTTCAAGACAAAATGTCAAAGCCTACCAGTAGAGAAATGACAGCAAAACTTTGCCAAATACTGATGGATTTACCAGAAAAAAAAAAAAAATCTATTTTTCAGCTGACTCAAAGTAAAACAACCAGCATGCCTATTGATTTAATGAAGAAAAAGCTTATACAGAGAGAAAATAGATTATGCTCTGTTAAAATACTTTTCATCAAATATTTTGCGTAGACTGTAAAATAGAAATATTAACATTGTATTGGTATCCAATATTTAACTCTGACTTCAGAGTTGTAACCTGCCATGAATTACAAATTAAATAACACTGTCTAGTTTTAAAGATATGAAGGTGTTTTTTGGGTTTTTTTAATCTGCAGATTTTGAGCATTCATTTTTTTTTCTCACCCTTTCAATACAAATTTTCTTTTTAAGACACTTGATACTTTAGTGGAATAAGTGTTTCTTGAATCATTCTTTTCATTTGGTAGTTTTCAATTCCTCTTTCTTAATAGTAAAAATAGTGGAGATTTGAAGAGCTACCTTCCTGATGATTACATTATGCTGCATTAAAAGAGCATGTCAGCTTTCCATTACATCTTGAAAGAAGCCTGAATACTTCTAAAAGGTCAGTTAAAACTGACCTTTTTCTAGTGTATAATATTCAGTAACCCCATACTCCTATCAACAAGTAATAACAATCAGACAAATACACAGCAGAAGGAAGTATTTATAAATCTAATAGTAAATAAGTTATTGCAATGTCTGGAATACCTCACTGAAATGAAGGGTACCATTTAGAGGAGTCAGATCATATCTGGCTGCTTCCTCGAGAATCCATAACACTGTAACTGCTCCTCTTCCTCCCTGACTTCGACTTACATTGAGCAAAACAACTGCAGCGGAGTCATCAGATGTCTGTGGTTCCTTCACAGTTACCTGATGGAGAAAGAGAAGGAGAATATGGGAAAGGTTGTATTGAAAAAAGTCAAAAGCTGCATTAATAATGTCAAATTACATGGATACATGTTTAAGATAAACAATGGAAAACATTATCAATGACAATTAATAGGAGTGAAAATGGACACGAACGTAACAGGTGTAAGGAGAGTGTTGAATTCTACTACCAAGGACTAGTCATTCAAGTAATTTATTTATGCACTATGATCCAAAACAATTACAGACAATGTCACAAGCAGGTTCAGTACAAGCAAAAGGGAGAGCAGAAGTACTGCAAGAACTAAGATGAGATATGCTTTGTAATTTCTTTCCAAATTTTACTTTCAGTAATGTAGATTATTATACAGACCATCAAAAATCCTACCTGGGATGTCCTGAATTGTTAGTATAGTGAATTAAATTGATTCAGTCACACATAACTTTATATTTATACAGCAACACTTTCACTGTTATTACCATCCTACGCAGCTAGATGAAGACAAGCACTAATATTTCAATGAAATCACATCTTCCACTGCAGTGAAGACTTACAAAAATCAGCTATATGCTATTGACACAAACCCACTCCAACTTCCAACCCACTCCAACTGAGTGCAGCCTAAATCAAACTCACATTCTTTTCTTCAAACCTGAATACCCCAACAGGTGAATCATTTGGTGGAATAGCGACAGTTACCACAGTGTCATTCCCAAGTCTTGCACCACCTGTTACCCTCACCAGGGCAATTTTGAATATCTCAAGGAATTCAACTTCACTGTCATCTATGATTGTAATTTCTATTTCTCCTGTAGCCTACAGAAATGTTAAAAAGAAAAAAAAAAAAAACAACAGTTTCATTTATAATATTCTGTGAATTTTTTGAAAAAAAAATTAAAATATGCAAATTGTATCTAGTAATATCTAGACAATGCTCACTTGTTCATTTTTCCTCTTATGCTTGTATATTTAGAATAAGATATAATTTCAGTAGTGTTTTTTAGTTCCATCAATGTAAATCTTGTTTGTTAAAACCAGCAGCATGCTCTGTTTTGGTAGTCAGTAGAAAGTGAATGTTGACAATATTGTCAATATTTAGTCAAAATTCTGCACACTATGTATAACCTTCCCTTTGCCAAAGACCACTTGTATTCACTTAAAATCAAAATCCCTTGTGTACAATAGGTATTCTCAGGTGCAGCACGAAATTTAAAACTATGTGTAGAACACAGCTAAGAAAACATATAGGTTTATTCTGAGAATTTATAGTGAAGATGGATTTCACTACAAATTTTCAGTGTAACAGGGTTGATTATTAGAAGTTATGTCCTCACTTGCCAAAGTATCAAAGACACACAAGCCTATTTGGTTTTGAATATTCTGGTTTTCCATGTTAAAAAACTGAAGCTGGGAGCATCATTCATATACATAAGGCCACAAATAATGTGTTTTCAGTGAAAATTCTGCTAGAGGAAAACACACAAAAAATCTTAAGCTGATAACCAAAAGCCAGGTAAACTTTCAGCAAGTGAGTACCTGCCCATCTGCAAAGGTAAGGTTTCCAGATGATGGTGTGAAGTCTTCAAAGCTGGCAGTTGAAAGAATGGCTTCCCAGTACAGAGTTGCTGACCCAAACCTCCCAGCCTGTCGAACAACTGGGAGTTTCAATACATTCTGTGGTGGTGGTACCTCATAACCAGAAACAGCTCCAGTGATACCCTGCAAATTCAAAAAGAAACTGCAGAATGTCTCAACAAACTTTTAGTTTGCTGTTTGTTTTTTTTTCAAGCTGACTTGCAGTTAAAAATAAGGGAAGAAATATGTAACTACTTGCAAAATGTACTGGCCTTAGCATTGACATTGCTATGAGCAAAAATCTGGATTAGATGACCTCCTGACATCCCTTTTTATGACACTGGTTTCAGCACTGACAGCACAAAAATAAATTTTGTGTATTATTTGTGGCGAACAACTTGAGAAAGAATTGTTTGTCTGGTATCTGGCCATTTTTTCCAGAACAATTTAGTATCATAAAGCCAATCAGAATACTTTCAGAAGTTATCTGAGAAATCAGACTGTCTTGCTCGAAAGACACTTTACATGTTTTTCATTCAGACTTACTTACCTTTGTAACATTAAAATTAAATATTCCTCTGGCATCATCATTTTCTTCAATTGTTATTTCAGCTATTTCTAATCCAAGCCTCTTCACACTTGGCTGTCCTTCAGATAAAGTGATCAGCTGCACATCAGTAATATTGATTATAAAGCCTTCCTGTAATTCTGGAATATTGTCCTGAAAAAAAGTTTTCAATGTCTTTTTTTTTAAATGATACATTGCAATATAATACAGTTGACTACTTTTAGGTACTTTACTGTTTAAAAATTCTTAGTATTTGGGACCAATAATCAACCTCTGGCTTCATACCATATGAAAGATGAAAAGATACTTTTGCTGAGATTGCGAAATAGAAGCTGACAAGTCAGATTTCAGATCTTCAAGAACAGTGAAAAGCACTGCTGGCTGTCACCTGTTACTGCTACCTATGAGAAAGTCAGCTAGATCTCAGAAACCAAGCCATGACTTGAAAATCAATATCTCTATTCTAAATATATTTAAAGAATATACATAATCTTTTTCATTATTATAAGTAAATTTTGGGATTATAATCAAAGAATTTGGCTCATCTCCAGTGATGAGTATGCAAATTTTTTTTTAAAGAGATGGCTAGAAGAGTCCCAGCACAGCCATATCTAGAATGTTAAGTCATACTACTAGTATAAAATCAGTACCATTTCCATTTTTTTAAAAGATATTAATAGCTCAAGAAATTGTTGGCTACTCACAGGTAAAATAGTGACTATGACAGAAGTTGTTGTTGCATTCTCTGCCATAATTACTGTTTTCTTTTCCAGTATATAATCCTCATTTTCTGTTGCTTGATTGGACAGGGGGAGTTCAAAGTTTGGTGCAGTGCTCAACTGGACTGCAAGATCCCCAAGAAAACCTTGTTCTCGAACAATTTGTAGAGTAACAGTAGTTGAATTCTCTGGCCCTATAGTAAGGAGAGAAAAAATTCAAGATATGATTGTTTTACAATCATAGAATATGCTGAGTTGGAAGGGACCCATCAGGATCATCAGAGTCCAACCCCTTGCCCTGCACAGGATACTCCAAGAATCACACCATGGGCCTGAGAGAATTGTTCAAATACTTCTTGAACTCTGTCAGGCTTGGTGATGTGACCACTTCCCTGAGGACCCTGTTCCAGTGCTCAGCCACGCTCTAGGTAAAAAACCTTTTCCTGCTATCCAACCTAAATCTGCCTGAACTCAGCTTCATGCAATTTACTTGAGTCCTGTCACAGGGCACCACAGAGTGCAGCAATCAGTGTCTGCCCCTCCTCTTCCCCTCATGAGGAAGTTGTAACTGCAATGTCTCCCCTCAGTCTCCTCCTGTCTAGGCTGAACAGACCAAATAACTTCAGCCACTCCTCGTATGACTTCTCAAGGTATTCACCATTCTCATGGCTCTCCTCTGCATGCTGTCTAATAGTTTAATGTCTTTCTTATATTGAAGTGACAAAAACTGCTCCCAGGACTGGAGGTGAGAGTGCCCCAGTACAGAGCAGAGTGGGATAATCCCCTCCCTTGTCCGGCTGGTGATGCTGTGCCTGATGCTCCCCAGGACACAAGTGGCTCTCCTGGCTGCCAGGGCACTGCTGGCTTATGTTCAACTTGCCACTGATGCCCAGGATCCCCAGGTCGCTTTCCATTGCACTGCTTACCAGCATCTCTTTCCCCAGACTGTCCATCCATCAAGGGTTGCCCCATCCCAGGTGCAGAATCTGTGACTTTCCCTTGTTAAACTTCATATGGTTGGTGATTGCCCAGTGCTGTATTTTGTCAATGTCTTTCTAATTTGTTGACATCTCTCTTCAGAGCCTCTCTGCCCTCAAGGGAGCCCCTCCCAGTTTAATGTTGTCAGCAAACTTAGTATTCGCAAGACTCCTGCATCCAAGTCATTTCTCACAGTATATCACAGTACAAGCTGGCTTGTACAGTGCAATTAATTTGGATATAAATAAGAAACCAGCCAGTTCCATAAACTGGCCTCTGGGTTGACAGACAGGAACCTTAATCAATTACCTTCCACCCTGAGCTGCAGAACCTCACTTGTCTGGTAGCTGGGCAGTGTTAAAAGATCAGGCCAATGAGCTATCTAGACTGGGGCATTTCAAACCCCCTTTATAAAGAGGGGTTCAAACAATAAACTCTCTCTGTTGCCACATGGACATTAGGTGTGTGCGTCATCTCTTTCTCTGACCCTCCCCTCTTCATGATACAATTGTTCATGAAGATGTTGAAGAGAACTGAGACTAGGATGAGCCCTATAGAAGCCGTATTTTAGCCCTTGGCCTGCTTGATTTTCAGCTCAGGTAACTACTGGAGCTGCTTGCTAGAGCCCGCTTCAGTTCTGCTCAATGACACAACAGTCCTTGGATAATTCTAGGGCTTAAGCCAATGAACACATACAAATGGTGTGAACACACAAAACAGTACCTATATCTAAAGATACTGTGCATTGAAAAACTGGATCTGGAAGAAGAACAAGATATTAAATATCTACAGTTTTATATGCATGTTACACAAATTATTACTTCAACACTTCTACTTTTATTCAGTTATGCTTCAAAACTTCTATCTCAATAATCAGCCTAACCTTTCATGCCTAGGCCATCACTATTGATTCTAACACAGAAAGTGGTATTGAGGGCAGTCATTCTGTCTGTAAATGTCACATTTCCTTAACTTAAATATCAAAGAAGTTAAATAGACTTGTATCAGTCAGGCTCAGCATCCTTTTGGGAAAGCAGATTTGTAATTTTATCCAATAAATAATGAAACACATAATCTGGCTCAAAGTGGTGCATTTATGACTGGAGAAATAGAAAAAGATAAAATGTAAACAGGCTTGTACTTCAAACCAGTTACTGTAACTAGGTATTATTTCACAGATAGAACTTGTGAATAATCATTAAAAGTACAACAGTTAAAGATTGGGGAAAAAATCCCTGTGCAACCAGTGGAAGCTAGGAACCTTCCTTGAATCTAACTTCAAAGTATAAATGTTTATAATGTGTAAAAAATCAACAGTATCCCTTTACATTACTTCCAGGTGGTAATAAAGGGGCAACACCAATTCACCTGAAAATAAAACATGTTAGAATGTTTTTTGCCTGTGATAATATACTCTGATGGAAAAAGTATTTCTAAAGTATATATAATTTTTTAATATGGACAGAACCTTAAATTGTTATAAAATTCTAACTGAGTTGTTAAAGTATGAATAGCCCATCATGTAGCTGCGGTAAGAGCCCCAAAAATGCCAGCTAGCTCCCTGAGCCAGGAGAGAGGGAAAAAGCTTGAGCATCATGGGAGTTCTCTTCTGACCAACTGCCTGGGAAATCTTTTTCAACCTGTGTCTGGAAGGAAAATCAAATCAAACATGCAACTGCAAGCAGAAAACTACCACCTTTTTCGTGAAGTAGAGTTGACTCCTGCTCTGCTTCCTTCCTTCCCCATGTCCTCTGAGCAAAAAGCTTCCCTTTTTGAGCCACTTCAAGAGCAAAGTCTTTCTATGTAAATTATTTTAAACAATATAGCAATCCCATTAAATGGGTAACTTCTGCTTTTTATATAAACAGGAATATTTTATGCATTAGTGATTTGCAACTTACCTCTCAAACAAGAATGGCTGAAGAATATTGATGTATGCAATGTGAAATACAGCATAGTTACATATTTTAAGGGATATTTATGCTATAAATAATAAAATACTGCTGATATAGAAAAAACTTTAATAAAAAACTGCTTTATATATATATATATATATATATAAAATTTATACATATATGTATATACATATATATGTATACATATATGTAACCAGTATTAATAACTTCAACAATGCTGACTTTGAAAAAACAAACATTCTTTCCAAAGAATCAAGAAACAGACTTACCTTCTGGCTCTGTGATTTTAACGAAGACAGACTCCATGTGCCATTCAATCACTCCATGTGGAGAGTCACTGGGCAAAATGCTAAGTACAGCTCTTGCCCTTTCGGGATCTATGACAGCTCCTTTTGTGCTATCTTGAACATCCATAGTGGTAACACGGGTGAGTATGATTTCCACTGCCTCTGAAAGTTCTGCAATGCTGTCCGCGAGAATTGTCAGGGTGATTGTGGACAGGGCCTGACCTTCTGAAAATGTTACCTAAAGTTTTAGAGGGAAGAGGATAAAAAAGTAAAATTTCTTGTCTGTGTTAGTAAACCTAGTTTTATTCTGTAAACTTTATCAGTTAGAAAATGCATCTACATACACACAAACATATCTTAGATAATCATAGAATAAAAAGTTGGAAGGGACCACAAGCATTATCTGGCCCAATCTTTCTTGGCAGTACCACAGACTAACCAAGATGGTCCAGCATCCTGTCCAACTCAATCTTAAAAGTGTCAGTTTTGGGGAGTCCACAACTTTCCTGGGAGGGTTATTCCAATGAATGATTGTTCTCATGGTGAAAAATTTTCCTCTTATGTCCAATGAGAATCTCCGAAGGAGTAACTTGCATCCATTACCCCTTGTCTTTTCAATGTGACACCTTGTGAAAAGTATTCTCCTTTGTAGCCACCTTTTACATACTGACACACGGTCTGAATATAAGGTCTCCCCACAACCTTCTTCTCTCAAGGTTGACCAGTTCTCTCAGCCTTTCCTCATATGACAGTCTTCCCTGTCCTCTGATCACATTTGTGGCCAGTTCTGGACCCCTACCAGCCTGCCCATATCTATTTTCCATAATGGGGACCAAAACTGAACATGGAATTCCAGCTGTAGCCCAAAGAGTGCTCTGTAGAGTGGGCTAATGACTGCTTTATCTGTGCTGGGAGTGGCCTCGTTGATGCAACCCAGAAACATTCTGGTGGATTGCCTCAATATTCACGAATATTGAGCTTATTGACCAGTAGAATCCCCAGGTCCCTCTCCCTGGAACTAATCCTCAGTCAGGATAAATGCCAGTGGGTGCTGCACTCCTGGATTATGTTTTCCATAGTGCAACATTTTTTCCTGATGAATCTTCCAGCCTACCCAGGTCTTCCTGTTAGGTGGCTCTCCAAGAGTCCACTTCCTCACTTAGTTTGATATCGTCATCAAACTTCATCAGAGTACATCTGATCTCATCACCTATGTCACTTATGAAGATCTTAAACACTGTTGGGCCCAATATTGATCCCTGAGGGACCACACTTGTGACAGATCACCAGTTTGAAAAGGAGCTGGGGGCAGCAATAACATTAGTTTATTTAGAAGGCCACAGAAAGCTGTATCAAAAACCTTGGAGAAATCCAGGTAGACAATGGCTTTTTCTTTTCTTATTAAACAGCCTTTATCTCAAGATTTTTCTCCTTACTTTCTCGTCATCCTGCTGAGATGGGGAATAAGAGAGAAATAGTTGGGGATTTTTAGACAGCTAAGGTCAACACACCACATATATCCATATCAAAATAATGAACATATATGTCTCAAAAACATTGCTATGTGAAAAAATGGCAACTCAACTTTTTTTTTTTCCTTCTTCTTCAGATAAAATGATTGATACATTCTTTTTCTATATTCTTATTTTTAAATTCAAAGGGCCTGCAACTTGATTTGGTCTTTCTCAACAAGGAAGATGTGTCTAGAAACACTTAGCCTACACATAATGGTAGGACAAACAGAAATTTCCACTAAATATTATCCTTTATGACTCTTCTTGCATGCAAAGCTATGCAGTGTACTCATATGGTATGTAGCTGGAATGCTGAAGGAGTACTCTAACAATTTCAGTATGATTGTTTTGGCATCCTTGATTTCCACTCCGTTTATTTTTCTCTTCACTATTTTTTGGGCTTTATGTCTGCTACAGACAGCCAGAAGGTGGAGAACTTTGATTTACAGAAACTGGCTCCTGCCAGTCCTAAGGCACATAAAAATCTTTGACCATAGGACAGACCGGGTTTTAACATGGCTGGGATTCTAAAAGTCTCAGAAACATTGAAAAGTAGGACTTGTCATATTCTGCTGGACGACTTAAGTTCTCCATTGTATTGAAAAGGTCAGGACAAAGAGCAAACATTCCCAGATTCCCACCTAAGCAAACAGTTTGACATAGGAACTGAATCTCACAGCAGGAAGAAAGGAAGATGGGAATAGGATACTATAGATACACATCTCCTGTGCCTGGACAGCATTGCAATATCATGTTCCAGAAGTGTTAGGGCGATAACACCATATTATGTGCCAGCCAGCAGCACAAAACTTTTGAATCACAGGAAAGGACCAGGAAGCAGGGATTAACAAAAGTGGGGCAATCTAACATGTACTGTCCTTCTCACTCAGTACATCTTTTCCTATCGTCTGAGACAATATAGTCAGTGCCTCCCCAATAACAGTAATATTATTAAATACCATTCCTGAAGCTGGAAATACATCACTTGTGCTCCCATTAGCGATCCACTCTACTGTAACTCGTCCATATGTTCCTATTAAACGTTCAATATTCAGGGTGATCAAGTTGTCCTGTTCCATTTCTTCAATTTGCTTAAATAAAGAACTCTGGAAAACATATGGCAGCAGAACCAAAGCATTATTTTCTTAAAAAGAGAAGTTTCTTTAGGGAACAGGATATTCAAAGGGGGGCAGAGACATTGGGCTTCAATAAATTATTCTACTATTAAGCAGCTAAATGCAAGTCTATTGATTAAAATTTTATAACTTAATACTCAACAGGTCCAAATTTCATAAACAAGAATTTGAAATGTCAGACCTCTTCATCCTAAGGGAAAAAATTCAACGATTTTTGTTAGGTTTTTTTTCTTGCAGTATTTTATGACCAAATCATATGAAGCAAATAAACATGTAGACTTTCAAGACAGACATATTTTATCTGCTGTTACTTTACTAATATTCATCCTCCTCACACAAGTCCAGATACAATGTTTCATTTCAGTGATTATTCTTCTGTGTTTTACATCTTCATTATACATTTAGTACATATATCTGTACTGTATAATATTTAGTACAATATTTAATAGTTTAAGAATCAACAACTCCAAATAATATCTTCAGTCTGACATTTTCTCCAAAGTTTTTATTTTGTTCAGGCAGATGGGCTCATTCTGTGGTGTAACTATTTTAGAGGAAAAGAATCTTTACTTAATTCCTTTGATTAACCAATCAGTAGAGACTACAATGATATCATATATGCCATCTGATAACTAATTTTTTAGGTTGTTGCAAAATAAAGCTGATAAAATAATGGGTTATTCTAAATGTAAGGGGATTAGAAAAACCCCACAACAGGGACAGACTGGAACTAAGTTTCTATTGCCTGTCATCTATATAACCAAGCAACAATGCTAAACGGAAGTCAAAGCCCTTCTGTCTCAGGTTGCTACAAGACTTTAGAAAAAGAATCCTGTCACATGCAATTTTAGTATGTTTGTGTTCTGTTATTCAGAAATGGTATATACATATTTTAATGATTTACCTTAAAAGTTTTACCTGGGCAAATGCAATGACTCCATAGGCATTGTCATTGGGAGGAATAATTATGTTAACGAAACTGTGGACACCAATCTCTGCACCTCCTTTAGGGTTTTTCAGATGCACTTTAAAACATTCTTCCTCCTCTGGCATGATGTCATCCAGGATATTGACTGCTATCACAGCTTCCATGTCCCCAGGCTCAAATATCAATTCACCTGAACTAGCATACAAAAACCCACATCAAGTAATTACAAACTGAGGATATGATTAACAAATTTTGAAAGCACTACTGAAAATTTAAAGAGCATTTTTGATGCTGAAATTGTTGTTTATATTCCTGAGTAAGTCAATGAAGTTTAAAGGTTGTGGGATTAGTGTTGGGTTTGGTTTTTTTCTTAATTACAATAGAACATATAGTAACTGATATTTCTTGTTAATGTAATGCAATTTAATTAATCCTAAATAAAAGCTTCAATATCCAGTTTAACTACAAGTCCTTGTATTACATATTTTAAAGCAAATTGTGACAAGTTTGACTTCAGGTTATCCTAAGGCTACCTGTAAAAAATTCTCTTTAGTGTTAATAAACACATCCCACACAGGAGTCTATAATGGTCTTCACTGTAACAAAAAGACTACCACAGAAAAAGGAATGCAAGAGCTGGGAGAGAAACCAAAAAAATCTACCTAGGTATAAAATCTGATTGGTTGGAGATAGTTGTCAGCTCATAAATCTGGGAGCTGGACCCAATGGAAAGAGCAATCAAACTCTTGCTGGAGTTCAGAGACCTTGCAGTAGTGAAAGTGATATGATCTGCATATGGGGCTTCCAGCATCAGAGAGAACTGGTTCCCTTCTGAGTTCCAAGAGTAGAGTGCTGTTGTGTCCTTACCAGAGAGGAGGATGTGAACTACATTGAGCAAGGAAGAGAAAAAAAGAAATATTCAGTGATATATTTAAAATTTCTTGTAATATCAGAAATGCCCTTGGCAGCTCAATTTTTAAAGTATCTCTTAAAATCTGATAAATAATATGAAAATTGAATGCATATATTTCTCCAGTTCCAGTACTATAAACAATATCTTACCTAAACCTGAAGGAGGAATGAAAACATGGATGTTTCTTACAGCAGAGAGTGGAAGAGACTGAAAGTGTCTGAAGGTAGGCTGCCCTGTCTCCCAGATGTAAATTTCAGAATTTCCAGTTTCTACAAAGGAGAAAAATTACAAAAGCTACATTATATTGCTGCCTGTTAATTAAATCACACACTGGAGGCCATTCAAAGGCAGAGATTGGCAGCTTTAATTACAAAGTGAGACCAGTGATTGTATCTTCCTTTTTACTTGCATAACTCCATAGCATGATTTCCCATTAGATGATTTATTCCATGACATAATTTATGGATTTTTCTGCACACATTCACATATAAGAACACTGAAAAGCCCAGCAGACAACAGTCAAGTGCAAAGAAACCTATGGACGGCATTATACACTTTTAAAGAGTCACAGGGATGCAGACATAAAACAATGTCTAAAGTGTCATACTTGTAATAAAAATGTACTTTGCTGAACTTAACTCAGTAAACTTTGCTGACTTTGCTGAACTTGTCAATGCTCTTTGCATGTGACAAAGCTCAGAAGTTTAGAAAGGACGCAATTAGCAGCTAGATGAATAGAGTTATTAATTCCTATTGTTATTGGGAAAATATTAATTAATTTCATAAATATTTAAGAACATACAAAATGCTTTCATTTTCTGAAGGCCAAAACAGAGATTACTTCAGTAAGATGCTTTTCAGCAAATTGTCACCCCCAGTAATATTTTAATCTCTATCTAAACCCCTTTTATTCCAAACACCTTTGCTATCAAACAAGCCAGCATATACCTCACAAACTCAGTGTTTGTTTTCTGCAAATACCTTTTGCAACAATTAAATATATGTCAGATCCAGAAGTCCAGGCCTCCATATGTTTTATTTCTTTTGCTGGTAACTGACGAAGATTCCTAAACTCATTATTCAGCCATTGGTACAAGAGCACATTCTGGCTGGTATTTGACAACGCAACTAGTAAGTACATAATGCCTCCTCGGGGAAACAAGGCAATACTCAGAGCTTTGTAAAGTGGAAGTTGATGATGTGGCACAAATATATCTTTATTCCACTGGAAAACCTGGAAAACAGAATATGTATTTTATTATATATTTATAACAAGCACTAATTAAAAATAAATTAAGTATTTTGATGAAAAATTGGAAAGACTTATAATTTACTAAATTCCTCATTTCTATAGTGGATCCTACATTATGGTGGAAGCACACTGATAAGCAGCTATTAGTAACTACCTTACTGAATGTCTGTTCTTTAGATGAACAGGTTTATGGTCAGAAGCTATTTCTATTCCTACAGTTCTTTAACGTAATAGACTTCAAAACAGAAATGACAGTAGCAATATAACCAAACCAAGTCTAAATTACATGTTAATGTAAGGAGTGTTGTTACATTTAAACAAATCTAGAATTTTATATCTTATACATCTGTAATAGAAATGTAACTAATTTTTCAGGAATATATATTTACTTTTTTATCTATATTTCCTTCGCATTTCAAACTGAAAACTAATCAAACTACCTACATCAAAGCCATGAAGACAAGTGTGTTCTAACCTGGATGGGACTGTAACTGGTGGTATCACTCACAAAAACCAAATAGTCTTCCTCATCCACAGCAAAATGTTTGACAAGTGTGGTATCCAAAATAGAGAGGGTCTGTAGCTACAAGGAAAATATGGCAAAAATGGTATTTGGAAGTCAGTTCAAGTTTATACATATGCACACATATTTTTTAAAAACTGTAAACATATTAAACGTATATAAAATAATGTATAAAAACTGTCATAGATGTAATTTTATAGTTTTAAAAACATATATGATGCTATTTTACAAAATTAATATCAGTTACCATACATTTTTCAGAAAATTCTCTATGACTTCATTACTCCGCAATTTCTTTCTTCACTTCAAAGATCATTTTATCTCACCCTCAAAATATGACTACAAAAAACATTTGACAACAAGCTGTAATAACTGTCATGGTTTAGGAATGGTATTTCTCAATTTAGTGTTCCCACTGAAATACTCCAAACCATGCTGCCTCTTCCTTTCCCCCCTGCAGTGGGATGGAGAGGAGAATTGGAAGTACAAAAGATGAAGATCACGGTTTGAGATAAGGACAATTTACTGCAAACAGCAATGTTTGATGTTGTGATGAGAAAATTAGCAGTAAAAACAACAATAATATTAGCAGAAGGTACAAGAGAGGCAAAGATTCACATGTGAAAATGCTCACTACACACAACCTGTCAATACATGAACTCCACCTACACTACCACAAACCCCAGGAGGGTCCCTTTCCCCCATCCCCAGAAAATGACATGAGGTGATACAGAATAACCTCGGGGCTCCAGCCATACCCCCTCCTGGCTACTGCAATATTAACCCTGCCCTGGCCTAAACCAGGACAATAATTTACATCATTGACTCATGCAGATTTTTCAGTTGCCAAACTATCTGAGAACAGAGTTCTTTTTTCCAAAACATAGTGGAAGAGAAGGGCCTCACAACGTCCTTTCTAACACCAATATTTAATGAATTTGTAAGTAACAGAGATTTACCTTCAATAGTTTGCGCCCAGGCATGAATGCATACACACTGCTGTTGGATGCTCCCCAGCTGCTTCCTCCATGAGTAATCACAAGGTAGGGAGAGGCATGGATTTGGAAAGACACACAGCTTTTAGGATTCCACATACCGAAATTCTGAGAGAGGAACAGAAATTTAGAAGTGAAACGCCAAGGTTTTACTAAGCAGCATGGTTGGTGTCTGTAAGCAAGCATTTACCTCGATGGCAACAAAAACTCCTTTCCACTGGTAGACAGTAGAAAACACAGCTGGAGGTGAACGCAACAGCACACCATACAGGTTTTTTTCCAATGCAAAGAAACACCAGCCAGCTGCTGACTCTTCCACAAAGCTTTGCACGACAGACAGAACACTGATACTATCCCCTGCAATACAGTATAAGAGAAAAGTATTTATCTTTTTGGTCTTTTACAACACCATTTTCATTATTTACTTATGAAAACCAAATCTAGTATCAGAAATCACAGAATATTCTGAGTTGAAATGGACCAACAAAGATTATCGAGTCCAGCTCTTAAGTGAATGGCTCGTACAATGGTCAAACTCACAATCTTGACATTTTTGACCATGCCATAAATGCGTAATCTATATTCTAAGTTGTTTCTAAATAGCTGGTATAAGTGCATGTAAATGCATGGAAATGGTATAGCACTGAGGTTGTACTGAGAATTAAATAATTAATTAATTTCTTATATATTACTATTACATATGGAAGATGCATAGACAATTTGAGTGTGATTCAGAGTGACTCAGTTTGGAGTTTAGGTAGTAGTAGAGAAAATTATCTAGATAAGAAGGAATGAAATAGTGGCAAAAAAACTAAAAATGTGTTTATCCTCATTCTCTCTCTCATCACAAGTAGTAGTCATGGCAATAAGATTTTTCAACTGCCTAGTCATTCAACACTTACAGAAAATAGTGTCTTTTATATTATTTAGAAAAATCCAGAATTACAAGTAGAAAAGAACAGATTTATAAACCAAATGCCTTGTGAAAATATATAAGCAACAGGAAGACCAATACAGATTGTTGAAAATATGGCAGCACTGACTGATGACAAGCTGACTCTTATGCAGCCAAGATATCTAACGAATTTGGATATCATAGGAATATTATAAGTGAATTTTCACTCCTAAGTTATATCTCCTGTATGTTTGGTTACTCTGTAGCTACTTTCACTCTGAAAATAGCAACGGATGCTCTTGACAAAGTGAACGTACTGATGCCAAACGCAGTATCCGACAATGTCTCCCACTCAACACTCACAGACACGTTGAGCCCATTACTCCGTGAAACTTTCAAATAAACTGTAGTGTTTGCTTCTTCAACGGTGAAGATATTTGTCCTAAATTTGAGAATGGTGAAAATAAATTTTAAGAAGCATTATTTTTATAGTATAAAAATAGGAATTTTACACTTTCAGCACAGAACATGCAATTAAAATAAAACACTGGGTTTGCTCTGTGAAGGACAAATGCTAATTAAGGTTGTCCAATGTTTCTGCACACAAGACTTTGACAAAATCATGGGAAATTCAGCAAAATCTAAACCAGCCTGAAATCTAACACACAACTATATGGGTAAAGCTGAATGATTTCTGAAAACATCATTCCATATCAGAGGCTAATATAATCATAGAATGGTTTGGGTTGAAAAGAACCTTAAAGATCATCTTGTTCCAGCCCTCCTGCCATAAGCAGGGACATCCTCCACTAGACGAAGTTGCTCAGAGCTCCATTGAACCTGACCTTGAACACCTACATGCCTGTGGATGTGGCATCCACAGCTTCTCTTACCAGTGCCTCACCACCCTCACGATAAAGAATTTCTTCCTGATATTTAATCTGAACCTACCATCTCTCAGTTTTAAACCATTCCCTCTTGTCACTACATGCCCTTGCCAAAAGTCCCTCTCCAACTTTCAGATAGGCTTCCTTTAGGTACTGGAATGTTGCAATTAGTTCAGCCTGAAGCCTTCTCCTTTCCAGGCTGAACAATCCCAATTCTCTCAGCATTTCCTCACAGCAGAGGTGCTCCATCCCTCTGACAAACTGAGTGGCCTCCTCTGGTCTTGCTCCAACAGTTCCATGTCCTTCCTGTGCTGAGGACCCCAGAGCTGGAGGCAGCTCTGCAGGTGGGGTCTCACCAAAGCAGGGCAGAGGGTCTGAACCCCCTCCCTCCAAAGCTGCCCACGGGGCTTTGGATGGAGCCCAGGATGCATTTGGCTTTCTGGGCTGCAAGTGCCCATGGCTGGCTCATGTCCAGCCCCTCACCAGCATCCCCATGTCCTTTGGGGCAGGGCAGCTCTCGATCTGTTCCTCCCCCAGCCTGCACTGGGGATTGCTCTGACTCAGGTGCAGCACTTTGCACTTGGTCTTGTTAAACCTCACGAGATTCCCAAGGGCCACTTCTTGAGCTTGTCCAAGTAAGATTGGCTGATTTGGCTCTGAAAAAACAGCCCTGAGTGAACGTGTATCTTGCACGAGCTTAAATAAATAGGTAAATTAGAAAATTTCTGATTCCTGGGACACTGGTTTATGGTTGGAATTTGTAATATTGATTACTATTAGTGAAATGTTTGGGGACTAATGAAGTACTGTTTCAAGAAAAAATGCACAGAGAAATAAACCTTTCTAATGGTGAATAGTGCATTTCAAGTGTTTTCTGCTCCTCTGTATAGCAGTAATGGTATTTGACGAATAGTGTAATTTTTAAAATCATATATTTGACAATTGGATTCCTAAATTTTTTTTTAAAGGGAAATCATCTCTATGAATATGAAAAAACTCCCTTTTAATTGAATCAGGGTTCAGTACCTATTTGCAAGTGGGTAGATGCTGAAAAGCCCCAGTGGAGCCTGGTTCTGTAATATCGTAATCATTGTTTGCACTCTGGTGCCTAGTCTGGCTCCTCCAGTTGGATTGAACAGGGTGACAATAAAGTGCTCATCCAATTCTGGTTCTTCATCCAGGATTGCAGAAATACGCAGTGTCTGACAAGAAACAAGCATAGAAAGCTACTGAGACTTGATAGCTAACAATGACAATGTTATTCAAGCCATGCTGCTGTTTCTGTTCTTTCTCTGTACATCTCTGGACAGCAGGGCAGCACAACAGCAGCTCTTGAACTGGAGAAAGCAGGAGTAAGGCATGGATAGTTCAGGCGGGGGTTCTAAAGTAATCCCTCTGGTGACCTCCATTAGTGCAACACTAACACGAGGACACCCACATTCTTTTTATTCTTCCCTTCCCCTCTTTACTCTTATCATAAGATTCTCTGAAATGTAACAGGTTTTGATCCTTTTTTCATACTTTTGTTTTGTACTTATTCCACACATTCCTTGGTAACATAGTCCCCATACAGCTATCTGATCACAGCTCAGTCAAGTTGGGTTTACTTTACTTTAGTTGTCAACTGAACTATCTCATGGGCAACAGAGTAGTTACACTTCTGGTACTGGGAACAAAGAAGGAAAAAATGGCCATGGAGAAATATTTGAAATACTCTCTTCTTGATGTTTTATTCTTTCTACTACACCATGGTGGATAAGAATAGGATTGTCTCAAGGTGGTCTCAAATCAGCAGAGAACTGTCTAGAAAGAAATAGGTGTTATCGCTGTCATCCTCCCAATTACCCGAAGAGGTGAAAGTTACAGTAGTACATGTAGTTTTGCCTTAGAAAAATTATTTAGTAATGACAGATTTGAAATTAAAATAGAGCTTACAATATTTAAAATCTCTGTTTACTTCTTCAATAAACCATATTTAAAGACTGCATTGAGAAATATTTTACCTCCTACTTCTCAGAGATCTCCTAAACTGGCCATCACTGAGGTGTCAAATGCATTTTAGGTTCAGAAACTGAAAACCTGTGTTTCCAGAAAGGTTTGTTTCAGATCCTAATCCCCTAATAATATACTAATCTGTTATTACACACTTAAGATAGCTCATTTGCTAGCTGAAATTCTTTTGGGGACAGTACAGAAGCAGTGGGATTAATACTGTCAGAAAAATTATTTTCAATTTCTAAAACTCTGAAAACTATTCACCTTTTCCCTTTGCTGCAGCATACTCTCTTCAGTTCAGGCCACATAAAGGAATAGGATTTTTAATTCTGCCATAATTAAAGTTATGACTGCATGTCAAAGTTTATCTTTCAGCTACATGCTTAACACATACAAATAAATGGTCCTATACACATATCATACTATATACCCCTTATATTGTTTTCAGTTTATCTGAACTATTATGAAGAGAGAAATATCTACAGAAAAGCATATTCAATTTTTCTGCACTCCCACAGCTCAGTTTATTCTGAGAATTAAGGAAAACATAAGAAAAAAAAAGTTAATACACGAAAAAACAAAAACATTGCTGAAATGTTTCAAATAATTTTTAAAAAAGCCTTCTTCACTTCTTGTGTTATAACTACCATATTACCTTAAATCTGACTCCCTCTTCCAGCACAATGTATCCTTGAGAAGGGGCCAAATCCACTGATGGATCTGAAGAATTAATTTCACTTACAAGATACTCAACAGACACTGTTCCAAATATCCCCTGAGGAGGTTCTCTAATAATATTTAATACTGCAACACTTTCCATCAGATGAAGAGCCGTTTGCTCTCTTAGGAAGAAGTGATCACTGTTATTGAATGACAAAATTCCATGTCCATCATCATTGGCAAATATAGTAATTGTGGCTTTTGAAAAATAAATAATAGAAATATGCTTCAATTAAAATAGTAAGATATAATTGCACACATACACAAATAAATAAATATATACACAAATCCATTATTTCTTTAATATAATTATATTATTGCTTTTATGTCCCTGACTACTTAACAGAATATGTAAGTATTTTGCTTTATTTAGGAAAATTTCTAGAAAGAAAGAATCTAGACTCTCTTATTAAATCACCCAGCTTTTGCATTTTCTGATTCCTTATTTTACATATCATTTTGTTAATTTTACATTTTTCACAGAGATGTTTAAGAAACTTCCAAATGAGATTATTAATTTACCATAGGAGAACACCGGTGTTTTCTAAAACATGATTATTCAGAAGAATGAAATTAAAGTGACTGAGATACAATTCTGAAGAATGAGAACATCAAAACTAAGTTTTACCTGTTGTGTTCTCCCCTAATTCCAGGCCAAATGATGGATTTGCTAGAATTAACTGGAACTTCTCAACACCTTCAGGAATATCATCATCACAAATCGCAACAACAACAGATTTATTCCTTTCTCCATCAGCAAAAAAAAGAGTCTAGCATTGAAACACAGAAAGCATTGAATATTCAATAGCTGATAATGCACACAGAAACTTTAACATAGATTAAGCAGAATTGCCTTAAATAAGGAGGAAAGAAGAGGCAAGAAGAATAATTTCTATGTCCCTTATAAATTGACTGAAAAAGAAGCAAAACAGTAAAATAGTTTAGTACATTGTAGAGTGAGGACAAATAAGAGCAATTCACTTTGAAAGTTCTTTTACAAAAAATATTAAACCTTACATGAAATCTTATATTCTCTTGTCTAAGCAAAGCTGTATTTGAAATAGATGTTTCAAAGTTTAAAATGCGTCTTATATTTAAGAATGCTTTAGTATTAAATAAGGAAGAAAGAGTAAAATAAAATTACTAAATCTATCTCTATTCAGATGATCAGAGCAACTGAAAAAGTTGAGAAATCTAGCTGTACTAGTGACCATTCTGCAGAATAAATAAGATGATGTTCTTTTGAGACAGTTGAAGAAATGAAAACTATTAGATTTAAAATTTGCTTCTTACCCTTGAGACCACATTAAAATCCAAACCCAGCTGTGCCTCCAAATTTTGGGCATAAAAAAACACAGACACATTTCCATATGATCCTTTGTTTCGGTATACCATTATTGTCAGATTCCCATGAGTTTCATTAACTTCTAAACTAAAACAAAAACCAAGACAAATTCTCAGTGCTCACTGAGCATGTTTTTTTAATAAGATGGTAGATAATTGTTATATTTTCACTTTAAATCATCCCCTCTAACTTTTAAGAAAAAGTCACTATTACAGTAAAGCATCATTACCACTTGTCTAATGCAACCATTATACCTTTTCTTTTTCTTATCAAAATGGAATTGAACTAGATTAAGCCTGTCTATGAGCATGGATCCCTTTTTCCTAGCTCCTGGAAATCAGAGAAAAAGATCTAGGAGATGTCCATGTGCATGCTTACACAGATGCAGAGGCTGGGACACTGGATGGAGGCTTGAGGGAGTGATGGAAGTCCACAATACTGAAGGACAATAGTGACAATAAATACATGGTAGCATGAGATTTCTGCATAAACATCCTGCAAATGCTGGTTTCTAGTCTGGGAATTATCTTTCCAGTTCCACTGAACTGAATAATATGTAATACATCTCAAAGATCTGTTTCTATTATTCATAGGAGTTTTACTGTTAACTGAAAATGGAAATAGTTGGACAACACTAATCATTAACTCCCATAGGGAGTTCTTCAAGCTGACAAGACTTACTTGGTACTTTCCCATTCAACTACTCCGCTTACTCCATCATTAGTGTCAATAATAATTTGAGAAGCTAAACCTTCCACATCTAAAAGAGAAAACAGAAAGACAAGTATGTAAGAACAATAGAGTTCATTTTTATTATTTTGAAGAATAACAGAAGCATTTCTTTATGTCTTTACTAATTTTGTAGAAGAAAAACATAATTTTCCATTTCCAAAATGTGGAGGAGAAAATGAAGTGAACAGGCTACTTGGAAAGGCTTGAAGAAAATCTAATTCTTACTAGCTTTCTATTAGAACTGCAACATAGGGCCTTGAATTACCACCATTACATTTAATGTATTTAAAAAAGAAAAAAGAAAAGAAAAAAACTGAAGAAAACTCATGGCACAGAAAATGTAGAAAATGACAAAAGCAAGATTCATCAAGTCTTAATTCACTGTTTTTTGTTTTTTGTTATTTAATGTTTTGCAGACAGTGCCATTCTGAATAATGGAGGGAAAATGAGGAAAAAGAATAATGAAAGATGCAGTATATCATCTTATATTAATGTTTCAGTGCTGATTATAAATCTTAATGGCACACACCACAGATTCTGCTATAAAGAAGGAATTATTAATTTCCTTTTAGTTCGTTTATGTATTGCAAGATTCTATTACCACATAAAAACATATTATATTCACAATAACTTTGCAAGATCATTGCATGTATTGCCCTGTGAAAATACTGAATAATAGATTAATGCCAGCAATTTCCACTAATTGCACAGCCCAGAACTTGGCAGTCAGAACTTGATTCTTCTGTGAAAATAATGCCTGGTTTTGTTTAAACAGCATCACATGAATACTTCAATTTACATCAGTTTAATTTTAATAATAATTGAAAAGAAATGAAGACTGACAATTTCTACAAAATAAATTGACTCCACTAAATCTGTAGTAAATATACTATTTTTAGATCCATCACAGATATTTCTATTAAATGAGATAAAACTTAATAAAAGTAAAAGACCACTGCCTTGAATCCAAAACTGACACTATGAGATAGTGATGAACATGAACAGCAGCTGCAACACCTCTACACAGACAGCAGAAAGGTTTAAAAATCCATAGGGATTACAGTGCATATAGACCCTTCAGATTTCTAACTGGCGTTTTTCCTCATCATGTCACATAGTCTGACCAACTGACTCAAAATCTTTCAACATCAGACCTCTTATTTCATATCTGGCATCTTTCCTCTCTCCTGATGACCTCCTGCCATTTTACCCTATCTTAATTCTTTATTCCATCCATTAAGTTTATTAATTTTTCTTTCATCATTCTCATGTATCAAACATTTTCCCTTTTCTTAATTCCTTGCACTTTTGTATTAGAGTTGGGCCTTTTCTTCCACCTGTTCTAGATGATGGGATGAAGCAAGAGCAGCATGAAGAAAACAGAACTGTCCTTTATGTTTCCTGCTTCTGCTCCATATCCATGAAGTCTCAGATCAGAAATAAAGGTCACTTAAGTTCTATGTGTTTAACTGCATGTCATAGACATCCCAGACCTACACCACATATTAAATGCACATGGCTAAGACAGGGACAGCATTTATGATATATTCCAGATGGATACAATTAACTGCACATCAGTATCACGTGCAGGACTCCCATCAGTTTTCATATTAGACACCTAGAATTATATTAAAGATTTTCTATGGGGCACGGGATTGCTAAATCCTAAACAAATGCACTGCACCAACATGGATTTGAATTCTCAATCATAACTAAGAAATACACAAAAAGGGAAAACATGATTAGAAAACAGTCTGGTAACAGAATTAATTGTGACATTTTATAATGAGAACAAAATTTTACCTCACGGATTAAAACTATTATCTGATCATTCTAAGTACATCAGAGTCAAATGGTCATACTCAGACCGCTAACCACTTATGGCAGAACTTAAGATTATACCGCAATCAGAACAATTTAAATCAGGAAATCCTTTATACTTTAATGTTACTCTTTCTATGATTTAAATGTTAGACTCAACTAATCACAGCTCAGTGTCTATACAGCAGCAATCAGTCTTGCAAGTTACCTTTCAGTCTGTAACGAATTAATTCTGTCATTTCAATATGCATGCAAAGAAAGGGAAAAAGAGTTATAGAAGATGTTAGAAATAATCAGCATAATTAGTCACAGGATAACCCAATTGTCTTAAAAGCCAATGGCAGCTGTGCTACTGAGTTCGGCAGCAGAATGAGGAACTCAATAAGTAAGCAATTAATTAAGTTCTGTGGAAGAGTAGGAACACAGTAGATCATGACTCCTAAAAGTAAATCTGATAAAAAGTAATAAAAAGATACTTTTGAAAGAGTGAGCAAAGGAACTACTTGAATGAATTCTTTGTACATATTTATTTCTGTCATTTACTTGAAAATTAAAATCACATTAACACATTGCCAACACAACTTTTGAGATAACTGTGTTCTTCAACTGGTAATTACTAAATAACTCCTCTGTGAAAATTGTCTTGTAATTTTTACAGGGCTTTAATAAGTACGAAGCCAATGTAAAAATTACTATATTTGATATTCTACGTTTTTTGCAGAATACCCTGTCTCATTTTGGCTTATTGGGAAAGTGGCAAGCACAATGATGATATGCCAGAGTAATATGTTGTGCATTCAATTGATATAGAAATAAAATTAATCGTAATTTCTTGTAAGTTGTTTTACCCAGCCTAGGTGGGGAAGAAGTAGAATGGTTCATGATAAGTTCCACTGAAGTTAAATTAACCAAGAAGAATTCTTGCACTTCTGGTACATCATCCTACAAAACACAAATCCAGTATATTCTCTTTTCATTTTCTTTAAGAAACAATCATAGAAATTGTCAAAAAGCAACACACTAGAAGTCTCTAACCTTATAGCAATATTAGAATTAATTTATGTTTCCATTTTCTTAGAACATTTTTACATAAAATGTTAGTTACGAAGCAAAACATTACATTTAATGGAAAAGACTGCAGTGACACTGAACTAGATGTGAATAGATTTCTGCTCAGTTCTGAAGGCACAAATAGCAACAACTGATAAAGTAAGAGCCTGCAGCAAGCAATGAATGACACTGATCTGAATACCACAAAATAAAGACCCAATGAGAGAGTCAAATTTCATATAAGTAGCGCTGTCTTCTGTTATTATTTGTCCTTCTGTGATTTCATCATTAAAAACCAAAGCAGTCTTTCTAAACTACCATAAAATTGATAGCTTCAAATAATACAACATGCAAGATTCAGGTTCCACAATATTCCTTTTCAATTGTCATATCAATAAGTATAGAGTGAAAGGATATAGCATTTACCTCTAGAATAGTAACATTTATGGCAGCTGATGTTTCTCCTTCTTTCAAAATCACTGAGTCAGAAACAGCTACATAATCAGCTCCTGGTTCAGCCAAGGCCCCCTGTGTCTGATTACTTAAAGAGACCAGTCCTGGAACTGTGGCATATGTAACATTGATAGCACCTGTTTAAAATGTGACAAACGTTTTTCATTTTTTTTTCATTTTTTTTTTACTTTTTTTAAATTTTTATGAAATGTTCACTAGAATAGACAAAGATAAGAGACCAAATGCACATTGAAAAAATGGAAAGCCTAACTACAAACCAGAGGATTAAGACACTAATAATTTGCCCAAGATCACCGAACTCAGAAAGCATTAGAACCCAATGTATTCATATATTTGAGGTGCTGTGAACTGCAAATATTATATTACATACCTGGGACATCTAATATATTATTAATACCAGGTTTGGTGTCAAGAGAAGTAGAGTGTTTCAGGAATGACTGATGTCTAAGAAAGGCTCTAAGGAGAGTTCTAAATTTAATTTCCTTCCCAGACAGACTGACATAGATGTTTATAGAAAATAAAAATTTCAGGACACACTGATATATTTTACTAGAGGGAAAGCTAGACTTTTTTTTTTTATTGCAAAGCCAATCTCACAAATCTGCCATAGTAAGTCAAAATGCAAATTTAAAGAGAGTGATCCTGGAGATAATATGACAAATGAAATTCGAAGTTATTCTGTATGAAATAAAATATAAGGTATAAAAAAATCTTCATTTTAATAAATATGGATGGAATTCAATTGAGACATTTTACATTTACAATAGAAACTTAGAATACATTAATATTTTCCTAAGTAGTGTTTGAAAGGTAATTTACATACTGATTGACATTAAAAAAGAAATGGGAAAACAAAGAAATGACATTTAAATTCCTCTACAAATCTGTAGTGTGCCCAGATCTTGAATGTTTGTTTCAACTGATCACTTCACCTCAAAACAGAGAAAAAAAAAATAAGAGAGATTTTAACAGAGGTCTAAATATAGCCTAAAAATGTTAATAGAAAATGATTATGCATGTTATCTCTCAATGGAAAGTCAAAACACTCAGGAAAAAAACACAAAAAAAATATTTTGGCACACAGTGCATTAGTTAGTACTATTTAATTTGATTTTAAAATGAAAATTGAATTAAAAAGAAATACAGAATTCTTAGGAGAGGTATAAACTGAATTCAGAGGCATCAATGCAACTTTTTCCATGGGATATTCCTAAAATGTCAGATTCTGGAAGTTTATAGAGGGGATGTTGTGGGAATGATAATTCCATACAAGTTCCTTCTCCCTTTTTTTTTTTTTTAATTTCTTCTGGACAGACAATTCAAGACAGATTTGCTGGACATAAAAGTACAACCCTAACAGCCAACTAGCTATGTCACAGCTCCCAGATCCCTTGCTGGGAATTAAAGGCTATGGCTTCAGGTTTAGCTAAAACTTAGTTTTCAAGGCAGTAAAGAGCCTAGAAGTTCTGAAAACATCAATTGTATCCAAAATTTTCCAGAATTTCTAGCCTCTCTGTCATGGCTTTCATTTGTGTAATGATTTTGAATACAAAATTTAATTTCTCTTGGAGATGCTATACAAACCTAGAGATCCAAATTCTCTGTTAATAAAAAGTTGAACTGTTTTGTTTTCCTCTGGAAGTAAAACTACCCGGGATGGAGAAGCAAAATTCAGTACTCCATGTGGTTCATCACTAGCTTCTACCGTCAGAACGGCTTCATAGCCTTGACTATCCAAAACAGCAGCACCAGAAGGCGAAACACCTGCAAAAAGAATCAATGGACTATAGTTAATTGTGTTAGGTAAATCAAGTTTTGTCTTACGTTACTGCTTTTTCTACGTATAAATGACAGTCAGTAACAGTGCAAATGAAATCAAACCAAACACATTATATGCTCACTGAATTTTCCAGATTGTGTGGAATGTATACGTAATTGCATTCTTTAACAAGCACAGGAACATTCAATCACAACAAAAACTGTATGCACACAAGTATAGAGTTCAAGACTATATTAAGAAATGAGAAAATCTGAAGTGACAGTGCTAAATATGGACTTCCCTAAACTACTTCTGTTGTAAAAGGAAAGAAAAAGTTTTCTTAGGAATTCATTATAATTCCCAAATTCCATTATAATTCTTTTATTGAATTAAAATTATATTCAATTTCTCAATCATTCTATTAAGAAATTACTACAAGTGTTGCCTTGATGAATAACTGTATGAATTTATACTTATCCTGAAGGATTACAAGAGTAAACAAAATATTATGGCAAGTTGGCAAGGTACCATTCAGCAACACCACCCATGTCAAGTTAGTCTGGTGTTTAGACACTAATTCCAGTTTAACAGAGAATATTCAAGAAGGGATGTAGTTTCATGCTTCTTTTCTCATTATCATTTCAATGAAAGAGTAAATTATTCTGACGTCATCTAATTCAGAGACAAATCAGAGAGACAGCTTGAAGATTGTTTAAAAAGATAATATCCATTTATTTTATGATGCCTGTATCATATGTATACATAAATACACAGAAGCATCAAGCCTGTTTCAATAAAATGTGAACAAATTTTGCATAGTTTGCAACATTTTCAATATTCATAGTCCTACACTTCCAAAATGGTTTAATACACGCAAAGCCACTACACTACTAAATAGCAATTTTAGATATAGCAGATAGAGCCATCTGTAGTTCTGCATCACCTTCTGTTTTGATGTTGCATAGGATGATCCGGTATTCTTCTTTTTCTTCCGGAATACGGTCATCCAGCAAGTGGACATATAATGTTGTATTCAATATTCCCTATAAATGTTATTGATAAATTGATTAGTCATTAGTGTACAGAGCACAAGTAATACCACTCTATCATATGTATTTTGAGCAATACTTTTAAGAAATGTCAAGTTAAATACTGAAAACTATAAACTCCCTGCTATTTAATCATATCAAGATAAGGAAGATTGCTTTAAAAGCATACTTGTTTTGTCAGCTCACTTCAAATTACAATATTCTCTTGTAACCATTTGATTTTCTTATGGACTCACCTCAGGAAAAACGAGAATTCCAGAATAGTATTCAAAATTTTGTTCTACATTATGTCCAACTATCTTCCACTCAACAGTAACATTTCCCAGTCCTGGGGCAGTTCTTACAACATGGAACTGCAGTTGTTCTCCTAGGAAGAAAGGACAAAATGCAATATTTTGGGGTTTCTTCTTCTACAATTCAACTACTAAAATGAAAACAAAAAATATTAATCACAGTTTAAATATTTTTTTATGTAAAACCCTAATATTTTTAATAGTGAGCTTCCCAGTAGTTATGTACCACTTTTTTTTTCTTTTTTTTCTTTGTTTTCTTTTTTTTTTTAATATTGAAACAAAACCCTCACAAATCTGAACTCTTTCTCATGGGTTTTTATGAATTTAGTTCATTCCCAGAAAGAACTATCAAAATATAGAGGAACCTGGTATATATGCATAACTGCTATCAAAAAGTGCACAAAGCAAAGAGCAGTATCTGTTTGTGAACTACACACAGCTTTTACACAGTTTTCTAGGCAGCTAACTGGCAAGGAATAAACATATTCCTAATATCTGCAGTGTCTTGTGACTACAAATAGTGCATGTAGAAAAATGCTTGCAGTTACCTGCAAGGTCCATTTATGTGAGTTTTGAATTTACAAATGTCAGCAGTTTCTGGATGTTAGAAAGCATCCAGGAAAAAAAGCCAATTCATAAGATTAGAAGGACAGTACTTAGAAGCAAAACAGTAATGTTTGATATTTTAAAATTAATTTTTAATAATTTATTATAATTTCAGAGATAGTAAGTATCAAATGAAAACATGCATCTGTAAGAAGTGATTATGGTATTTTTCCACATTTATAATATTTAACCAAATGGTCACTTAAAGAGTGAACTCTTCAAAAAGTTTTGAAAAATTAAGAAAATTTATACTATTATAAAGAATGAAATATCTGTAAGAAGTTATACAAAACAAATATTTGGCATAAAATAAAATCTTTTAAATATGTGCATGTAAAATTACATATCATATTAATATGAAATTGATCAGCAGGTAACATTAGTAAAATTATGCAATATATTCCCATTAGAGGAGAGATATTTATTTATAATATATAAGTGTATTGCAACAGAATACACATAATTGTATGTCAACAGCATTTTCCTAGTTCACAGAATGGAAGTTTGCCAGTATCTAAGTGTGTAATTCGTTTTCAAGGACATGAAATACACAGAAATTTATAATATTGAGGTGTTTGGAAATAATCATGAAAGCTTAGGTCCATCATCAATTAACTGAAAATTACTTTCTTAGTATTGCTATAAATTGATCTGAGTATTTTTTCCTGTTGGAAAACTGAGAATAATTCCATCTTTTAGTTTGTATTATGTACACACTTAAAAGCTACCCTACTGAGAAACACTGAGATACATCTCTGAAAAGGAAAGAGAAGATGTGGTGTTAGATTATGTTCTTAGTCCATGGCATACATAATTGAGCAGTACAGCTATTCTCACTGACCGTGTTACTGAAAGAACACCAAATTATTATACTGCAGGAAAGTATTCTATATCTAAAACAGGCAGAAAAAAAATGATCACTTTCTGGACATGTTTGGTAAGGAAATATTTGAGAGATGCCAATATATTGGCTATGAGCGAGACAGATGTAAACAACAAACTTCAAAAGACCTTAATAAACTGAAAAATAAAATTGCAAAGTAGAAAAAAAAATTATACACCAATTTTCCAATACGTAGCATTAGTAATGCTATGTTATCAGTCTCATTATTTCAAACTTTATTTAAGCCTTGTTATAAGTTGCCTAACGCTAGTTCTAAAAGAACAAAGGAATTCAAAATTTATTGACATCACAAGAATTCTGCTTCTTCAGTCAGACATCTGAGGACATACTGACAATTTACAGGTTCCCCTAGGGCTGATTTTACATATCATTTAACACTGCCCTGAAATCTGTTTATCCTGTTTGAGAATTTTGCACATCCATTGCAAAATATGTATTTGCAAATAATAAATATTTGACAGAATAAATACTTGACAGAAAATACGTATTTCAGTATATCATCACAAAACATACAATACATACAAAGGTTATTTCAATGCGACATTATGTAATACAAAAAAATTTCACTGAAGACTGTAAAATACTTCAAGATACAGAACCCTGATACACTGTAATCTGAGCACCAAGAAGAAACCTGAAGTACAATTAATCTCAATTAAAGACTCTCCAGTATTCAGCTACTGACTGAAGTAAAGCTCAGCCAGCTTTACCAAAATCTTTATTATTCCTATCCAGTAAGAAATACTAACACAAATACAAATCGATCTCTAAAAATTGAAAGTATTATTAGGTTAATTTCCCTATTTTGTCTTATGGTGTTTTTTTTTTAAATATTTTAAATCTTTCTTTCATTTTCTGCCTTTATCAAGGAGAAGGTGACTTAATCAATTCTCCTCTTGTTCCTTATTTCAAACAATTGCAGTGTGTTTTCATCCAATTCATAGCCGTACAACTGTTCCATGTTCTGCCTGTACTTAAATGTTGCCCTTGCCCTCAACATGGTGATGGTGTGAACTGAATATATGCAGGTAACACCATGACAGTGACGATCCACAGCTGAAGTGTAAAGAAAGGACACATTCCATTATGTAACTTTCAAAATAGAGACACCATTACCACTAAACTTATTCCACATTAGTGCAAAAAGTGCGCAGGCCTGAGCACTGTGTTACATATCAAAAGGCCTTGACAATGCACAAAACCTTCACCAGGCTGTGGTTCACCACCACTCTCAACTCCCTTCCCCACTTACAAAGAAGTCCAAGTCTATGGGAAAGGATTTCAAGACTTTAACAACATCTTCTTGTCTTCTGTGAGAAAAATCCATTTCTTTTTGGTTGACAGCCAATAATCCAGAGTGAATACAAATACCTGAATTTTCTCACACTGAGTATTTTCTAACATCTCCCAACTGCAGGGTTGGTCTTTAAGGAAAAATAAATTCTAAAATGAACTTATTTTTCTTTCCTCACCAATCTTCAGTTTTTCAAATCTTTCCTCCCCACAGGGATAAATAATATGAACTTGAAAAAAAGACTAAGAAACTGTTCAATAATATAATAAATATAAAAGATTAAACTTTTTGGATTTATGTTTGATAATATTTGTCTTCATAAGAAAAAGCTGATAATGAAAATTAAGTAAAGACACTGAAATCATATGAAGGCCTTAGCTCATTCCTTTCTTTTTAAATCAAAGTGAACTGGTTTGATTGTTCTTTCTTGCTATAATGCAGTGCAATGCATTGTGTTTTTCACAAGCTGAAGGAAATGGAATCAGTTATAACACTATATAAGTACTATACATAGCAGAGTATTTCAGCTCCAGATAAAAGCTTTCAACTTCAGCATGCTATGACTAATATTTAACCAGTGGAAAGTATAACCTTGGGGAATGAGATGGTTTGAATTAATTCCTTGGGCTCATTAACAGCTGTTCTTAAGACTGCCAGAATGCATCTGGCAGATCAAAACCACTAATGTGGAGTAATAAAGGACAGAAACTTGGCACAATAGAATTAATACAAACTGTATCTAAACAAAACCCAAAAGCTTATGGTATCCTTTCATTATAGGAAAAAAACACAAGACCATGTTCTTTTGAGATAGACTGTTTTTTCCAACAAAAAATTCAGTGCATACACTCCTGGACAGCAAATTTCTGTTAGTTTTCTCTACCCATCAGTTTACGCATCAGAAAAATTTGAGATTGCAATACACTGATATTCCAGCAAAGGTTAACAAGAGCAGCCACCATGTGTATTATTACTGTCCTATGCAGAACTGTACCACCTCTAGGTAAAACATGAAACATGCTCTCTTAAAACACTGCTAGACACTAGATATCCAACTATGGCATCAAGATTGTCACACTCCTAAAATGAGTTGCTATTAAATATATGAAGAGAAACTTTAGAAAGATGGAAGATTTTTTCCTATTTTATTTCTGTGGGAATATTTTCTAGATAATTAAAAACTAATTTTAAGTCAGTGGTAGATAATATTTGCTTAAGATTAGCAATTGGTCTGCATGATGGGGGTTTATATTTAGTTCTTGAATACGGTAAAAGTGAATGAGAAATGCTAAAAGGAGCTTAGAAATGCAATGCCAATAGAAGCAAGGCATAATCTTCAGAAAAAGGACGGAAAAGAAGAAATGGTGAAATATGGGTTTGGAACTGGTCTATTCACCTTTTCCATAGATTTCATTTAAGTGTTGTGTTTGCAAGAGTTAAAAATCCAAAGAATTGCACGCTAAGTATGTGGTTATTCAGCTTGCTGACATTCTCTGAACAGTGATACAATCACTGAATTGTTATCAACAGAAAGCACAGAAATGGAAGCTGATGCTAATCAAACTGAGTGTGGTCAACACAAAGAACGCACCTTCATGACCAATAACGGACCTTCCAGCTGTCTGGAAGCTAATGATTCCTGCCACATTGTCACTTGCCAGGATAACCACTGTGACAGTGTTGAAACTGGGCAGAATCCTACTCCCTCCTTCAGTATGCACCAGGCTGATTATGATGCTTTCATTATCCTCTGGCTCTGGATCATCTAAAATGGTCAGTGTGACCATCTTTTTTGTTTCACCTAAAAGTAGAAGAACATATACATACTTACATGTTCACATGAAAATCACCTTTAAAAAGATGCAATCATCTACTCTAGTATTAAATACTGAACTTATATAAAAAAGGACATGAAGAATCTTTCCTTATTTACCGGTCTAGAAGTTACTGAATGTCGTTATGAAAATGTACTCAATTACTAATGAAATGTTATATTAGGCAATATAATTTAAAAATTATTAAATGTACTCTGTAGAAATTAGCAACAATTTTTGAATGCCTTGAATTGCTTTATAAGTTCTTCGGCTTTCAAATTTTAATTAGAAAAAGGGAATAATTCTTGTAAAAAGAATTGCCAAGTGAATACATTTTTCTGATGTCACATACAGACATATGTACATGAAATTTGACTATATATTTACTGGACCAGGAAATGCATTAAAGTGGGCAGTCATTTTATAAGTTGCATGTCTTCTGGAATATCAAAGAATGACAATGCAAGCAGCAAACATAATCAATTACCAGGCTCTGTTATACATTACAATTTGCAACAGAATACTATTGGTAATTGTATGTGCCTAACCTATACTAATTATCAGTTTACCCCACACATATATTTTTTGTTATATTGCCTTTCAAAGTATTTTGAAAATAGATTTAGTAAACTTATAAAAACTAATATAATTACATGTCAGTTTCCAACTCACTCCTGGGAATCTTTCATTTAAGTTCAGATTATTTAGCAAACTAAATGAACATTGGAATCTTTACTACGCTCCCATAAATTGTTTTCAAAACAATTGCTCAATTATCTCTGACTTTGAAAATATAAAATACATCTGTCATGTTGCACAGTGCTCAAATAATGCCTGACATAGATGTTTCTTATTTGCAATTTTTTTAACTATCCTGTTATGTTACGAAATCAATACAATCTCAGAATCTAAAAAGATATAATCATTAAAAAATAGTACTGTGTCTAGAAGGTAAGAACAAAAGACCACTTAGGACTGATTTTCATTTTCATTATCTTTGATACACCTATTTCAGCAATATTATTCCTTATTTATTTAGTAAAAATGTTATCTTTATAATGCGCAGTGCAATATTTCTTTAAAAATACTTGAATATTTATACTTTTCATCCTTTTTTTTTTTTTGTCTTTGTGGTCTTTGTGTGTGTTTGTTTTGTGTTTTCTTTAATTTTAGACAAGAGAAGTTAGTGCTAAATCTAGACTTACCTTCAGAAAACACCAGAATCTCACCAACACCCACAAAATCCAAGTTTGGCGTAGCAGTTCCACCAACAACACGCCATTCCACTGTCACCTGTCCCAGGCTGCCTTCTGTCCTGTCTATCATTAGCTGCACGCTGGCCTGAGGACATTCTTCTACTTCAATATATAGGCCTTTCTCTGTTGCATTGGGACTTACACTATAGATCTTAAATACTCCAAAGGCATCCCCATTCATCATTATGGTAATTGTGGAAGTATTTGGCTGCCCAATAGTTGGTTGATTTTTTAAGCTGGCTGAGATGTTAAAAAGTTCAACTTTCAACAGGGATACAGTGAATTTTTCATCCAGCTCTGGCAGGCTGTCAGGAAGTATGGTAACTGTGAGATTTGCAAACTCTTCCCCTTCCTGCATGATGGCCCACTGTCCTGTGATAGATTCATAATCACTACCAGCAATGGCTTGTGTGCTAAAGAGAATGGATGTACTGCTGATGTTTTTCTCGTAGGTCCATAATCCTGACATGTTAGTTAATGGCCCAATCTCTGTTGTCAGCCAGAGGCAGAGAGGAATCTCAGAGGCACTGGAAAATGTAAAGGCTGAACACGCTTGTTCTTTTAGGCACTGAGTTGCACAGGCATACAGTGGGTCACTTGCTGCTGACACATTCACTCTGGTCTTGGATGGCTGGTCAGGAATTCCTTGTACAGGAGACTTGTAATAGGCCAGTATATCCTCACCTTGGTCAATGGCAAGAGCTACAATGTCAGTCTCAGAAGTGCTGTAAAATATTTGCAGCTGACCAAACCTTCCCCCACTAAAAGACATTAAAATAAAAATGTTATGTTAGCTGGTGAAGCATGTCTAATAATCAGTATGTTACTGGGTTAAGAATAAAAACAAAATCAACTAATGCTTTCTGAATTGCCGAAAAGTTTCAAATAGCTAATTAAAGTGACTTCCCTTGAAACTAGTACTAGAATAACTGAGTAGTTGGGTTTTTTGGAGAGCAAGTTTGATTGCTTATAGCTTGGGTAGCAGTCTATTAAGCATGCATGTTTGCAAACATTTGTTTCTAGGAGTTAACTTAGTCTTCCTAGGACCATCAAGGAAGAAAAAGCCTTTGTTGTCTAGCATTGTTGTCACTCCCCTGAGGTGTCCTCAGGATACCATAATTCACATGCAAAACCTTTTCTGCTTTTCATTTTGTCTTCCATCACACAACATTTGATACATTTTATCCTCCAGTTCACATCACAGTAACAGGCTGGTTTGAAGCTTTATATGTCTTGTCAATTTAACAGGCAAAATAAAACTTCAAGTACACAGTGTACACTGGGTTTACACTACATATGTATTACATTTGTACTTTATGTACAAGCAGACATCTAGTTCAAAATCAATGTATATGAAAAAAAAAGCTGGCAGAACAAGAAATTTATGCAAATACCTATACAAGGGTGTGACATTTAAAATTAATGCCAAAAAAATACTAAACAAAAAACAAACCAAACCGAAACAACAACAACAACAAAGAAAAAAAGATATTTAAAATCAGCCAATATTATACAGACCTTCTCCTGACTGATATATTTGCAAGTAAATTTCTTTCTAGTGGCTCCTGAATTCGATATGAAGATTGATGAAAGAAAACTGTGCCATAAGGATTATCATTGGCAGGTATAACAATATTTGCCATGCCATCTAACCCGATAGCAGCGCCATTGGAGGCCTGAGTTAATTCAATATGGACAATCTCAAAAAGAAAAAGAAGAAGAACAAATAATGCAGCTAAATAATTTTTGCCATTCCTACAAATAATCACGAGCAAAATAAAATCTGAACTTGTTGCAGCTTCCTGTCATAACATTTCTTGCTTTGATCTGCACACATTTCTTATACAAGTTAAAACTCTAATACTGTTTAAGAGAGACATAACTACTCTACTTACTTCTTCTGTTTCTGGAACATCATCAGCCAGGATTTCCAACAGCAACATCTGAATGGCTTCCCCAGGGCCAAAAGTAATATTACCCATGGAAACTTGTAAGTCTTCATCAGCAGGATGCCCATTAATGGTAGCAGCCCACTGAACAGTAACATTACCCAGGGTCCCAGCATTACGGATTATTGGCAGATTTATGGTTACTGATCCAAATTCAGGCTCCTCCACAGTGAATTCAGTATTCTGAAAAACTGACATACACCACAGGGAGATGTAGTGCATTAAGAATAAAACTGAAAGTAAATATATCCATTTCTGAAGTACAGAGTTTTATTTTAGTTGCTTGCATTTACTTGCACAGGTAAATCCCTTTTAATCATGTTTAAACCTAAAAGCAGACTTTCAATACCCATATTTTCATCCGCAGAGAAAATTAGTATGAAAATCAAGCTCTCATCCAAAAAGTCTATTGCAATACACCCACTCTCTGAGCCTAAACTCTTTCTAAGGTCTCAGAATATAACTTCATAATTATCCCCAGCAAAGAAACTCTTTACCAGTTTTCATATCACTTATTGAAGAAATAAATTATAACTATTTAACACGGAACATGTTAAGTAGAAATCACTGTTTTTTAGAATCACAGAATGGGTCATGTTGGAAGGGACCATTGTAGATCATTCGATTCAAGCTCCCTGCTCAAGGAGGATCATCACAGAGCACATGGCACAGGAATATGTCCAGACAGTTCTTAGATATTTCCACTAAAGGAGATTCCACAACCTCTCTGGGCAACCTGTTCCAGTGCACCATTACCTGCACAGTAAAGGTCTTCCTCATGTTCAGGTGAACTTCCTGGGCATCAGTTTCTGCCTGTTGCCTCTTGTTCTACTGCTTGGGGCCATCAATCAGAGCCTCCAAGAGGCTCAATACTTCTGTTTTATTAAAGTCCCATTACTCCTGTATTACATGTATAAATTCAGTTTATCTTATCTTTTCCTTTACTCCCTATACCCACATTTCCATTTCTGAATGTTTTTAGTCAGCTGTGAAGTTGCAGCTCCCCCACAAACCCTCCAAAAAACTTGTTAACAGAAGAAAGAAAATATGTACTCCTTTACCAAAGGATCCAAATGGGTCATCAGAAGCGTCAATTGTTATGACTGCCCTTGTTAAAGACCCAAGCAAGGCTCCTCCTGTTGTTTGGTTCAGCAGCTGAACATAAAATGACTCCTCAAGTTCAGGATTGATATCATTAATTATATAAATTGGCACAGCTTTACTTGTTTCCCCTTCTAGTAGGACAACATCTGATGAAGCTACACTGTAGTCCTCACCTAGATTTGTAGATGAAAAAACGCAAAATAATAAAACACAGATAACGTCAATGCTTTATGGTTCAGTGTGGTGAACATTATCATTATTACCCATTTTCTCTTTGCTTATGCATGCATTTCTCTGTGTTTTTATGGTGTCTTTTCCTTTATCTTTAGACCTCAAAACTCTATTTATTTACTTATTTACTTATTTATTTACATATTTATTTAAGTCCTGTTGCCTTTTAGATGTCTGGATGGATCAAAATAAAACTTGGCTGACCAAAAGAGAAAGAGTTTGCACTGTTAGACCAAGAGGTAGTTACAAAAGGTCCATTGTTATCTGCTGTTCACGAAGTCACACTACCAAGATGTTTCTATGTTTGATTTATAATTGCTGTCCAGCTTTCCAAGAGATAAAAGTGAAACAGAAGCACCTTGTCAAAGCAGATTTCAGTAAAGGGCACCTTTTATGTATCGACTTCAGTTTGGGCAAACTTGTCTCAGCTGTCTAGAGGAACATCTGTGATACACTAGATCACAGCTCTGCTTCAGAAACTAATTGAAAGCATACTCTGATATAAATCTAGCTACAGATTTTTAACACTCTGTTACATAAAAATGAAATTAAAGGTTCTCAGAGCATGTACCACCCACCTTATCAGTTTGGACATAGCTGAAATAGAGTGCACTCAATTTATAACTGTCTAAGTAATCCTAGAGACTTCAAAATTTTTCTCCTTTCTTTATGTACCTTCTCTACAGCAGGGACCAACTGGACAAGTTTACGTTACGTTTTCAGAAGTACAAGTCTCCTTGAGTTTTGATAGATTTTTCCATATTTGTTTTACAGCTAAGTCCCCAGCTCTTACTTCCTCTCCAAGAAGCTCAGCTAAGCAATGCATGATGGGCTTAAATATATACATGGGACTAAATAGCTTTTACATGTACTACTATAGTATTTTGGGTGGTGGGGGGTGAGGGGATGTTTTAAGTGGTGATGTGCTAAGTAAACAACTAAGTAAACAAACATCCTAATTCCTTCCCTCATTTCACTTTTAGGCTCTCCAGTGATAATGTGTAAACTTTTCCCTAGGTCTTAGATTTATATTTGATAAGCACAGTCAATGACCTACTACTTTATATTTCATACATGCTACATAACGGTGCATTCATTACACACTTGTTTGTTTCAGCTTTAACAAAGGCTACATAGTTCTGCTCTTCTGCTTTCTTACCAGCTGTTGCAGTTATTGGCATAGCTTTAAATTTCACAGAAACATCTGAAAATATTCCCCCGGTTCTGGTCACATTAATGATTGGTCCAACATAGCTTTCAGCAACTCGCACAGCTGAAGCTGAAAGCTGAAGTGTTCCAAAAGCATCATCATTGGCATTGATAATTACATGAGCTATTGTCTCACCCAGTAAACCAAGTCGAGGAGAATTTATAACTGAAATATAAAGAAAACATAGTGAGCAGTACCTGAAATGCTTACTATTCATGGCTATAGAGTTCGTAGGCACACATGTAAGTTTAGCTGTCTCTAGTTTTCATGAAAATTATCTTTTTTACAACTGGACAAAGCATAACTACAAACCACATCAAAATGCATGTGCTTAAATTATCTTCTAGCAGAAAATCTGAACGGTATTCTACTATGCTGTGGCGCATACAAGCCATAAATTTTTGAAAATACGAAGTACTGTGAATTTATTTATTTATTTATTTATTTATCCATCAGACTAATCATAAGATCAATACAGTTCAGAATAATTTCAGTTTTACTTTTAATATAATGAAATATAAGTAAGACTTCAACTCCAAGTGGAACTACATTTGAAGGTACCCCTTAATCTATGAGCAAGGGCACCAATTAGACATGCCAAGATTCTCTGAAGTGCAAATCAGGCTGTAATGACCTGAATTTATGTGAATGAGAAATTAAGTAAAAATTGTCAACACTAAGAAAGCAGCACATCACTAATTCTACATAACTTTTTTTTAAAGACTTTTTTTGTATTTTAATTTTATAAACTAGTTTAGTTATTTCTCACTACTGAACTTCCAGAAACAATGCCAAATAAGCAGGTATTAGTGCACAAATACTATAACATATTTGGCCTGAAACACTTTGCATAAGACAATGCAAAAGGGATAAAGAAATACTCATGCTTTTCCAATAAAATAGTGTGCCAAAGGAAATAAAAGTTAACAGGCACAAGTCAGGCAGCTAAGAGATATCTTAACTATATAGAGGTTGGCAGAGGTAAAGAATTCATTTGTCGTGCTGCAGTTTCTCCTGTTACATATAAATACTAACCTTCATAGTTAAATTGTAGATTTACGAAAGATACTTACTTGGCCGATCCTGAACTTTCTTGATCAAAACAACATTGCTTAGTTCCACAAAAACAGATTCTGACCTCTCAGGATCATCATCATCCAAAATAGGCAAGGATATTGTGGCCTCACTTTCATTGCTTGCAAAGACCACATAACCTGTAACAGGTATGTAGTCTTTTCCCTCTATTGCTCTGACAACATCAGGTGGAAGAAAGTGCAACTTTTCTTCATCACCAATAGTTCTGTATTTCACCATTACTGTACCAAGGAGACCACCACACCTTATAACTGTCAAAGAGACATTTTTTGTTTCTTCCTCAACTTTCATTGGTCTGTTTCGCTCAGAAAAGATGAAGACTCCATACGGATCATCATTTGCTAAAATAGTTAATGTTGCATTAGTATGATATCCAAGACGACCAAGGGAGACATTGATGATCAGGACTGAAAACATCTCATCCAATTCGGGAACATCATCAGGAGAAACCTGTAATGTAATATTTGCTCTCACTTGGCCAACATCAAACGTTACATTCCCCTCTGTAGAGATCAGGTCATTGGTGAGATCGTAGACTATGATCCAATGCAATGTCACCTGAGATAAGGTCCCATGACTTCTCACAACCTATGAAAAACATAAAGATGTGCATATTTTTGTTCTATGAGAAAGAAACATAGAAGTGTGAAATGCAATTAAGCAAAGACAATAACATGAAGAATTAAAGTCATGTCTGTGTTTTAAAAACATGTAATTTTTATTATCTTAGCTCTGCAAAACTTGTATTACCAACATTTACTTTAACACAGTAGTCCCTTGATTCTAAATAAGTAGAAGATTTTAAGTTTTTGGATATTATTATTATTTTAGTTTCAAGCTGAATAATTGGCAAACACTGCATGACTGGAAAAACAAGTGTTCATGGCAAAGTTGTTAAAAACCCCATAGACTAACGACAAAAGCATCAGAGAACACCAGTGAAAACAGACAGAAGAGTACAATGCAGCAATATGAGACTCAAAGCTTTCTAACCTGCAGCACAACATTGCTATCTCCATCTTCAGGTTCAGTTCCATTCACTGAAATGGACTCAGTACTGAACTCAAACACACCATGAGCATCATCAGAAGCCTCAATAGTCACAAGGATGTGGGATGCAATTCCCAAGCTAGCTGTTAAATGAGAGTCCAAAAAGGTTATTTTTATCTCTCATGTTTTCTTACATGAAAGAAAGCAGCTGAAGAAATATGCTACAAAAATACGAAAGAGAGTATGAAGTATCTGTGCAGTTTATCTTTGTTTTTTTTTCTTTTTAAAATGCATGGTAACTCCCTATATGGAAAAGGAGCTGACTTTCAGTAAGGCAGTCCTCTCAGTCCTTCTATGGAACCATGCAACAAAAAAAGTGTTATTTTAAGGGAGGAACCAAAATAAAATTACAGGTTCAATGAATGAGCATGGAGCAGCATTTAGGACAGTGAGGAGTTATACTGTAAACCACAATGGAAGAGGAAAGACAAGATGAATGCAGATCTCATCCTGACATAAGCTGGAATGAAAGAAAAGTATAACCAAAAAGTAACCAAAAAACCCCACCAAGTCAAGTAAATCCTACTTCTAAAGACATTGTCTTGGGTGACATAACTTGCTTCTCTTGGAGAGAAAGAAGAGTTTGGCACTTAAGGAAACCATTCCTGGAAACAAGTAAAAGGGAAACAGAATGTCAAAGAAAACAACAAAAAAGAAAGAAAAAAAAAAGTAAAAAAAAAGAAAAAAAAGAAAAAAGAAAGAAAGAAAAAAGAAAAAAAGAAAAAATATTACTCTATTGGCATATGGGTGCTCATATAACATTTTTACGTCTGCAGGTTTTCATTTAAATTCCTATATGCATAGGGTTTTCTCATATATTCTATGTTATTTCTTCATTTGGTACTTTTTATCAATATTAAATTATAATTGTTTTCTGCATATCATGACATAAATAGAAAGAAATGAAAGAGGAAAAATGAAAAAATAAAATTATTTCATTAAAAAATGTAAAACAACTTACTTTTCTTTAAGAATATTTTTGCCATGAAGGGTAAATTATACATAGATTATATCATACAGGATCAAAGCATACAATCAGGTAGTTTTAAAATTGCCTTCAATTTTAAAAGTACCTTTGCTTTTTTCTCCCAGGAAAATTTCACAATGTTCAGACAAAGATAATTTTGTAAGTTTTAATTCTGAAATTACTGTATTGTGTTTTACAACAATATAGTTTTGATTATGTAAGAGCCTGTTGTACTCTGCTTTACATTAAACACTGACTGCTAGTGAAATTACAACTAAGTTAAAATGGAAAAGAATTTTTTTTGGTAAAACCTTTTGTTAAATCTAAATTAATAATCTCTAACTACATGTAAAGAAAGTTGTATCAAGCATAATAATTTACGACAGCTATTACACTTATAAATAAAATATAGGATCAATCAAAAAAGCTTACCAAGTTGAGGGACAGTTGAAAGGAAGAAATCCATGTTTCCATCACCACTACCACTTCCATCATTTCTAAAGAGCTCAGCAACTTTAAGATGACAGACATACAGATATATACACTTATATACATTTATAAAAAGGGAAAGCAGAAAGTAACTTAAACATTTTTGGATAACACAAAAAGACAGAGGTGTATTCTAGGAAAATGTCAATTTTCAAAATTAATTTCTGCAAATAGCCAGAAAAAATATTGAATATGCCACCTCTTGTTTAATTTATTGCACTGGAATCGTAAAAGGAAGTCAGAAGGAAAGAAAACACCTACAACTTTATCCTTTTTTTCTGCCTTTCTGTGTTCCCTCTTTCTCATTCCTAATTGAGAAATTAGAAATGGGGCAGGGAGGAGAGGGAAGAAGTGGCTAGACACTGTGAAATGCTCTTACTCTAATATTTTCTCACAAATAAAAAACTTGTGCCAGAAAGTTGAAAAAATTTGGCAGCTTAATTGATGGAACCTTTATTCTAAGTTTCGTGCTTGCAGTGGTGTTGGAAAGCTCCAAAAGATTATGTTCAGGAGGTAACTGCATCTAGTAAATTACCAAAGTTAGCTGTAAGTTTTCTAACTAAAAAAAGTGAAAGAGAGAAGTTTGTTTAACTGAAACAACTACTTGACCAAAAATTCCACAGGCATAAAAACTCAAACTTTTATTAAAAGATTCCTAGCATAACACCACCATGCCACATTGCAACACAGACACTCATGTTAATATGATCTAACTTTCCAGAAGGCATCACACTTGCAATTCTGAATTGCTTAGAAAAATATCAGTTAAAAACGCACTTTATGGCTCTCCATATTTTTAATTACTTCTTTTCCTTCAACCAGGAGGAATCTCCCTTAAAAATTGTTTGCACTGGAAATAAGTTCTGTAAAGCAAAATTGATTTTATAAGGCAGGAGCACTGATGCTTGCTGACAGTTGTAGGACTAACATCTCGCAGCAGGATTTACACTAGCTTCTAGCTAGTTCTCCAACTCAGCTAAACTCCCCAGGCATGTCAAAATGCTAAAGCTATAATCCATTTGAATAAGTTATGAGTGAGTTTATTGCAATTTCTCCAATTTCATTTAAGTGGTAGATAAAAACCACACCTTTGGCTGTTAAACCTTAAATACTGAAAACTTTAAAAAAAAAAAAAGAATTTTTTTTTTTACATTACTTTATTTCTCTCTATCAACTATGGAATTATGTAATTTAAAAAGCAGCAATTGCCTTTGAATGTATGGTAGTATTATGCTTTCTTTGAGATCTGATTGTTTACAGCAGTGATTAACAAAAGCTGGACAGTTTTTTCCTAAAAGGAATTGCTGCTTTCTGGAGGGTGTGTCTTTAGAAATAATATGGAAATAGTTCACAAGGTTTTTAAGAGATGAATAAAGATCACAAAAATACAACCAGTGGGCTGATATATGTGCCTTACCTCCTCCCTCTGGGTTCAACAGCTCCACTTTAAACGTTTTTTCTAGTTCAGGAATAGAATTGTCAGTGATGTTAACAGTAATGTACTTGTATCTTTCTCCAGGCTGAAATTCCATTGAGCCCCAAACAGCCTGAAATATGACAGATCTTCACAGTTTTGTTCAAGTTTAGTGTTTTCATCCAAATGAAAAAAGAAATACAACTACAGTTCTTTTTCTCTTTTTCAAAACATCTACTTCTCTTCACTTTAACTTTAAAAAAACCTGCTGAGTCTTTGTTATAAGAAATAGCAATCTAAACTCAATGTATTATAAGCATCTTCATTCACCTACATTTTTCTGCACAAAAAACTGTCAGACAAGAAAACATATACTTATAAGCTATGCTGTTGAATATGTACAAATCCTAGGAAGTACAAATATAATCTTCACCTGCATATGCACTTGTATGGTCATAGAAAGTCTGATATACTTAGAAACAATAGGAAATATCCATTCTTGCTGCACTGACAATTTTCTTAAGGATATCAAAATCAAACCCAGGGGCTTTTCCTAGGAAACACAACATGCTGCACAGAAAGGAGGCAAAATGCACAGGGGGTTATATTCGTATAGTGAGTATTATGCATCTATCACACCACCATAATAAGACAAACTGTTTCCGTGAAAAGAATCACAGCAGAGCTAAAATATTCAAACTGAAGGCTATTCCCAGGACAAAGAGCTTTAACTAAATTCTAAAATTATTACATTGGCAATGGCCATACCTGATAATCTTTAGGACTGAAAGCTGTAACTGGCACTGTCCTGTATTCCATAAGAACTGTTCCAAGAAGCCCTTGTGCACGAACTACCAATAATCTGATGTCTCCAACTTCTTCTTTAACAGTGATATGGGGCACAGCAGAGGCTGGAAGAATCATTTCATCACTGGGCTGAGGAGGTGGCCCCACTGAGAACTGCAGTAGTCCTGAAAGACAAAAAATATTATTGACATAACTTCTTATATAAAAGTCAAATTATAATAATAAAAATTAAACAAAAATATTTATAATATTTATATTTAATGTTTATGAAATTTTAAACATATTAAGATGCCTTTAGGACTCAATCATGCTATTTCCAGGAATGTACTGTGTACTGTTCTCTCTCTCACTGATATTCATGTTAGTCTTACAAAAACCATTTCACAAGAATGAATTCAATGCCTTCCAAAAGAACCCAAATGTCATAATATTGGGTACTTATTGGTATAATAATAGGCAGGCTTAAATGTCTCCCTCTTTTACAAATTCTCATTTCACAGTACCATAAAATCAACACATGCAATGTGGTTTTCTTGCAAATGGGTATGATCCCATGTTTGGTCCAGGAAACTTTAATTCCTTTTTTGTAGTATTCTCAAGAGTAAGTAATTTGACTTTCATTCTTGTATAAAAATTATGTGTGGGAATCCATCAGAGGTTTTGGGAAAGGTGCAAAAGGCAGACCTCAGAGATAGCAGAACTGTGATTAGAGCTAAGCAGTAGCCATAAGATTTGTCAGCAGAAAAATTATGTAAGAAATAGAAAAGTAAGGACAAACAGAACAATGGTCTGTGTATTAATGCTTGTCTAGAATAACTCCCTAAGCTACAGAAAAGTATATCTAGTGAGATATTAGGAAGTTCTAAGCTTAATAATGGAGCTCTGTGCACTGTGTTTTAAGGCTTACAAGCAGGTATTGGATTTGAAATAAGCAAGCATTGTTTTAACGGAAGGTATGTGTGCTTATAGTGGTTGGATAAAACTACTGTCAATGTGCTTTTGCTTTCTGTGATTGGTCGAAAAACTTTTAAAGTGAGCTGTAACATTAAGTTCTTGATCTGCTGCCTGGGATGTGAGCTGCTGGCATCCTCCCGTTGTCATAACCATGTAATGAGACTGATGATGGAAAATAAAACAGCTCAAGATGCGTTCCTCAGCAGTCCCGTCCCATTCGTGATTTGTACATAGCCCCCGGCTGGCAATAAATGGCGCCCCGTGTGAGCACCCTGTGATTAAATTAATCTCAAGTTAGATAAAGTGTAATACTTGACATTGCTTCTTCTTCTATCTAGGCTAGGCAAATTTTTTACCTCTTAAGCTGGAAGTATACATAAATCTGCAATAAGACTATGTATCTGCAATATTGTTACCATATGGGTGGTCACTGGCTTTAATGCTGATATCAGTAGTTTCCTTTTCCGGATCTATACTTGCTCCGCTGGTAGGAGTTGAACCTAGTTTTCCATCTCCAGACACTGCAGAGACTAATGTCACACGGAAATATTCATTTAGCTCTGGAATGTCATCATCAATAATATTCAAATTTAAGACCTAGAGAAGGACCAAATAATGGAGAAATCAAAGTATGCAACATACATCCTTTAAGAGTTTTATGACCCTTTTAAACAAAGAAGTTTTTAGTCAATCAGCTGTATCTGTTCTGAGTTCAGAAAGAAATATAGAGAACACTCTCGCCCTTCAAATTATTTAACCTTATGATAACAGGTTTAGAATACCAATTCCAAAAACATCTTTACCAAGCTGTCAGAGACATTACAGCAATTAATCTAACTTAGAGAGCAAGTGAAGTTTTTAATGCCACCTGACACTTAAGGTTACAGATCATACTACTACGTAACATAATCTGCTCTGCATAGGCTATAATATTAATTTCAGATAATTCCAACTTTCTATATATCATGATAAGGTTTGATAAATATATAGGAGAAAAAATTTAGGTAGCTGATGTAGAGGCATGAGAATGAGTAGTTTTAAAATGTCAATGGAAATTCTCTTAAGATTTTTCACCTCATGAGCAACTGGTCCCAGTCTGTTTCTTAGGGCCATAACCATCTGGTTCTCTGTATGTAGACTGTATACTGGACCACATAGCAATGGAGTAAGAGGGTTCACCAGGTCTTTTCTACCATTTTATAAAGTCAGGCTTCATCCATGCTGCCAGACTGGAAAAGCTTGGCAAATTTAACTTTGACTGTATGTAATGCAGTAATAGAGTTCAGTAGAGAATTAAAGCTGAATAAACTGCCAGGAGCATACTATTTTCCAAAATCACGAGTTTTTGTCAAGCTGTAATCAGTTATATTGTTTAACTGGGACCAAATCCACAGCTCTTGGATCTTTTCAAATTATGTCAGTAGATTTCACTCAGTCCCTACTGACCCCAAGAGAATGACAGAAGCAAAATTAAAGACAGTATTTTCTACTAACAATCCATCCTTTCTATTTAACTAACACTAATAGAAAACACTTAACAAACTTCCTACAGTACTGTGGTCCCACACCTCTTTTCAGATAAATGTAAAATTCCCATGCTGTGTGTTGGGGTCAAATTTACAGAAATAGACTAATCAAAAGAGACAGAATGTGGCTAATAGTTGCAAGACATTTGATTACAGCAGTGAAGTTGACTGCTGTCTATTTAATTGTTGTGGAGGTAAAACTGATCTCAACTACTCAGATCAAAATCTGATCTTATTCCAATTTCAGAAGTCACTAGGTCCACTATTCAAGCCCAAGACTACCTATACTTGAAGTATGTGTATGGATATACATATATCTAATATATACACATACGTAAACATATTTTATGTGTAATTATTTGCATTTAAGCATTCATGCATGCACAGTAATGCCTGAAGTGAGATGCACATATATAGGTGTCTATCCTATCACACGTTAGATGTCTAAGATGAAAAAACCCTGCAAAATGTAATAAAAGCCATGTGAAGAAAAGACTCTTTAGTATGAAAACCAGTCAAACATCCTCAGAAGGTGTTTTCCAGCAGGTTTGCAAAGGACAGGATGAATAGTTAATAGGAAGGTAGGGTTTACCTCTGATCTCTGCCAAGGAAGGAATGTGATAGTGCCACTGCTGTTAGAAAAATCGCTAATGGAGTAATTAATGCCCCTGGAATCAACCTGTGAGATAATGTAATTTATATACACATAGTCTAGGGCACCCCTTGTTCGCTCCACAACACAGGATATAGTGGAACCCTCATCAGCAGCCTGGAAGAAAGCAAAAAATTGACATATTTGTTATGATCATAGTAAATCAAAAGAATAAATGTAAAAGGTTGAATTCTGTAATGTTATTCAAATGTTCAGCAATTCTTTATTGCTGTCATGTTACTTTCAGCACTTTTGGAGTGACAGGAAGCTGAAACTGACGTTGGTGGTGGTCAGAACAATCTTAATGGAAATTGCAATAGCTTCTAGCATCTCCATGAGGTCAGCCAGCAACTGTACCCTGTTGTTTCTCTTGGACACAAAAACAGAATCAACATTTGAAATGTGTATATCAAAAGCAAAAGACTATACTGTTTTATATTAATGCTAAATATCATTTTAATTTAAAGAAAGATTTGGATTCCTCCTTTCCCTGACTAAAAACACTATGGGAAAAAAAATAGATACATTTAAATTAAACTATATTATTACAATTCAGAAAAAAACTGAAGAACTTTTTGTGCTACAGTACTCTTTGCAATTCAGTCTTCACAAAGAACATGCCCTTAGCAGCAACTATTTCACACATTTGGAACAAATCAGGTATTGATACTGGTGAGGTCTATTAAAAAAATTATGATCATCAAACTAAAATAGAAAATAATTTTAGTTGAAAGTTACCAGAATGACTAAAGCCATCTTAAGCATTAGATAAATTTCAGAGCTGCTGTATAGCACAGTGCAGATACTGAATATGCCTTCAGCTGCTTAACACACAGATAACGACATAAGGAAATTAAACTACTGATAAAACAATGCTATAAGATAAAGGCAAAACAATTAACATGCCACATAAATTTTTAATTTTGCTTCATGGTTGATTGCTGATCTATGACATCACAGAATTATCAGTGGTATTGGAAACTGAAGGAATCCATTATGGTAGCAGATGGTAGGCACCTGGAAAACAAACTGAACCGAACTGAAAACTATCATCACTCAGGCAAGATGGTTGCCTTCAAACATGTCATAAGGACTTCAGATAGAAAGGATGCACTTAAGAGATCATAAGAGCTCCCAAATTAGAAAGAAATATGAATTTTTTTCCAAAATAATCTAATAATAATAGAATTGGGTATCATGTCTTTCTCCTTCATAATGATTAAAAAACTAAAAACTGGTTACCATTATTTCAATCCCCTCTAAAAAAGATTCCAGTTTATATACTACATATATGGTGGTCACCTCCATAGAAAATTTAATGTTTAAAAACAGTAACTTCCAACCAGTATTAAGTGAATTCATATCAAATATGGTGATGAAAATGATGATGATTTAATTTAAGGGAGGAAGAGATTGGAACAGAACCCAGGAGAAACAATTGCTGCACAGAGCAATCGCTCACCACGTGCTGACCAATACCCAGCCCACTTCTAAACAATGACCAAGTGCCTTACAGGTAACTTCTCCAGTTTATTAAGTGGACATGACATTCTGTAATATGGAATGTTCTTTTGGCCAGTTCAGGTCAGCTGTCCTGGACATGCTCCTTCCCATCTTTTTGTGAAGCTCTTCACTAGCTGAGCATGAGACACAGAAAAGTCTTCGACTCAGGCAAAGCCATACTTACCAACAGCCAAACCATCCTTGTGATACCAACATCATTCTCATCCTGAATCCAAAACACAGAACTGTACCAGATACTAAGAAGAAAATGAACTCTCTCCAAGAAGACATCAGGTTACATTCTCAGAAGTTACAGAAGTAGAGGAAAAAACTGTTCTAGGAAATTTTTAGCCATAGTCTTCAGTTTATGTAATAAAATAAATTTCCTTAATAAAAATAACCTGGGGGGGGGGGGGGGGGGGGGGGTTGAAAAAAAAAAAAATTCTAAAAAAGTAATATTGGAAATGTTAGAGTGACTGAGGCTGTATAAACAGAACTACACAATTCCGAATTCCAGAAAACTTTGCTTGACTACAAAAACTAAAAATGTAGAATCAAGGCCCTTCAAAGGTTAGTTAGCCTTGCCATTAGTTTGATCATGTCTAAAATTTCTCCTGTAGCTTTCCTTATGAGCATCTTACCTCAGGAATACATGCTCCAGTGAAGCCAAATAAACCATTAGCATTATCACTTTTCTGTATTCTTAATCTTGCTGTTGTGTTTTCTTCTGAAATTCGAGCTCCACCACACACAGAAATGAGTTTTAGGATGAATAACTCCTCTCCTTCTTCCTCTTTGTCATCCTTTGCAGACACAATGAATGATTTATTGGTTTCTCCTTGCCAATAGTCCAAATACCCAGAGACAGGGTGTACATCACTCTTTGCAGGAGTTGCATGGAGTTCATAGATCTCTGCCTGTGTCAGTTTTCTCTCATAAAGCCTTACATCCTGCATTAAACCTGTGTACCTGCTGTTGCCATTGATTCCTGCTCCAATTCTCACTATTCCTGGACCTGAGAAGTAAATTAGAATTTTTTCATGTTATTGGGTTCAAAATAACAAATACATGTAATTATTTTAAAATCTATGGTGAATTATTTATTGTCCCTGCGCTAGTAATCATATTCATCTTGAAATGAAGACTGGGAGGCTCCTGAAGCCTCATCTCAGTGTTACAGGTAGACCATTACAGGTCAAGTAATTCCTTCCTAGATCGTTCATGTTTTTCATCCTACTAATTCTATCTGCACATTGTCATCATCCCTTATCTTAATGAATCTTGGAAATTTCTCTCTTTCCATTAAAAAATTTCAGAGACAGCTGCAGCCTATCTCAATTTTGGTTTTCCAAACACTTGTTTTACCCATTTTATATCTTTGTACATTTAATGTGTCCTCTGCTAGGATAGAGAATCCATTCTGTTGATCAGAGTATTAGCCACACAGGACATGCTTGTACACGCTGGAAGAGAGGCTTAAGAAATGTAGACCCAGTTTCAAGTACTTTTTACAACTGCTATAACATTTCTTTCTCTCCAAAAAATTATTCTATTCAGTACATAAGAGAATGATAGTTCTCTTCTTCACAAATAAACTAAGCTGTTAGCTCATACTCATTCCTGTCACTCTAAAACATAGAGAACATATCTCTTCAGCTGTTTTATGATTTTGGAAGGAAATGTGTCACTTCTAGAAACTTCTAGAAACTGCCAACTGCCAAGACATAAGGCAGAGGATGGTGAGAAAAGCCAGGCTACAGTACCCACTGTAGTATCCAACATTAAATGGTGAGAGATTAAATTCTTAGCTTATACTTGTAGTATCTCCAGACAGAGCTTTATGTTTGTGCACACATATGCATGTAGATGTATATGCATTTAACATCGCTGCACTTTTTTAAATTTTCCTTCTTTGATTACAGAGGATCCTGTACTCAAGAATTTGATAATCATACACTGCCTATCCCCATGAAAGAAAACATGTGAAACTTATGGGGAGAGAAAGAAAGGTAAAGGAGGAGATTACTGCTATGCAAAAAAAGCATATGGAAGAGTGAGGAAATGCAAAAGAAAAGAGTAAACGTAAACATATTTCCATCATACAATACCTGACTTTGTAAAGCAATTACTTGTAAAGGATGCTCACTGCTATTCTAGTAGAGTGTAGAAGTCCATAATGGTTATGCATGACTAAGTCACATCTGGGAATATCGAGTTAGGGGAACTGAAGTACATATGCTAACATTATTTGGAGCATCATTAAACATATGGGCAAAATTTTCATATGCCATGTAAATACATGCTTAAGTACATCTAAACCCTAAAAATTCCAATGCTTACAAAGTAGTGGTTTAGCTGTAATATAATACACAACTAGAATCAAAAACATTATTATATTTTGTTTTAGATATCAAGAGAAAAAAAATCTTCCTTAGCCACAGTACTGTAAATCTAATAAAAATCTTAACTGTAAATATATATAACTATATGTATAGTTATATATCTATAAGCATACATGTAGAAATGTAATTATTAATTTTAAAATTATTGAAATTCAAGCTCCCTTACAGTTCTGATGCTTTTTAGAAAATTTCCCAGCTCTTACTTCCATTTATATGGTTTTTGAAAATCCCTAGAATTTTCTATGAATTGCTTTTAACTTACTAATCAGATACAGTAATTTCAGAATCTTGCATACATCTTTCAAGTAGCTAGACTTTTCCTTATTTTGCAGAACTTCACACACGAAGAAAAACAATACAATCTATTGGCTCACCATCAGCAATTGCTTCTCCTTTAAGGCTCTTAATTCCTCCTAGAATTGGAGTTCCATCCATGTAAAATTCAATTATACTTTCATCCAGAGTAATCAGAATATGAACCCACGTACTTTCATCCAGGTATTTAAGGACTGCTGCTTTGGCTATGTATGTCATACAGGATCCTAATGCTGTATAATGAAACACTACAGAAACATGAGAATCATTTGTTTCAATTTTCACACCATAATATAAGGTCCCATTACCATCGTCCTTTTCAACTATATAACCATCAGTATTGACATTAGGAATTAACCACGCTGAAAATGTAAAATTAGTTACTGCAGTATTTCCATCGTATGGATATTCCAGATGAATAATTCCAAATGCATCCTCTTTTCCACTGAAATACAAAGCATCTGTTCCACTGTGATGGCGTCTCATGTGTGGCTGAGATTGCACTGAACTTGGAAATGATCCCAGCAACAAGAAGTCCACCATTGATGGTAATCCAGTTTGAAACGTACTGGACAGTATTTCCCAACCTAAACGGACAGCACCAAAAGTGCCTTGATGTCTCCAGATGGTGAAGTCTGTAATATAGGAAAGATCATCTTCAGAAAGAACATCTTCTGCTATCTCTCTGTCCTGACTCTCTGGATCCATAACGAAGACTCCGAAAGGGTCATCATTGAAAGGGATCATCACAGTTACAGCAAGGCTTGTTTCAGACAACTGCCCACCAGCAGATCCACCTATATCATGGAAGTTAAGAGTAAGAGTTACTGGTCTGAAAAAAGTTACTAAGTATTTTTAAATGTTTAAACAAACTGCCTTTTTAAATAGGCGTAAATCTTCTTTAAAGTGTCTCTGCACTCTTAAAAATTTCTCCAAATTTAAGATTAACATAAATTAACTGTATTGGTTTTAAAACACTACAGAGAACATTTTCATAGAAAACAAGCCATGTTATTTTTCAATTGCAGAATATAACTATCTTTCAGTTAAAACAATATTAGCTCAGATTTCCTGAATTAGTAATGAGATAGTAATTGCTTTTGTAATTTGCTTTCAATTCCATTTGAAAAACATGGGGTCAAATTAATTTCTCATTATACTCCAAGATTTACACAAATATGAAATGGCAACATTTGGTTCATTGCCTCCAAATAAGAAGAGATTACCTTGCAAAATCAGTAACTAGATGTGTGTTAAAACAACTCCTAAGTTGTTTTAACACACACTGAACAGCTCCTAAGTCCTGCCATTAGTCACCTACTTCTCCACAGCAAGAAGATCATGGTATGACTGTAGAGCCTCCATGCACCCTAAGTAGGAAATCTTCTGTACATGCATATGGATTTCACTTACAGAAATGTCAACATATTTTCAGTTGTATCTCGGCACAGAAGACCATAAATAGTACTGAGGTGGAAGGAGTCCAGCAGATTTGGAACTCTACTCAGTAGCAGGCCTGTAGCAGTTGTAATTTAAGTGATATGAAGTGGTAACTATTTGCATTTTAGAGAAATTTCTAGAAAAAAGCAAACAAACCAGCCAATCTCCATTACGGTAGATATGCATAACCTTTCATACCTTCATTTTGTCAGCTCTACAAAAAGCTCTACATCTCTGAAATCACTAAAAGAAATCATTTTTAAAGGCCTAATTCCAAAACTGTGTTCATACATCTAAATTAAAGAAAAAATTAAAAACCTAAAATGTCACCAGAAAAGTATAGGATAATACAGGCATCAAGGCAAAGCTCTTTGCAGGACTGTTTTCTTTTTGATTGATCAAATATAATTATTTCCTACCAGACAGGAAGGGAATGGTTATATGGAAGACAGTACCTGAAACGTTCACCAATTTTAAAATGTAAAATTCATTGAATTCAGGAATTTTATCTGAAACAGCATGAAGCACTATCTGCTTTGATCCTTCACCATCCATAAAGTACACAGTCCCATATGTTTCATAGAACTCTTCTCCTGGCTTCAGTGTAGAGTCATTAAGAAACAGCTGCCAGCTTAATGAGACATTGCCAAAGTGTCCTCTATGTCTCAAAATCCTGTTCAGAGACACAGAGATACAGAGATGAAGAGACACACTGACAAAGGGTCGATGTCATGGCAGGTATACATCAGCATTCTCCATTAACAATGGAAAACATAGACTAATCATCCTTACAGTGGAATATAATATGCATTGTTCTAAATAACCACAAATAACAAACAGAACCATGGACAACAAAAAAATCCTCTTATAGAGCCTGCAATTTCACAATGTATCTCCTCATCGAGGTATACCAGAGATGTCTCAGAAAGAAAGTAATCAATGAAGGTACATGCAAAATAACACTGTTTAGATGACCATCAGTTTGTCTTGCACTTCTATTTTTTTAATAATAAAAATGAATGTATAATTCAGCAAATTAACATTAAAAATTGTGTTAACTGGCCAGTCTTAGAGAAGAAAGAGAAGGCATTTAACTACAAGTATTTTTTTTACTTTAATCATTAAGGTGCCTTAACCTTTTTCGTATTGGTATTTAATTTCAGTTATATAGTAGGTCCTTCACAAATCTGATTATTCCATATTAAGAATTGAATAAATATTTTAAAAAGCATTTATTTGTTTGCATAGCTATCTGGTAACATAATTTCACCAATTTCCAAAAGGTATTATAAGTAAAAACTGAAGAACTGAACTGAACATAAAAAAGTTCCTTTATTAATAAAATATGTTTGCATATAAAAAGAGCATTTCTGCTTGTGTGGTAAAAAGCAAAAAAAATCTGTTTAAAGCATTGTTGTACAGGTCTGAAAAATTAATTCAGTAAAGTAGTCTAGGAACAGAAACACAGTATGTTTTTACTGCTTCCAAAGGTTTCCTTTTGTCGTTATTAAGCAGGGCATTTTATTCCAGCAGTGTAGCAGGGTTGCAGTAACTCCAGTTACTCTCTTAAAAGCTCAGTGTTGCCAAAGGTGTTCTCACTTATTAGATTATAATCTAGTCTGACCCTTTTCTTATGTACTAAAAATAAGTCAAATCCTTTTGGGCTATGGAAGAGACAGTTTCCTAGTAAATATATTTTATCAATAAGGACTAAGCAAGGTAAGATTTTGGTGACCTTGGAATCACGTGCTTCCATGAAGCACCTGTATACAAATGTGTTTAGTTCAAATCATTACTCTTCACAACACTGATTTAAAATCAAAATTATTAAGGACCAAAAAGTCCCTAAAGAGGAGCATAACAAAACCAACCACAGAATATACACTTAATATACTCTTTTAACAAAGATTTAAATTTTTAGATGTGCAACACAAGCATAAAGATCTAATTAACAGTCATAAGCTTCTATTTCAAGGCCTTAAAACAAACAATCAAATCAAATAAAATAATAATATATAAAATATAATTAAACAATTGTGAAAAAGCCTCTTAAACTGTTTACACTGTCAGATTTATTGTGAACTTGTGATTCTTTATACCCTGTCTAAAATTTTCTCACTGAAAATCAGTATTTTTGTCAATTTATAACCACGTTCTGACTTTAGGAACATAAAAAGGTCAGATGACACAAAACTTAATTTCTTAACCCTTCCCTTTCCTGAATACATCCCAGCAGCTACAGGTCAGACTAGGGAAAAATATATTCAGCCTAGAAGAAAGGCACATATGGACTTTGAGCATGGCTCCTATCTGCAATTTACAGATAGAAGAAATACAAACTAACAGAAAGAATATAATAAAATAGGTTTTTTGCAGGGTAAAATTTCAAAGGGGGGTGCAAAAAGAAATTAGCAACCACATAGTTGTATTTAGCCGTATTTTGTATTTACTTCTCTATTGGTCCAGGTCATATTCTGCTCACTCATCTTGATCCTTCTGAATGTACACTCTCGTGAAAATATGATAAAAACCCCTATGCTGCAATCTTACTGGTTTATATTTTAACAGGAATTCTGTACACATTTTAATATGCACAGTCTACTTGATAATATAAGAGTTGATGTTTGATGTTTTGTTTATCCTCAATATGTTTGCAAATAATTTAATCCAAAATTTGGTGGAGCTGTTTTTCTAATAAATCTTAGCAATGTAAAAAACAGGATTAGATCAAAGTACTATCCATAAAATAACACACACATCAAAATGTACATAAATGTATTCAAAAAATGGGCAACAATATTATATAAAAGTTACTTACAAAAAAAAATTACTTTTTCCTTCTTCCACTGACTTCTCTAGAGGTTCTAAGGAGAAAATTCCATTAGGATCATCATTTGCTTCGATAATAACTGTAGCCACTCCAGCATTAAAGATAACAGTATCCCCTAAAAAGAGGGTGATTGATTTTATCAAAACTGGAATCAGAAATGGAGCTAACTCTAAAATTGAATGTATTTTCTTCTCACACCAATAGCTTTCATGCAAAGAAAGCAACAAGCAGTGATAAAACAATCAGTGCAAACTAATATTTGAGATATTCAGTAACAGACAAATCAGAGTAAAAAAAAAATGTAAACAGCATCTACGGCAAGGATCAAGAATGCAAATTTGAAGAAAAAAATGTGTCAAGACCAGAGATGATACAATCCTGAGAAGAAAGGATTGTATGAGAGGCAATACTTCATGTTTCATCAATTGGTCAAATCAGAAAAAAAGACATGTATTCAGAGATCCCAGCTCTCCTTTACACCTACAGCAGAAATATTGCACTTTAACTAAATACAACACAACAACAATCTCTAAGAGATTAGTCATACCCATATCACAGCCTATCTGAAAGGAAAAAAAAAATACAAGATACCTGTGAATTAAGGTGGAAATTAGCAGGATTTCATTGTGTATATTACAACATGTCAATCCCTCTTTATGTCTACACAGGTACATTATGTTTCCATTCCCATCCCAGTTTTCATCCTTTTCAAAAGCACTAGACTTGTTTTTATTCCAAAGTGAACAACCTGTTTATGGTTTTAACTTCATATACCTCTGTTTCTATTTTCTCAGAGGTACAACAATCCAACATAATTTTCAAAAGGGATGTAATGATCAAGGCCAATATATACAACAGATCATAAAAAGAAAAATAATAATTGCTTTTTTTTCCCCTTTCAGGAATTCATCTAGAAATATTCTAAATGAAATATAGATGAAAATAGAATGTATTTTGCCCATTCTGGCAGGAATGTGTCAAAGGAGGAAAGCCATCACACGTTTTCAATAGAATGGTAAAAGAAGACACCAGCAGATCCTGAACAAAGTTAGTAAAGTAGAATGAGAGCATTGAAGAGAAAATTTAAGAAGGGAGAAATATGGCTCTGTCCAATAATTTCCACAAAGCTGATGATCTCTCAGAGAGCTGGGTATTACAATGAATTCTAGCTGGCCTTGGGAAACACATGAACTACGTTATACTCAGATAACTGAGAAAAATTACCCATTTCCTACATTTAACTTATATTTTCTTATTGATGAGTTAAAGCCCCATCTAATTTGGACCATTTGGAAAGAGATTTCCACTCAAGTTATTTTTGCAGGACAGTTTCAGCTTTATAATTTAATTTTTGTTTCTGATTAAACAATTCAAGATCAAAATCCAAACACACTGTACAGAAATTTTATAAAAATGTTGATGCAAACCTTATTCATATGATGCCTGGCATTTATATATTGCTTTACAATAAAAACTAGCTGGTAAAAAAATAGAGGAAAATGGAGAGTTACTAAATATACATAAAGTCATTGCTTTTACCTGTTGAATTCAAAAGGAAGATATAAAATACTTCATCAGTTTCAGGGGTATCATCATCATTAATATACACAGATAAGGTCTGTTCTCTTTCTCCAACATCGAACAGAATTAAACTCTCCTTTTTACTGGGAACAAAGTCTCCCTCTTCAGCTGTTGCATCTCCATTAACAGTAATATACTGAACAGCAACAACAGTATCAGCAGATCCATTCCTTAGGACTGTAAAGTTTGCAACACTCCCTTCTGTAATCCTCACTGTCAGAGGTTCTGAAAACACACAAACAACAAATTCAAGTTCAAGCCTGAGCTTCTTGCATGTGGCTTATTCACCTAACCCCCCATAAGAGGAAAGAGAAGGAACATGTAGTTAAGGAAGGGAAACACAAAAGAGAATATTGTCATCCTTAGACACCTAACCAATCCAAGCGCCATCAACAAGAAAAATGACATAAAATCAGAAAAAATTCTTAAGTAAAAAAAAAAAAAAAAAAAAAAAAAAAAAAAAAGAAATACAACAAAACCAAAAAAGTGTGTTTTGTAACACTAGCTCCATTAGGATTAAGATTTTTCAATAACCTGCTCTTTCAATAAAATCTGTATGGGATGGAATATTAATACAAAATTTAAAACCAGTAATATCTAACCTGCAAAATAAATGGGATCATCATTCCTTGTAATTTGTAAAAATGCACTGGTTATATTGCCCAGTCTTGCTCCACCAGTGGCATTGAATAGTCTGATAATGAATACCTCCATCTCTTCAGGCACCTGAATGACAAAGTATTAAGAAATTAATTTGTTGCATATGAAACAATGAAGAAATTAAAATAAACCACTGAAGAGGCTAACAAAACAGCATGCCTGCATGTTGTCATTTATTTCTTGATTTGTAAGTGTGTTAAGAGGGAAGAAAAATGACAGTTCATACATTCACACAAAAATAATCATCAGTCAAAAATCTTTCTAAATAAATCCCCTCATCTTTACTATTATACAGGTGATCCAAAAGTTATCCTGCAGTTTCCTGATGCTGATGTAACTTATTTTACAGCTATATTTATTTATTTATTCATTTATTACTAATTATTCTCATTCTTTCCTATCTTACTTCAAATGTATCAGCATTAAAAATATAAAATTAGGATTCTTGCTACCAAAACAAGCGGTTTACTTATTATTATAACTTAACCACATGACTACTGACAGATTCTAACTTTTTTGTTTCCAGATATGCACAATGTCTCAAATTCTTTATGATTTGCTTAAGTAAACTCCCTTCCATCCAAGTATTTTGATTTTTCTCAAAAAAATTAATAGTTTCTTAAAAAACAGAGCTGATTCTTAAATTTCAGTGTTTCAGCACTTCCTCTTTGCTCCACGTATTTACACAAAAAAACCTGTAAATATTATTACCTCATCTGGTAGAGAGTAAATTGTGATATTTTTTGAAAACTCCAGATTATCAAAGAATACAGTCCCTTGTTCTGGATAAACGTCATTGGTACATACTGGGTCAACAATCCAGGACACACTAACACTGCCATAGTTTCCTTGGTTTCTTACAAGTCTGTAAGAGGCTACAAAATGTAAACATGAAAAGTCAGTGTGCATCTCCAGAAAAACACAACTCAAAATTAAAAAGGTCATCAAAGCTGAAACAAAGAAAAAGGAAACAGTAAGTAAATCACTTCTTGCAAAACTAATATGCAAGTGCCTTACACAAAAAGCCACATAATAATAGATCATTACAGCAGTTAAGACTTGTATCAACTCTATTGATACAATAGAGATCGATAAATTGAAGTCACACATATGAAAATTTAGCTCATTCTTCTCTCACATAACACCTCATGCTCGCCCAGCAGAACTACTACTATCAGACTGTACCTTGCAAGTAAATAAACTCTCTGTCTGGTATATTCTCGAGCTATATTTTAACTGGATTGATCCCTAATGTCTTTCAAGCCCCATCCTCCTCTGCACTAATCTCCACTGCTCATTATACTCTACTCCCCTGGAAACTCCTGAGTCAGGCATTGTCCTTCAAAGTTGAAGTAGGGAAAAGTAGCCTTGCAGGAGCAGACAGCAGAGAAAGCAGTTACTCTAATAAAAAGAATTACCAGCATAGATGATTTCTCCTTTACTTTCCTTTATTGTTACTGATAGTTCATCAGGTAGAAACTGAATGACACCATGTGGATCATCATTCTTCAAAATGGTTATATTTACCCTTGTGGCATTCCCCAGCTTGCCTGACATTTCACTGTAGCCACTGAGCACAACAGCATATGCCTCATCCAGCTGGAAGAGGGAAACTCAGTCAGAATAAAAATATTTACTCAGCAGAAAGAGAGGACAAGTTCAACAAAAGAAAATTACACACATTTTCTACATGCACAATGGTTTTGTATGTCTTTGTCATCTGTAACAATGGAAGTAAAGATTTTAAAACCATTGACATTAAGCTAATTTAAAAAGAATTTGTCAGCTTGCATTATTAATATAATGTGACTTTGTACTTCAAATATTTCTTGCAAAAACACTCAGAAGAGATGTACCATGGAACACTAAAACAAGCATTGCATCTTTCCATCTATGCAGCAAATATTAGTGTAGACTGGGGAGCACTGAGTTCAGTTAGCAGGTATTTACCAAAAGAGGAACAAAAAGAAAGCAACTGATTTTACAGTCCTCAATTAAACAGTGGTACTCTATACTACGGAATGCCACAGATGCCAAAAGCTCAGGTGGATGAGAAATTAAGTTTCAATTTACAAAAAAAAAAAAAAAAAAAAAAAAATCCAATACGGCCTATTAAAGCCAAAGATACCTTCCAGTAATCCAGGCATCTCTGGTTTGGAGACTGGGAACACATTCCATAGAAAAGCATTACATACTCATTCTGCTACCATATATTTTCTTATATTTTAATAAGTGACAAACTGTTATGCTGTGAACACAATTTGGAGATATGAAAATTTTCATTTCTACCTCTGGAATCCCATCCATCCTTGCCAAAAGGGTAATTATGATCTCTCTTTCACCAGGCTTAAATTCCAAAATTCCTGTGCTTCCATAAAACTCATTATTTTCCCTTGGTTCTACAGTATATCGCAGAAACTGCCTGACAAGGCTCCCTCTGCTGCGGACAATCTGCAGTTCGACAGAATCCCCCTCCTATGAAAAAGAAAATCCAGCATTTTACTTGTATTCTGCTAAGATTTACTTTTCCATAACGATTAAGAAAAGTTATTCAGATAGCTACCTTGATACTGTAGGGACCTCTGGAAGAGGGAGAAAATTCAAACACTCCTCCAGGATCATCATTTTCCAAAATAGTGATCTCACAAGTAGTAAACCCATATTTCAGTATTTGATTTTCCACACTGACCCTGGGAAACGAAACAAGTCATGTTTTTTTGAGTGACAGTTCTTTCAGTAAGTAAATACATATCTATGTGAAGGACATCAGAATCCTGATTCATTTTATGAATAAATGACAAAAACAATTACCTAAAAAGAACATAATAAATTAGGAAATACACATCAGAGTGTCCCATTCACTTGAAGAAAACCTAACCTTTGTTCCTGAGATACCTTTGCTTTCTGGTTATTTTTTACAGTTTATAGTTCTGGGGCTTCTTAATCACACATGCACACAATACAAAGAAAAAGAAATAGAATCATATACTAAAAATTTTAAATCACATTTAGTATTACTTTTTATTTGGATCAAAACATAAGGAGTGATCCAAAATCACTTAAACAAAGAGAACCTGCATTTCTTGCATTCATTTTGTCAGATATAAACTTTCAATTACATTGTTTTAAGTACATTAAATTAGAAATGCAAGAAAAACTACTGCTGAAAGATGCATAAAGAATGCACCTTCAGACTGATGATTTTGATATAGCTTATTAAATGTTGGTTTATGAATTCAGATTCATCTTCCATGTTTTCTGGAAGAAAATTTCAATGAACAATCAGGAAATATTAATTTTAGATGGTAATATGTCATGTTTATTGCATATTAAAAAATATATGCCAGCAGACACAAAAACTTGTGTTAATGACTATGACTATGTCATTCAGAAAAAAGATAACTGCTCAACAGAAAACTTCTTTACAGTTCTAGTCCACTCAGGCATTTACTTGGGACAAATTGTATTTCTGGCAGTTTAAAACAACAGATCCATATTGCAATCAAGTGCAGGTATCACTGAGTCATGCATCAGTAACTTTCATCATTCACAAATTCTAAATAAAGCTTCATGCCAGAAACCCATGCCATCAAATTAAAAACCAAAGGGCAACCAAGCATTGTCTGAAGAGATGCAGAAGACATGACTGCTGAGAGGAAAAGAAGTTATTGACAGATTCTGTTCAAACTAATCACTCGTAAAAAAAAGGCATTGATTCATTGAGGACAAACCACAGTTCACTGCACTTACCCAAAGTACACAACAAACCTTTCTGTCTCTACCCTGTTAACAGAGAAAGAAAGAAGGAAAGAAGAACAGAGGGAAAGAAAAGGAGTAGGGGAATAAATGAAAGTGCTAGTTCCTGGAATTTCAAGTATCAATCTTAGACAATAATAAAAACAAGAGCACCACAAAGTTTTCTTTTCCCTTTCCAAACACATCATGTTCCTTTTATGGGAACCTTCTTCCTTAGCATTTTCCTGTTGACAAATGCTAGCAAGTGGGCAATCCTCACAGGTGAGAACTGACCACATGACCAATTCAGGGCCAACCAATGTCAAGGCCCATTCATTGTATGCCCTACCCAGCCCTCCTTCAGGAGTCATTTCACTGCCAACCTCTGTGTCTGCTCACAACTGCACCAGCAGCCCACATTTATAACTTCACACAACAAAAAAAAAACACATTCAACATGCCTCCAGTATGTGTTATTCCATCAATCTGACATAATAATGATATAAACAGATAAGTACATTGGGAGTTAATTACAACGCATACATATCAAAGACTATTCTAGCAAAAAATCACATCAAATTTTATTTTCGGTAATTTTTTAGATTAATCAGATTATCAGAGTAAAATACCAACAAAAAACGAAAACAAGAAAACCACCAACCCCCCCATATAAACCAAGGAAAAAATATAAATAGGAAAATAAGCACATATGACAAAACTATCACATCAATTCAGATGAAAGGACATTATTCTGCAATAACAAATATGTCATTTCATGGAAGTATGTATAGATAATTTTCTTAACCTAAAATAAATATATAGTTAATATTAAACCTGGATCTACCATTAAAATTGTATAAACAGATATACAAAGCATTTATAAAGCAAATTTTTGAATTAAAAAATAATTCAGCTTCAGAATTCAGTAGACATAAGAGTTCACTCAAAAGTTTGAAGCAATAAAGGAAATACATTTGCAGCTCTAATCTTTCAAACAGGAGGTCTGATTTAATAGAAATTTCTTAGTTATTTCAAATATGGCTACATTTTATATAGTATATATGAAGACATTCTCCTTTCTTCCAGAAATGTATGCAAGTTTTCCAAAATCATCAAGCATTTATACCATTTAAAAAGTCAATGTGAATACTCCAGAGCTAAAATTTATGCTGAATTTTCATTATATTGTTCTTAATGCTACAATTTCATTATATCACAAAGCTGTTGGTGATATATTTCACAGCAGAGAATACAAATGAACCATTATATCAAGTGGGTTTTTGGCACATTAAGTACAAGCTTAAGTGGTTAAGACACAATCATGAAAAAGTGAAAGGACATGCCAGATACAGCATCTCTTTCATCTTCATGAAGTCAGACTGCGTGAATCCAAACACAGCTCAGATGAAAAAGAGCCTGTTAACTGAGGACTAGTGCTAGAATCTAGTATCATGTAGCGCACAATGGCAGCTCTAACAAAATCCAAGGGGTAGCTGAAATTAAACAGCCCCAAGGTACCATGCGGAGGTACTTTGCGTATCTCCAGGTATACTTTGAAAATATTTAGAAGACTGGCAATATTTACTACCTTTTAACAGTCACAGTATAAATCGGACCAGAATCTCAAGAACTTTGAAGTTAGAAAGTGACTAATCAGATTCAGCCCATCCACTGCTAAAAACACCATTATCTTGGATTTTTCTCCAGCCAGGTTTTCAAAACTAGGGTCACTTGACTGGCTGGCTGACTGATGGATCTGACCATGTTTTCCTTGCATGACTGGCCAGATTGCTACCAGTGCTCTAATATATTAAATTCTGGTTAATATTCAAAACCAGCAGACAGTGGTTGGGCACTGGCACAGCTCCCCAGAGTAGCAGTCACAACCCCAAGCCTGACAGAGTTCAAGAAATTTTTGGACAATGCCCTCAGGCCCACTGTGTGATTCTTGGAACATCCTATGCAGGCCCAGGAGTTGGATTTGATGATCCTGATGGGTTCCTTCCAATTTTCCTTATTCTGTAATTCTATGATAAAACAGCCTATGCAAAACAGAACAGAAACCATGAGGCACAGGTTTCCAACTCAGATCTGCCATTACATGAGCAATGAACACAACAGGATCCCTTGTGCCTACATTCTGGGGTACTCATATACAAATTTTCATACCAATCCTGGACCAGGATCCATCAAGTGACTTCCTGGCTCAGCCTTGGATTTTTTTTCTTGCTGTGGAACTGTCTGGCAATCACTGAGCTGTGCCTGATGCCGGTGACCATCATCCAGACTTGACATTTGTCCCTGATTTAACCTGCCCTACCACCATGGCCTTTCCTTATGCCCTGTATTGAAGGCTGCCCCCACTTTCTACATGAAAAATCTCATCTCAAAAGGTTGGTCATCACCGAAGTTCTTTCTTTAAAAATACATTAATTATTACTTAGCAAGAACTACAGATAAATTAGGACAACTTAGAGAAGCTTCAAAATGGTATCTCACTGTTTTAAAATGCATAGTACTATAAAATAACAGAAAGAAGATTTTTGACTGAATTTAAAATAACAAGAAAATTATTAAATAAATATTACTGAAAATAAAATAATAATTAAGAGATGTGTTTTAATTTGGTAACTTTGAACCAAGAACTATAATTCTGAAGAAAGTGAATGTTTTGAAAAGCCCATGAGAAACAAAATTGCAACTGTGAATTTGTATTAGTGTTACTCCGAAAGTCACGCTTCTCTAAAATCTTTCTGTTCTTTCAGGTATCTCAGAAAAGGTGCATTCAAACTGCCTGTGGAATGCTACTCAATTTGCATCCTCTATTTGTGTTCGCTACTTTTTTTTTTTTTTTTTCAGAATTATCTACTGACTTAATTAGTGACCTAGCTTTAAAGAATAGTATCCAAGGAGGATTGGCCACATTATAAATTCCACAGTGTTTCTTACCAGAGAGAACACCTTCTTTCCAGGTTTAACCCACAATTTATTTTATTTTGGAGGCCATTTTAACATTTTTTATTCATAGCAGAAGATATATGGTGTTACTACTTTGAAAAGTAATGAAAGCTAGCAGTAGGTGTCCAGTAACTCACACAACCAGTTTCAAATAATTTTTTCCCTATCAAAACAAGATCTGGCCAAAGCCTTGAAGTAAAAGCCAACATTTTACAATTAAATACTTAATTCTTATAGCATCACATATATTTCTTCAAGGAAAAATTACTTAAGAAAGATAAATATAGTTTTGAAATAAGCACTAAGCACAGGAAATCCCCAAGTTAGAAAAATACTGCAAACACCATTAAACAACTTTTTTTATGCCCTGAATTAAGACACATAGACAGTATGCAGTGCTTTAAATGGGCCTTCCATGATTTGCAAACTTTTTTATCATTAAGTAGTCTCTCAAACAAAAAATCCTTGATTAAATTTGGAAAATAATTTTTTTAAAAGTGTAAATGCAAAACATAGGTTTGACTCAAGTGCTGGGTTCAGTTTTGGGCCCTGCAATTTGGCAACCATGAGTTTGTATTATTCTTAGTCTTAAAAACATACTTCTCTACAAAACTTTCTCTTCTATCCAGTATCTCAAAAAGTGTCCTCTTCCACTGGGCTACTTTTCAGCCACTCTTCCACAGCCAGTAGCTCTGCATGAGGTTGTTGAGATCCATGTGGAGACTCTGAGACTTGATGTTGTTGAATCTGAAGCCATTGGTGTTGAGCAATCAACCCAGCCTGTCCAGGTCCCTCCACAGAGCCCTCCTTCCTTCCAGCAGATCAATAATCCCACATAACTTGGTGTCATTCACAAATTTACTAAGAGTAAATCCCCTCATCCAAATCATCAATAAAGATATTAAACAGTTCTGGGCCTAACACTGATCCCTGGGGGACTCCACCAGTGTCTGGCTGCCAACTGGATGTAGCACCCTCCACCACCACTCTCTGGACCCAGCCGTCCAGCCAGTTCTGAACCCAGCAAAGAGGGCACCTGTCCTAGCCATGGGTTGCCAGCTCTTCAAGGCAAATGCTGTGGGACACAGTAACTTTGTTGAAGTCCAGATAGACAACACCCACAACCTTGCCCCAATCCCTCAGGCATGTCAGCTGATCATAAAAGGAGAGCAGATTGATCAGGCAGGACCTGCCCCTCCTAAGCCCATGCTGGCTGGGTCTGTTGCCCCAGCTATCCTGTAGATGTCATATGACCCCACTCAAGATGATCAGTTCCATAACTTTGCCAGGCACCAAGGTCAAGCTGACTGGCCTGTAGTTCCCCAGACCATCCTTCCAGCCCTCTTTGTGAACAAGCACCACCAACCTCCAATTGTCTGTGACCTCCTCAGTTAGCCATGACTGATGATAAATTATAAGAGAGCAGCTTAGAGACTCTTACAATAGCTCCCTCATTATCCTAGGATGGATCCTGTCCAGTCCCATAGGCTTCTGTTCACCTAAATAGCTCTGCTAATCACTAACTAATTCCTTCTAGATTTCAGGAGATCTGTTCTGCTCTTCGACCTTTTCTACCAGCTCAGGGGACCAGTTGCCCTGAGAATAATTGGTCTTTCTGAGGCTGAAGACTGAGGCAAAGAAGGTATTAAGTACTTCAGCCTGTATCACATCACAGAAATCACTAGAACTATAAAATTTTCCACATTACATCAGTTTTGCTTCATTGAACATATGTCACATTAGATACATACATACACGTACATGGATCTTTTCTGGTATCTTAATTTATGGGAGTCATGACCAAAAGATTCTGAGCATAAACTATGTAAACACTCAGCTATTCCTGGATTTTAATTTTCCCAAAATAAAAATAAATTAATTTGTGTATTGTTTTTCCCAGGATCTAAAGTTCAGAGGTTTTCACTCTCAGTTCCACTTATTTAAGAGAACAAACACAGTCCATGTACCATGAGGGTCCTGGCCATTCAGCTGTACCAACAGCCAAATTTATAGCTGTGTATCTGCACCGGGGGCATGACAACAGCCAATAGCCAAATTTCTTGTGCAAAAGTTAAAAAAACTATCAGATTTAGGTTTGTAGTGATGCAGATCTCTGGCTTTATTTATGTTTAGTTTCAATTCAGGCCTATTAAGATATGGGCCGGCATCCGAATTGAAGCTGGTCCTAAAGAAAGAAAATATGAAGAAGCTTCAGCAGGCATAGGATTATCCTGCTCCTTTACAGCTCGTCTTCTGGGTAAGCATATTCTTCATGATATACATTGGCCACCACTTTATGGACAGCATTCATAATTATTTTTAATATCCAGGGCCTACAGATAGTGGCCACGGGGCAAAGAAGGAAAATACTATTTTAAATGGCTTGGAAGGTTTCTTTTGTTATTACAGGTACAATCAAAGCTCATTTAAAACATAAATTGCCTTAACAACATCACTGAGTTGTAAATAATACATCCTTGTTAGAACTAATTATCATATTATTTTGCCCATGCTATTACTAATTGCAATAAATAGAATGCTTATGAACATATTTTGACATCTATAGTTTCATTAAATTCCACACATACTCTATTTTTCTACTGACTTATGCTACAGTTTATCAAGCAGTGCAAGCACATCGACAGCAGACTGCCATCTTTGTTTTCATAGTAATTCACTACTGCTGTGAGGTGCTAGCTGCCAGTCCCGGAAACTGAAATCTTCTGTTAATCTAGAAAACACAAACTATGTAGGACACAATACCAAAAGCTTACATGCATCATCCTGCCAGTATCATTCACCCCTGCTTTGAAGAGTCACCTCCAGTATTGAAAGGATGATCTTTGCAGGTATTGCATTCTTGGCTTCTACTCAAATTAAAAGTTGCCAAATTTCACTTGTAGCCTGGAGGGACACTGTCAAGTAGTGTAGAGAAAAGTTCAGATTTTATCTGCTACTTATTTACTTTTTCCTGGCCGGACTACCTATTCCATACTTCACTCTCTGACCTTGCAAAGTGTGGGAAAGCTGCTTACTGCTGGAGTAATTTTTACCAGCCACTTCATGATCAATAGAACCTGCTACTCCCACTACACACAGCAAAAACAGAACAGTGGTTGTGTTTGTTCAGCTGCCAACTCAACCCCCTTTTAGACATAATTTTCAAGGCATGGGATTACTAGTCAGAGTAAGTGGCAAAAAGCTGTAGTTACACATACTGCAGAGCTGTCCAATACTAAAAAGTTAATCTTTTATGCTGCCCACTTCCTCTATGTACTTATTTGTCTCCTATCCTTCTACTTCAGCATTTTTGCCACTTTACGCAACTACTTCACAACTTCAATCATTATTTCTAATCTTAGTTTCTTTGTTTGTGCCACAGACTCTAACGAACTTTCAGGCAAACCAGTTTCATCCACAGGAAGAAAAACAGAGAACTGATTGCAATAGTCTCCATTTGTTTTTGTCTTCAACATGCCATCCTTTCAACACAGTGAGTATCCAAGATTAGAATGAAATAATTAATTGTGCACTAGATGCATCCACCAGCCAGCTTCTACAGAAGCTGGCTGGTGGATGCATCTAGTGCACAACCCTGCACTGAAAAAGTATCTTTCCTGTGTGATAGAACAATGCTTAAAAAAACAGGATCAGCAGCAGCTTAAGGAGTTGCTTTCTCGTTTGCTAGTATGTAATCTACATGAACATACGGTGTTAAAAGTTCCTATGAGCTAGTCTACCTTTCCTATGTACAATGAGGATACTTCTGCATAAGATAAGGACTGTATACATAGCAGATCTTCAATGCAGACATTGCAGCTGACAGACCTCTCTTAGCATGTTTCCAGAAAAATAAATGGTAAAAATATACCTCAGATTATTAGGAGGTATTAGCAGAAGTGATAGTGTTTCTAAACTCTACATACATCTGAATTTTTGGAGGCAGGACTGAAGAAACAGCCAAGCTTCTCCTGCTAATAAAAAAAAAGGCTCCTGGATATGAAATAATTCAGCTATAGTGAGTAGTGTTCACATGCAGATAATGTCTTCTGAGGCCTCTAACAGCCTTAAGTATCCTGCAACCCTGATGTCACACAGAAGGGAGACTACAACACTGTGCTTCAGCAACACCACTGCTCCCTTTGTAACTGACGCATGTGGTAGTAGTCACACTGGCCTATTATGGAAGCCAGCAGTTGTGACGGAAGTATCTAATTCTGCAACAACATCCTGACTATAAACTTCTTCTGAGAAAAACACACTTACTGCTTTTTGTTATTATTCATTACAGCTTTCCCCATTATCTTACTAAACATTATTTTTCTGAAAGTGTTATAACCAAGAGCTACAACTAAAGATCAAAGCTAAATCAACTTTTTAAGTAGCATACGTTATTTTTAATCAAAATACAAACAAAACTAAATCATTAGATAATAAGCACAATATGGTTTCTTACATTGATCACAAGTCAAAGAAGATTTCATACACAGTCTAAATCAAGGGCTCAGTATTCCTCCAGGCATTACCAATACAATGGAGGCAACAACTCATAATTAATACTGTGCCAATTTTTTTTTTTTTAATATAGATTGAGTATGGCAAGTGGTACATATGAATAAAGATTAGGGTACAATACCTGTCCAAAGTTAGTAACACAGTTTCATTCATTTCAGGTATATCATCAGCTTTAATGGTAATGTTGATTGCAGTATCACTTTGTCCAGATAAGAAAACAACAGAGCCATTAAAAGGACTTATATCATCCTGTGTTACTGCCTTGTGATTAGGACCAGAGGGCCTCAAACTCCAAAACACAGTTGCTTGACCATCAGTCCCATCTCGATGCAATGCAATGGAAACCTGTAAAGCACATGAGTCTGCTGTGACTTGTAAAACTAGATGCAAAAACAGTTAACCCTTTGCAAATGACCGTTTGAATATGAGCCTGAAAATATTCACCTTGGGCTTTTTACTTATACCTATGTGTAAGATCTGAAATCAAAGATGGTATATCTATGAAGATATATATTGAATCTTACATTTTTAATCATCTATCCATTACCTACTTGGACATATATGTTTATATATACTTAGTGGAGGTGGCAGATGATTAACATGACAAATCACTTAGCAATCATAAACACAAAAACCCTTCTATGATTGATTTAACTAATGCTGACCTCATAAAGACAACCTATGTTTTAAATCAGCAGTTTTATTCTGAGGATGAAAAACAGTTCTCTGATTCAGGATTTGAAGGAAAATCTCAGTTAAAACAACTAGGGGGAAAAAAGGGAAAATGTAAGAAAAATATTTTATAGAGGGTTTCTTCAGCTGGGGTTACAGCATTCAGATGGATGATGATGCTTTTGAAAATGCTTTGGTACTGAGAAATACAAAAAAGCATATTTATTAGAAAACAGACCCAGCAAGCCAAGCTACATATTCACATGTAAGTCACCTATAAAAAACACACACACTTTCACAAAATTTGGAAGCAAAATCAGTCCTACTCTACAGAGTGTCTTTGCAGTAGTGAAAGAAATTAAACTGTCTGCAGCATCTTTTGCTCCAGGTGAGCATGAAGACCTAACCAATTCTAGATTCTTACAGAGAAAGCAAGATTCACCACACTTTTCAGATGACAAACACATTAATCTTGCTAGCAATTTTTTGCCTTTTTGTTTTTTTAAAGCAGGACAATATTTGAGATAAGATCAAACTTGGAGGATGGATTTTTCTCATGTTAATTTTCCAATGTTATAGTGGATATAGCAAACTTGTTTTCTCCAAATAAGTTTTCCATACTAAGGGACAATATAAAAATGTTTACTTACCACTGTAGCAGGCAATTCTTCTGGTTCAGAAAGAATAATTGGAAGATTGCTAGTAAAGCCTATTTCTCCATTTGCAATATCTGGAGTAATCCTCAAAGAAATATTTCGAATCTCACCTAATCTAGGACTCACAGGTGGGACAAGAGGAATTCTATTCAGCAGCTCAACTTTTTCCAGCTGTGAGAAAAAGTAAGAAAAAACTTGAAAAATAAGAAGCCTGAGTACCAAGCAAAAACTATTCTGACATCTTGGAATAAGTGTCATATGCAAGGAGCAAAACACCTCCAGGATAAATTTCTTCTACCAGCAACATTTCTACTAAATAATGTGTAAGTAGCTGTGTAAGAAATTAAATTAATGGTATTAATCGTCTACAGCAGACTGGTATACCTCTCAGACAAATCATGTAAACAACTAAATGTATGTAGAGTTTCTAAATTGGGCAATTCCTTACTACATCTATGAATTGACCTATGAATCAAACTTTAGGTTTTTTGCCATGCATTGATAAAAATCTGTTGATGTCACTAGAAACATAATAATTTAGACACTCTCATGAAGCCAAGGAGTGATTCATTCTTCTTTCCTCTCTCAAAAAAATGTAAAGACTTCTCTATTTACAATAACTAATATGTTAGAATTACATTCAGAATTGAAAATCAGTACAAGATTTCAAAACTGTACTTATATTACCACATTTTTTGATGGTTTACTTATACTAAGAAGAGATAGAAAAATGTTTATCATTGAACGGAAAATACCATTCACTTAGCACATCCGAACCACTGACATGACTTTCCTTGTTTTACTTATTTTAATATTCCTTTCATATATAACAGTATCAGATTCTGTCTACATGGATCATAATAACAGATATTTCTATGATTTATACATACTTCTGTAAACTCGTGCATGAACACCAATGAGAACCACCTTTGAACTCCCATTAGGATGTGGAGAAGGACAAAATGACATTATTTAAATCTATATAGCTATTATGAATCATCCTCTCAACTGATGAGCTGTAAATCCCTTTGCTTCTTAAAACCAATTTATATAAAATACTTGGACTGTATCATATTTTCTGCAGTTACTCAAGTAACACTCAAAAATATTCATGCACATTTTATTTGATGATAGATGGGATTTGTTTTATAAATATTGTAATTAGAAATTGATTCTCAACCATACAAGCTACTTCTTGGGATTCTTAGGAACAGAGAGTGGTTCTACTTGTTTCTTTGTTTTCTAAGATTTCTTTTAGAGCAGGTGAGTAATTCTCCCATTAACACCATGCAGGTGGACCACTGTTGTTGTTGTTAGCTCAGTAGAACTTCTGAAATACTACAGAGCTGAAATAATTCCCTTTGTTACTATCTGGATATTAAATTTGAGATTAAAGTAAAAATTAATGAAATACTGGTTTGTTTTTTTTTTTAGATTCAGTGCTTTCTCTTAAAGCAAATCAGTCCATGAGGGAAAAAAGAATGCACTGTGAACCAAATAATGCCAAGCAGTTTACTAAATTAGATAATCTTCCTGTCCATACCAAAAGTAGTCTGCATATCAAACAATAGGTTATTTAATTGAAGATGTCTCTGAAGAAGGATAATCTCACATTTCCAGTTCCTCTATCTATTCTCTTGTTGTGTTTATGCTTCATTTCTTCCTCCATCCCTCCTCCCCTGATTTTTGAGTTGATCCTTTACTGGGCCTAGTACAAACTTTATAATCTCATTGAAACATATTTGCTGAGACTATAATTCATTCACAATGTAGAAGGGTTGTCATAGTGATAAATAGGGGTATTTTTCTTCCTATTTTAAAGAAGTTATTTGTGTTAGAAGTTGCATCTGATTTTGTGTACTCAAATTAAAAAAATTTTATAATTCATGGAGAAAGTATAGAACATACACCCCATCTCCCTGAAATCTGTGGTTTGAAAAACCAGGCCAAATGTCTGCATATTGAAGTACTTGTAACACATCTTGTCCATAGTTCACACTGAGATGTTATTTGTAATCTATCACCTGCAAGGAACTTGGAATTAGATATTTCAATTCTTCTGTCAGTCTTTCAGAACATATGAAAAGGTAAAATACACTAACCTATTCTAATATTTCAGAAATGTATTCCCAGCCTAGCTGTGAACATTGAAAGAGCATGTGCAACTAAAATGATAATACGATTCTGGCAATATTTTTTTTTCTCTCTCTCTTTCCTTTTTTTTATTTTTTAATAGAATGTAGGGAGAAGTAGGTAGAGGGAACAAATCCTTTCAAGTAATTAAAACATTTCTGGTAGGCTAGAAATTAAAGGAAAAAAAGAACAAATTTTACATTTATGGTTCCACATCAACATCTCTATTTGAAAATTTTGAAAACACCTCACTTAAAAGGGGAAGACCAAAAATAACTAAGAAATGACTCTGATATTTGTGCTTTGGTTGTGCCAAGTCACCCCTTTGTCTGTGTATCAGGATTGCTCCCCGGTCTCATGATCCTAGACAGTGGCAATAGTTAATCAGAGGAAGTAGAGATTATGCGATAGTCTCAACTGCGGATGAGAAAATAGGTTTAAAAATCACTAATTTACAATGCCCAGAATCTCCCACAGCAGCATATCTGAACAATAACTTGGTAACATATATGCAAATCTGGTTTTCTCCAGTGAAAAATGAAGAAAAAAAATCATTGGTAAATAAAAAAAATCTTTTTTTAAACATTTTTGTGGAAAACCCGTTTTCTTTCAAAAGCATAATTTTAGTGTATTTTTCCAGCCAGTCTTATAAGCAATGACACAATCTCCCTTCTTACAAATTCAAATAAAGAGAAAAAAACCCCCACCAAACAAATGAACAAAAAAACCCCACAAACAAAAACAAAAACAGAGGACGAAAAAAACCAAAAGACCACATAAAGGGAAATCTAGAAGAACTTTTCAAATACCTGATCAAAGTTGCAGACAAATTAAACATATGTTTGACTATTTTAATCTATAATTCCTTTCTTTTAATTTCTAAAATCTGTCATACTTCTGTACTTTAGAAGCCTTAATTTGATTAAATTGAAAGGCAAAGGGTAGACAGAATAACATACCTGAAAAGGTAACTAACTTCTGCAACATTGATATAATTTTGTTAAATTTCATTATTAGTAACTGAATCCTATTGCAGTGTATTTTTTTAAATTATGTAATTAGTAAATAATGATTAGGAATAAGGCTCCTTATAGCGTATCTGTGGAAGCAGTATCTAATTGAAAGAGTTTTCTTGACTACAGAACTAATTGTTTGGTTTTTTTTTTTAATAAGACAGAATCCTTTTAATTAAGTTAAAAGGGAAGGAGCCACTACTATTTTATATCCTTTATACTACATGGGCTTAAAAAACCACCCCAAAACCAGCTGAGATACCTGTATGACAAAATGAGCTCTATTTTGAAGAAACGCATCATTTCGTATTGGTATATTTATAGTAACTTGTGCTTTTCCTTCTGGAAAGATGAGAGTACTTCTTCTAGACATATTTAGAATGCCACCTTTCGCTCTATCAGGATCCAGAGCTCCAGCTGGAATATACAGTGCAGTATAAACCAACTGCACATCTCCAACTGTTCCTCCTTCCCTTGCAAAACTCAAGGATAAAAAGCGTCCCATTGGATTACTTTCAATCTTCTGATTCTCCAAAGGATGGAATTTTATCAGGCCATAAACATCATCACTGTCCTGAATGTAAAACAGAAGCTGCAAAGCAGAAAACAACATGCTGCATTACTCTATACCATAGTTTCATGCTTTCACAAAATTATCTCCTGACTGTCACCACACATTTTTCTCCTTAGTGAACTGGCATCAGGAAAGAAATCAGATTGACAGCCTCAAAGAATTCTTTATACACAAGAAGCATTGCACTGACAGTGGCAACTGTCCCACTATGCATCATTGCACGTGCCAGAATGAGCTCTGAATAACTGATTTTTTGATACAGCAGCCAAAATGAACAATTTAAAAATGTTTTAGACTGTAATGGATTTCATTTTATTCACCAAGCTCATTCCAACCATTTTCAAGAAAGACAAAGCAGGGACTTGAGTCACAGAACTGTCAGCAAGTCTAGCCACCCTTTATTTCATTGTTCAGAGGTTACAGTCTTAATCACCAAACCTCCCCCTTGAAGTTGTTACTCTGTAAAACATTTCAGTAATCATTAAAATAGCAAATGAACAAGTGAAAACAACTTTCCTGTCTTGTGTTAGAAAGCAGTCACTCAAGACAGCATTTATTCAATGCTATCACTGCACACTGGGAATAATCTGAACTGAATTCTACCACAGTAAAACGGTCTGGCATTGTACACTATACTCAGCCAAATACTTTAGATATGGCTCTATAACTAAGATTATATTAAGGATCGGTTTTCTTGATTTTTATCCAAGACAAAGCCTTTAACCTGTTCAGATAATCCATCAATCAATCAGTATTATTAAAACAGGTCTTTATTACTTCAAATACCTTCTCCAAGCGAATTCTAAAGTAAACTTACCTCAGATGGCTCACTGACTTCTGCACCTCCGTGTATTGTATAAGCTAGGAGTTTCAGAAGATAAGGCTCTGCCTCTTCTGGTATATCATCATCAATAATGTCCAGATGAAGTGTCACCAGCATCTTTCCTTGATCAAAACTTATCTCTCCTGCCTCTGGAAGTAGGTCTTCAGTTACAGGTGAAGGGTCACTGCTATTTCGGATTATAACCCAGGAAACAGAAACATTTCCATGTGTTCCACCATTTCTTACAATTGTGATCCCTTCAAACCTATAGTTTCAAAGGAAAACAAAAACCCACAAACCATAATTACTATTGGCATGCATTGTTACCAATTCCCTAAAATATTTACACTGACCTACATGCTATAAATGCTTGCAACTGACATTTGACTCAAGGCTTACAGTTTGCGAAATCATAATATATATGTAAGACTTGAGCATTTAGTCATGAACTCTTTGTAAAACCTCGGAAGATACGTGTGAGATCTCACTTTGTTTACAGCAAGTACGACACTCAGAACTGAGTGGAGTCTTGGCATGTTTTACATTTGTCTTGAGAAATACAAATCAAATTTAGGAAAATGTTTTGCCTAGTCTACAGCATGAGCAGTTATGAGGCATGAGCACTGAAATGATGATCTTGAATGAACTGTTTGCCTCAATACTAAAAAAATACTCAGTTACTGATACTTATGATACTGGAAATGTCATGTTGCCTGCATGTGACAAGTGCATGACCACAAAAAAAATCTGGAAATCATGACTTACAAACATTCAGAAAGCAGGATTTATTTCTTTACTGTGTATAAAAAAAAAGAAAGATGAATACTCAAGTGCTGGGCCCTACATACCATAAAATATTTTTCCAAAATTTCTCATAGTATGATAGTTTGAGGCATTATTTGTTTCTTTGGGGATGAACTACCAGTAATTAGTGGTGGACATTTTTATTGAGATTATCAATATTGTGTATCAGTCTGCCTATAAAATTTGTACAGAGCTTTGATTTTAATCCCTATGTAAAATTACAAATATTTAAATTGTTTTTGAGTTTAAGGTAACTAATGGGAGACGCTGAACACTTTTTTTTCCTTTAGTCAATCACTGGCTTTATAGATAGTAAAAACAAATATACACCAAGGGTGGAAGACAGAAACGTATTTCCCACTGAACCTGTGTGTATCAGTATCACAACTTCACTGGACCTGCCTTTAGATTAAGGAGATTTCACTATTCTGATAAAGTGATTGAATACTTATGGCTTATTTAAACACAGTTTATAGACATTAAAATACTTTCTGTATAATTAGACGTTCCCACTTCCTGGAAATCTTTGTAAATATAGCTGATAATAACAACACACTAAGTGATTACTACATTACATCTTAGTAGTGATTTTATAATTAATGATATCCTAAGGAGCCTTAACTATCACAAACAAATCTCATAAACTGACTAGATACTAGATTTTAAGACCTGTAGTACCTTGAAATTTGGTCTTCATCAATGATAACAGTGTGAGGGAACAGAACACTGTGAATTGACAGCACTCCATAGGGTTTATCATTCGGCTGGATAGTGACATGAACAACAGATGGATAAATCAAAACAGCATCTCCCTGCAAAGTGTCTTTAAGAAGCATAATCTGAAAGGTCTCAGCAATTTCTGGTATGGCATCATCAAGGATCTTAAATTTCAAATATGTTTCATGAACTAGAGGTGGGAAAACAAGAGTTGTATTTGGCTGTAGATCTAGGAAGTCTACATTAAGCTGTGCATGTGCAGCTGAATCCCCAGTTATGATGGCGTAACTGACAGAGACTTCATCTTCATCAGGTCCAATTAATTTTCCAGTGACATCTTTACCACGAACCACTTCGATTGTTATCACTTCATCTTCCTCAGGCACCATATAAGCATTCTGAACAAAACGCACAGGACTGTCGTTTTTCTTAATATTAATCCAAACAGAATTTTTTGTGTTGTTGATTTCAGCCCCTCCCTCCACACTCTTCAGACAAACAACAAAGATTTCATCATTTTCAGGCACCTGGAAAAAATAGTATTAGAAATTGTGTGTAAGTCCTACATCAAATATATGCAGAACACTTATACTGACAAATATGGTTTATGTGTTTTGCAGAAGAGTAAAATTATACTAACTTGATAGCTCATTTCATATTAAAACAAACAGGAGACTAGTCTTGCTTTTAACTTTCATTAAAAACCCCTTTTCAAAATTTAAGGTCTCTATTTTACCTAACCATACTTCTGAAAGAGAGTACAAAGTCAAACAAAATACAAATAAAAGTTACTCAAGAATCAGAAAAATCTTCATCTTTACATCTTGACATTATGAGGAGACCAACTGCCATTTTTGAAAGCCACCTCTACTTGGAAAGAAGTGTTCCACTCCATTACTTAGACCTAAATTTTCTTTTTTCTGATGTTGATTCTGATCTACCTCTATAGGTAAAGGTGCTTGAGAAAATACAGCAGCAACTTCTTTATAGAACCTACCTTAGCCCATCCATCCCTATGCAAGTGGAATCACCACAAACCCAGACAAAATTTCCATCACAGATATGAGTGTTTTCTTGTTCTTACTAGTAATTTAGATTTTGGTATTTCTACAAAACAAGCATTTAAAACTACATTTTAGTTCCAGCTATTTCTTCTCCAATATCTGATGCAGGAGGCAATAAAGAATAGCTCATAAACAACAAATTACTGAATTAAGAATTAAATTTCTGCTTTATATTAACATATAAGTATATATATATGGACAAAAATAGTATTATGTGATTTCTGGGTATCCTGTGCAGAGCCAGGAGTTGGACTTGATGATCCTAATGGGTTCCTTTGAACTCAGCATTTTATATGATTCTATGATTCTACATTTTATTCCCCAAATCTTGATTAGCTACACCTATAGAACCGAATAAATATACTAATACATATAGATAAAAAGTAAATCTTTAAAAATTATTTGTGATCTTTGCATTTCATCTTTATTGTGGACTACTGGAAATCAGAAGTATCTGCTTCTGAGAGGAACTCCAGGACAAAAGTACAACTTCTGAAAATCCTGCTGTCCAGTATTTCTTTCTCTTTCACATTCATTTATTTATTGGACACCCTCAGATCCTTTTCTAGGGCTAGAAGAGCGGGCATGATAGCTTATGCCAATTCATTTCCTTTGGCTTGTGGCACTGAAACATGCATAATGCCATTGACTGATATCAGGGTTTGTTGGCAGTGCGAGATCTGGAAGATCTCAGCCACGAGCTTCCTATACTGAAGTACAACACAGTTGTTCTACTTCATTAAAAAAATGCTCACTTATGTTTCATTTAGTTGACTAACTAATATTCCATCTGGCATAATTTAAAAATATACATTTAAGAGAGCCAAAATATATCCATAACTTTAGCTGTAGTCTACATCTTAACATCTCATATACAGATGATACAGGACACTTTGTAATTCTTAATGGTAACATTATTGACCAACCAAAACCCCAGGCAGACTTCAAAGACAATAATATAAAAGATTTTCAGGTTGATTTACCTCTTTCATTTTCTGTTTAAAAGTTTCCATTATTCCTCACTAAAAAAGGAAATGTACGCAACAAAATTACTACAAATATACTACTGAAGAGATCAGAGCTGCAGTCACCGAATTTTTGTAGGAAAAAGGCTTTGCAATTCAGAACAATATCTGTTGCAGAGTTTTTTCTTAACTTCAGATCTTAACTTCAGTTCAAATTATGTTCTGAGAGTAACACTAAATGCTTGTGCATTCCATCATCATCAGCAACATACAGGATTTTTACACAAAATTAACCTTTTGTGTACAGCCACAGAAGACATCCAGCGAGTGGACCATGATGGCTATACAGATCAAACTCTGAGTGAAAGAGCATTAGAAACACCCCTCAGAGGAAAAATAAATCACATCTCCCCCACAAACTAAATGAATTCTTTTCATATATAAATTACAGAAATTATACATCTAATCTGAAAGAGATATTTCTACACAGCAGTTTGGATCAGTCCCTTAAATACTAGTATGAGTATAGACTTGGAAGACTATTTTCCTTAATCAGCAGAAATGCATACAAAATTGCATAAAAACTTCCCACTTTTGACACAGACACTTCTTTTCCCCCTACATAACTTTTTAGTGAATTTCCCTATCAAGTTGTTCAGTATCATGTTCACACAGAAAAGTTAAATACAGAAACATCAGTCTAATAGATGATCCTCTGTGTAGTTAAAGAACATCATCCTTGACAATACAAGAACCTCACTATCTGAATAAAAATATAAAGCTTCCTTGATTGTTTATGCTTTTACTGTACAGCATCTAACAGATATAGTCAGAGCAGTCAGGGTATGTTCAGAAACTAAAAATATTAATTGACGAGAAATACAGAGGCAACATTAAAAAGATAAAACGATAGCCCACAGAGCCAAAACTGAATTTTGTGAAGCAGGACTTCTAGCCCTGTTTAAGCCAAGCCTTTATATAACATAATATATGAAGTCCTTCCAGAACAGCAGTCAATCTATACATCCAAACCATAAATGTCAGCTTGTTTTTACCTGATCATCAAGCACTGTTACATTATAAATCAACACTGATCTCCCAGGGGTAAATGTAATATTTCCCCTGGATGGACTTAAGTCTTCTTCAGCTGAATTTGGTCCATCTTCTATCTGCAAATAATTGTTTTTTATTATAAGAAATATACAGAGCATACATAAAAAGCGAGTACAATAATCAACATACAGTGTGTGAAATGCATAAGAAATTGCTATTTATTCACTCCTGATCATATGTACAAACATCCCGTAGTGAAAATCTACTTTTTTTCGGAAGATGGAGTAAACACTCTGAAGAAATTATGTATTGCCAGAGAAAGAGGAAGAAAACTATACAGGCCTTTTGAGAACTCTTCGGTATTTACTGATGCATAACTGACTCTTTTAAATAATAAAAAGGATAGCCCTTCCCTTTTAATTTAACCAGCATTTCCTAATCAGTTCCAAGACAAGATAATAGCAATTACTAATTTTGTGATTTTTCTGTCTTGACTTGTGATACTAAGGAAATTACACTTAATACTAAAACCTGAAAAAATAGTAAGACCCACAGACGTAATATATTAGGGTTTTGTTTTAGAAAATCTTGTAAATTTTTTTCAACATATGTATATAAAATATGTTTTGAGATTAACCTGACAAATTGTGCAGATAGCAAAATTTATTGGATTTAAAACAAACATACCTGCAATAAATAACACAAGAATCTCTAAACATTATCTATACATGCTGTATTTAGCATGCAAGAACATCCACTATAAATGTTTTGAGATTTTGGCACATCTAGATTAAATCTTTAATGACAACCGATAAAGGAATTTTGATACGAAAAAAATTATCTGTAATTTTAAAGAATGTAATAGAATCAGGAAGAGACAAGGGAAAAAAAAAATTTCCCCTCTCACAGTAAAGGCAGAAAGTATATCCCATTTACATAAAGTATGTGAGTAATGGCCTAAATATTCAAGTAATGATTTTGAAAGGTTGAAATATCTGGGAATCCAAACTGCAATCTTACAGATACAGAAATTCACTAAATACTGAGTTATACATTAACATGTCTGAAGGTGGCAAAAGCACCTTCAAAAGAGTCAGGTGTTTATAAAATTTGAAAAATATACAAGACATTTCTTGCACACTCAATAGACGTTTGCTAATAATACCAACAAATGCTGCTTCAAATATCTTCCTACAAGACAGAGAATACTCATTTTTAAATATATTTTGTTTTTCCTAAATTGAGCAGTTAGATAATTGCAATATTTTCCATTTGAAAATCTTCTCATTTTATGAAACAGAATTAACAAATCTAGACATAGCTATTTAGTCCTTTCACTTTAATAAACATTGCTAAGTTATGATTATGGCCTCACAGCTTCATCTAATAGTCATAGGTATGAAGCTTTTTTGATAAACTCACCTCAAAACTTACAATGACTGTCCCGTAGGTTCCTCTCTCCCTGATTAGAGTGAGCGGAACAAATTCATTTCTGCCCCTAGGCTCATTCACTGTGATTAAGGCAGACTAATGACAAAGAAAAGGGACAAGCAATCAGGCACAGATCAAATATCGCAGCAGACGGAAGAAATTGTTACCATAGAAATACCAAACTCCCACAGACAAGTTAATCCAATCTGCAAACCAGTCTGCTGATGGCATACATTTCCTAGCAACCAATTAGTTCAGCTATTAGAAAGCTTGAAAGGTTTGAGATAAAAAAATTATCATAATGCAAGTGGAGAGGGTTTTCTTGGTTTTTGTTAGTGGGGTTTTTTTTGTAAATGAGCATAGTTATGATACACTAAGTAAGCACTGGCATATGAGCACTGGTCATATTTACAGGAGTTCCTAACCTTATTAAAAATAGGTTTTCTCCATTAAAATCTCATTTATTAGATAACTATTGCATCTATCAACTAATTGTCTGTCAAAACTGACTGTCTATGGACTCTGTCTATCAAACTGTTATAGCTGAGAGATTTCAAAGACTCACAACACTTCAGGGAGCAGCATGGCTTAATACTACAGTGCTAAAAATTTTTCATATTGGATTTTTTTCAGGAAAGCCTTCTAAAAAGTTTATTGCCACAATGCCACCAATAAAGCAGAGTTTCTCTTTCTGCTAACACAAACTTTGTATTATTGCAAATATCCTCCATAACACTAGAGTCACACCAGTCTTATCCCTAGAAGGGATAAGAGTATTATATTACATTATATTATATTATGTATTTATTATATATTTATTATATTTTATTATATTATGCATAGATCATTATGCTGCTCTTATAGCTTGAGAGTTAAATATAAAATTGCTCACTTAAGATGGAAAAAAGGTATATATTCTTAAAATTTCCAAGCCACCTCTTTAACTTTCCTATGTTATTACTCCTCATTTCTTCCACAGTATATTGAGGGGCTGAACAATTTCTAAAAGCTTTATATTTAGATAAGTAACATAGATATTCATCCAAGTCTGAGGATCTCGGGCAACATTTCAACACCTAAAAGCCTACAGAAATATTAAAGTTTCATATATGTATGAATTACCTCTAGAGATATTTTCAGAGATGTAACTCAGAATCTGGTTTCAAGGGATTTGGGTGACTAACTAACCAGCATCTTTGACAATTTCATCTTTATGTTTACTAAAGTGTTCTAAAATATACCACACAAAAAGTCATACCATGTTAAAAGAAATTATTCCAAAGGCATTGTCATTTGATAAGATTGTTACAGTGACAGATTTGGGAGTGCCAAGCTTCATCCTTGCAGATGGTTTCTAAAATTAAAACCAAAATAAAATATTAAGTATGGTAATAGAAAAAAAAGGCATTTTGATTTTACTGTCTCTTGAGAGTTAGCTTACAAATATTAGCTTACAAAAAATGTAAGTCTTTTTATTATATATCACAATGAAAATTGCTTAAAGCAATAGAATGCACTAAGGTCATTCCTAATTACTGTGGAAATACACTGTAAACAGTCAACAATAAAGTGCTTGAAACAAACTTTGTAAATTATTAACAATAGTTAAACAATTAGTAACAGTATATCAATAGGAAACCAGACATGAAGCATATAACACAGTCAGAAATTGCAAAGTTGTTCTTTTTTCCCTAACATTTGTATAAAACTGAAAGTTTGAAGCTATTATAGTAGGATACCAGCTAAAGGATTTACTGGGATAGCAACTCTAACAAGCAACTCTTTATAGCATTGTAAAATTGAGCTAGATTTACAAATCAAAGTAAGAAAGAAGGGAAAATATGCATTTTTATATTCACTGCAAACATCCCCATAGATGTGTAATATTGGTAATGAAATAGAAAATTACTTTTTACGGAATTTACATCTTACTTAGTCATGAACTGTTAGCTAAAGATATATGAATGTGAACCCCTCTCTTGTAGCCTAACTTGTGTGAGATAGAACAATATGAAGAAATTTATTGGTAAGTATTTATAAAATTGTTTGGGTTTAGATAAGTCACATTTAACCTCTGCTTCTGGAGGACTGGAAGTCATCCTCTTTTTCTGCTACTTCCATCCTCTCCTCCATCCATGCACATTCTAGGCAGGAAAACAGTAAAGGCTGAGTCTTCACAATACAACTCTTCTGGGCTCTAGTACACCTTTAAATGTCCACAGCTGAAAGCAATTCCTGCTCAAGTGTCAGGTGCAGCAACATGACACAGAGACATCCACAGAAATGCAAACTTTCTGATGGGCAATAAGCATCATCCTGCTTGGATTCCAGATTTTAGCTCTTACCTATTACTGTTCACAAGCAATAAGACTACACTGTAATCTATGAAATACCACTCACCTATATTAGATTATCCACTGTTTTCCATGAAATAGATACATTGAAAAATTGAAACTTACCAGTAGTGTCAAGTGAAATGTGAATGTCTCATCAGCCTCTGGAAGATCATCATCACAGACAGATATATACACTGTTCGGTTTGTTTCTGTATCAGGTATAAATGCAGCTGCATATGTGTCAAAAAAGTCTCCTGTGTTTTCTCCATCAATCTGCAATAAACACACAACCAAATGCCACCTCCTTGTTCCTTCAATATGTTCTATATTACCATTCTAGACTCATTCAAACAGACTGCATACCCTCTTTGCTGCACATAAGTCTTCCCACTGCACATAATTCTTTCCCCTGCTGTCATACAATTAATTTCTGGACAGAAGGTACAGAGGTAATAACCCATTTTATTCATGCTGAGTAAACAGGTGAAAAAAAGAAACAATAAAATGAACCGAACACTTTCTTCAGAACTACTTATGACTTCTTTCCCTGCAATTTGGTATCTTTTGCATAATGTACCATATGAAAAGGTTTTTTGTTGGAAAAGCTATGCCTATACAGAAAGCACAGATCTGTACATCTCATAATACTCTACATGAATTAAACTTACCTTAGGATGTAACTGCCCTCTGCCTTGCATTTTAAGTACTGGAAGGAGCCTAGGCATTCAACCTAGATTAACAATTTTATTAAATTGGCAAGATTAAGTCTTCTAAAAAGAACTTCCCTCCTTTCATCTCAGTCAACATAAGAAAATTCCCCTAATTCTACTGTTAATTGATTAGAGGAGAGATTACAAAGGTAGTCATGTAAAAACAGCAAAGGGTCTAGACTAAGTTTACAGTTGGGCACTGAGACTAAATGGAGAGAAGCCACTGAACCAGCACAGCTGCCACACCTGAATCATCCTTCTTAGAAGCTAAAGGCTTGAAAGAACCATTGTGAAAAAAGACTATTCTTCCTCCCAAAAGAGTGAAATTAGAAGTTCAGAGAAGAGGAAACAAAGGGGTTTTTGTCACTCTCACTTGTCTCTCTTATCAGTCATACTCGCAACTCTCAATGTATCTGAGTCCCAAAAAGCTCATTAAAAAGTTATCCACAGTTACTGAGAATATAACTGCCATGGTTTCTTACCGACACAATTGCTGTGATGTTAGCAGGCTTCCCTGTCCTTTCAATTACAAGACGTATAACAGTTGTACTTGTTTCATTGACTACAAATTCCGTTTGTCCACTGAACTTCACTTCCGTTTCTCCGGATGTGAAATGAATGAGCAATGCTAAAAGCAAATAAACTAATAAAGAAGCAGAGGGCATCCCTATAGAAAAAAAGATATTAAAAATAAATTGTAAATCTAAAATAGACAAAGCATTTGCGGTTGACCTTACCAATCCAGTTGATCCCTCTCAAATCTTCACATACCATGATCATATTGTGAGTGTCAGAATGAAATAAAAACATGCAGAGGTCTCCAATACAATCAAGAAATATAATTTAAATATCATTTGTATCTAGTTCTATTTTTATAATTTTCCTTTAGTGATTTTCTAGGCAGTACTTATCAACTTCTTCCAGAGGAGAAACAAGGAGCTTCTTTGAAGAAACAAGTTTTTTTTTACATTATCACAACTGTTTTAATTTTCAATCAACAGTAATTAGCTTCAAGGCTGACAGTTCAATTTCCACTTTCTTTGCTCTCTAGATTGTGTTTAAAAACACATAAAAAATTACAGGAAGGGTGAAGGGTTGGATACTTGCAGTCATCTCACAGATTATTTTCTGACATCTTATTCACCATGAAACATCCTCACACATTTGAATATATACTTGAGTCTTATCCCATGATCCTTTCATGTGTTCCTGTCCTGGAGAACAACTTTGCTACTTGGCCATTGCAATCTTTATACCGGCAGACTTTGATTTTCATTTGTGTCTGCAAAACATCTAGTATTTTCTCTTAGGTTATGCAAACTTAAAATATATGTTTTCTTTTACATTCTCCATTTCTCTTACATCAGAGTCCAGTTTTGTGATGTAAAATACAATTTTAAGTCCCAGTGAAGTCATCAGGTTTTGATACTGTGGAAAAAAAAACTTCTAAAAGAGTCTGGCACAACAAATTTCAAATGGTTGCATTGTTCTGCAGAGGTTTACATTGCACAGTGCTGATCAGATCTGAGAACGTGGATGCTGGATAGGGCAGATTGCTGTCATAAGGATCTTAGAGCTTTTGGAAAAAAACAGGAGAACAAAACTGTGCTCTAAACATCAAAATGCATTACAACATCAAACTTTAATTGAATTAGCTCTCTCACCAAGCTTCTTTTAATCTGTAATCACTATTTTACCCTATTACTTCTTAAAATTTCTGTACAAAAAGTAAAAGCAGTATTGTGTAATTAAATATTTAAATAAAATGTCAATTTGCTTAAAATTATCCTTTCAAGTGTTACAATTACCAGACAAATCTGGTCAATTACAGTTATATAAACTGTGCATAACATATCACATTAATATTTGCATATTAATAACATTTAAGATCAGACATATTTGCAAAGCAGTTTGCTCTCATTATTTCAGTGGCAGTTATGAGTATTTAATCATAAATCATCACTAAAACAGCAAATGTCATGAGTACATTAAAACACATTTTTCTAAAATGTGTGTCAAATTTGAATCAGAGCTGAGGTCCAGTGCATACTCTGAATGATTTATGTTTGCAGTCAGATAGTTTTAATCCTTGACTGAACAGATAATAAGATAGCCTTCAGACCACTTTAACTAATGCAGCTTCAGAAAGACTTCAAGTTTTTGATTCATCTTTCAACAAATTCTGTCTAGGCAAGGATAAATTTTATGTTGCGAGGACTTGAAATAACTGTTATCAGGCAAGCTAAAGAACAAAAAGATCCACAGACATGGCTTATTAACTATGTACCTATTGGAAGTACAGTCAAGAAAACCATCAATGTTTTCCAGAGTACCTTCAAAGACTGGTGGATTGACAAAATTAGTTGATTTTACCTGTAACAATAAACTCATGTAGATCTGCTGAACATCACAGAGGGAACAACCAAAAAAAATTACATGCAAAAAATCAGGACTATTTTCTCTTTGAAAACAGCTACTCTTTTCACTACCTACTTTTCACACCCACCACATGAACAATGTCTGATTATTTCTGAAAAAAAGTCACAATAGTAATGATTTTGCTGCATAGTTCACACTACTCTAAACTTTTATTACCAGGAACACAGTCCTTCAAGTTATCTATGGCTCTTACTGGGAATTCAGTGCGTAACAGAACAACAGAATCAATGCTTGATTCTCACATATCTATCCATTCAGTAATTCTAGTGCAGCAAAAACTTACAGTAGGAAGCAAAGATAAAATATATATACGTAAGCCCCCTGGAGTTTAAAATTATCAGCACTTCCAACGGTTTTCTTCCTAGTTTTATGTGGAACTGTTCTGAATAAACAAACAAACAAACAAACAAAAAACCATCAAGCAGGAAAGAAAAGAGTTGTCTAACTTTTGTAAACTCTCAGACAATTACACTCTACAGAAGCAGGCATCATCCATACTAAACTGAGGAATTTGTTGACCTTTTAGCTTCAGCTGTTACCTTGTCATAGACTTTGCCAATACCTTCCCACGGTACATGCTTCTAGTAAATAATACTGAAAACATGATCCTTGAGGGCAAGATTACAAAGTTTAGAATTACTTGAATTCTATTACTTCTACTAGAGAGCATTCTAAAACTATAGGATTACTCCTGTGGAACAAGAGAAGTTTCACAATCATACCATCAATTATTCAGCTGGTGTGTATCCTTCCTTGTTACGTTATTGGCACGAAGATTTACTTTGCACAGCCTGCCAGATGCAGTTTTTACTCTTTATATAAACTACACTTTTAAAATCATTACTTCTTTTTAAATTGATATGATGTAATATAATAAAAATACCATATATCAAGACTAAGAGAATGCAGAACAAATTTATTCAAATAACTGAAGACATATTCTAGGTCCCAGTATTTTACTTAAATTAAAAGTTAAAGTTAAATTTAAAAAGTTAAGTTAAAAGTGAATTCACTTTGTACACTAAATTCCTATGTTAATTTATACGGGAATACAATTTGTTCTTTATTAACTGTATTGCATAAAGTTCATCAGAATCCTTTGCAAGATCATGGATTACAAAAGGACCCTTTCTTACTTCACTCACATCATTAAACCACTGGTGACTCTAATTCGTAACTTGTTTTATAAATTAAGCTGAAACTCTAGTCCTTGTTCACTGCTAAATTTTGGTAAACCATACATTTGGTGATCAAGTACTCCCCTCTGTTTCAGATGAATATTATTGAGTTCATTTCTCTCCATCCAGGATATTGACATATTCTAGTTCAATTAGTTTAATGAGCCAAAGTAATTGTTATGTTTTTATAACAACTACAAGCAATAGAGCATAACACATCTTCAGCGCATGTACAATGGATTAACTATTTTGTTGTCATGTTCTGACTTAAGCCATTTCAAAAAATCATTTGTAATACCAGTGGTAGTTTAAAACAATGCTATGTACTGAGGCCTAGATGATGTTTCTAAGTGACTTATAATAAAAATTTTTGGCATCAAAACCAAACCATACCTTTCAAATAATAATGTAGACATTTTAATGGTATTAAAGGATTTTAAAAGTAAAAAATCTCATTCTTCAACCATATAGTTTTAAAAACAGTAAAGAAATCTAACTCAGAATTCTGAGTCATGATCCCTAATTAACACTTTCTTTTAGTATGCATTTTCTGGCACTTTTTGAAGCAAATTTGTATTTTCCTCTAAAATATGGAATATTCGTGTAGAATCAAACAAATCATATACTGATTCCCAGTAGTAATTTCCACAGTACTGTCACAATTTATATAAGGAACACCATTTCAATGTGTTGTCCAGTTGGAGCCAAGGCAGGCTTATGAAACTGGTGAATCTCCAGGAATAGTTAGCTTTTCCCAGTCAGTTTCTGGAACAAATTTCAGATGAAGACTTTAAGGATTATAAGGAATGAATGGTCTTTTCAGCAGACTTTTACACCAGCTTCTGTGCTTAATAAATTAAATCCTTAAGAATGAAGAGCTCATGGCTGTTTTCTTTGAAGTATGATGGAATCTACAGCCCAATGGAACATGGAGAGATCAAGAAGTGAAATTAAAGGGCTGCTCCAGACTAAAAATCTGAAATGACATAAGCATAAAATGCAGGACAGGAAGTGGGAAGTGGCAAAAGAAAGAGAGTTCACAAACACAGTAGCAGATGGAACAAGGGATTAAATATTTTTTACTTCAGAGTTTGTAACTGCTGTTCACAGGAGAAGCAACAAGCTGAAGAAGCACCATTCCCACCCAGCAGCTACAATCTGATTTACCACTTGCCCATCATCAAACAACTCACTGTATATTTCTAAAGCCCACAGACACAGAGGAGTAAGAGTAAATCCACTTTTCACTCCTGTCCTTGTCTACTCCCCATGATTACAAATACCCAGCCAAGCTGAACATTAAAAAACTGGCATGCCTAGTACTTTGCATTGACTATAGCATTACAGCAATCAGTGGTTGCCAGAGAGAAGTCTATTCACAGCACAGATGTCAGCACCCAGCAGCATCTTTGGCTGAATACAATGGAAGACAGATACATGTGCTCTTTCATTACATAAAGTGGCAATTCTCTGTAGTACACAGGAACAGCATAGAGCAAGAAGTTTTCACAAGGTCATTGCCACTTCTGCACCTGTTGTAGAAACATATTGAAATGCTGCATATTTACAGCATTTTTTTATTTTAGGCATTCTCAGAACCTCTTGACATATACAACAGTATTGGAGAACAACCTGGGAAAGCAACAGGGATTATAAAAACTTTGATTTAGTAAACTTCTCCTTTTTATGTTGTCAAGGCTCCAAATTAAAGGAGAAATATTTTATGTCATGCTTGTTTTTTCCTTGCCTCAAAGTTCCCACAGTTCACGTGTTCATATGAAAAAACAGGACACAACAAAAACCAGCATATGGACACCAGACATTACCCAAGCCTGCTCTGCTGGTTGTTCTTCCTTCTTTGTTTTGGGCTTTTTGTTTAGATGTAGAATAAGTGAGTCTCTCACTCTCATACAGATTGGAAAACAGTTTTCCAAAGGTGCTATTTCACAAAAATATCCACCCCATATCCTCTTTTTGCCCTCAACCTGCTTCAAGGTGAATAAAAAATTAGAATTATACTGACTTTGTGTGCATCCCTGGATCATGCT